ACTTAGAAGATTCTAAGCTATATTATAAGTACTATTATAAATACTCTACGAGTATAAGAAATATTATAGCGTACGAGGTAATATCGTAATATCGTAATTATTATATAGTTCGGCGAGGATTATAGTATATATAGTATTCTCTAATACTATATAGATAATTAAATTATAATAGAGCAATAAGTTAATAGTATAGCGAGGTATTCTGCGAGCGTGCGGCGATTAGAGGGCGTAGAATAGGCGATTATAGGCGTGTTGTAGTAATTGTTTACACGATTTTGAGATGACGCAAAAGCGGAATTTACGTAGTGGCGAGGTGGCCGGTTTGGCGCCCCGTCGCCGAGGTCTGCTCCCGCTCCACAGCTCTGCTGCTCTGCTCTTCCGATCTGCTCCATGACCTGTCAATTAGGACAAACACCTCCTCCCTGGCTGACAACCCAAACCCATGGCGGCGCAGACATTTTCGTGCTGAATGGAATCATCTACACTCTCATCTTACCCCACATTACTCCCGCCGTAGAGCGGCGTTCACCGTTTCATCAGCGAGAGAAGGAGGATAACGATCATGTGAACAGGTACAGCCCTACGCCTAAAACTTTGAGCCAGATGCTCCTCCACCATGCGAGTCTGACCGTCTCGGGTGTTAGTGCTCGCTCGGTACGTGTGGCCAGACCACTCACTTTGCGAATTTCATCGTGTTCCGCAGCGATCCCAGCCCGTCTGCAGATACTTCGACAACGTCTCCATTTCCTAGGAACGACTTTGGACTCTGAAATGCGCCCACCCCGGCTGCCGTCCCTGTCACGACTGCCGTTCCAGCAGGGATAGTCGTGCCTAGAGCCATTGGTTAGCAGCGCCATGTGGTCAAGAATTGCTGTTACCGACCTTGGCTCATATGATTGAGCACTTGTGCTGGCGTGAACATCATGTCAGTTGCAAGCTCCACGTCTTGCACAACCTTGCCATTCACTTTGGTCCGCAGTCTCCTGCCTGCTGCGGTCTTGGCGTACGTGTCTGCGCTGACGAGTACGGGCCCGATGGGGGCGAACTTGTCGAATGCTTTGGCATAAAAGAACTGCCCGCCGCTATTGTTCGGTAATTGGAAGAAACGGCACGACAAGTCATTGCCGACAGTGTAGCCGAGGATGTTATTGTCCGCTTCCGCTGGCGTGATGTTCTTGCACTCTCGCGATGTCACAAACACGAGCTCGCCTTCAAAGTCAAGAAGACTTGTGGCACAAAACTCATTTACTGTGATTGCCTCATCAGGATCCGCGAGTGATGCTGCAGGCTTTGTCCACAATGGCGGATACTTGGGCACAGTGAGCTGAACGTCACGAGGTTAGCACTTGCCAACAGAATAATGGCCCTGGATTCAGACTTACCTTGGCTTCTGCAGCGTGCGATCGATAATTCAGTCCGACGCAGTAAATTGGGACTTCCGTGGACGGGAGTGGGGCAAGCAGCTAATCCAGCTTCAGTCAGTGTCCTTTCCAGAAGCATAAATACGCCAAAGACGAATACCTTGGCAATGGTATGTTTTCCAGTAGCTGCCCCGGTCTGTACATCTTCGATCGAGCTATATGCTGCCACCACAGTGCCGATACTGAGTGGTTCAACTATGCCGCTCTTGCTGTTTGTTTCGATGGGAGCAAAGTAGGACTGTCTATCCTCAGCTGACCGGAACTTGATCAGTGCCTCGAATTTGGCCATTATGCTTTGTCGTAAGTATTGCTTCTTCTGCGCTGCGCTTAGATTCAACCGAGATGCGGCGGTAGCCAGAAGCTGATGTTCAGCGTCGTTGTCCGCGTCCCACTCGCCTGCTCCATGTGTCCCACTCCCCTTCTCCGTGCGTCCCACACCTGCCCAGACCCGACTGGTCCCATCTCGCCACAGATATTGCGGCTATGGCACATGCCTTATGCTCAGTTGCAGCGTCAACGATTCGTCAAGAGATCACTCCGCTCCGACATTGTGTCAAGACAAAAGACTGTCCTCATCACCGGATGCAGCAGTGGAATCGGTCGAGCACTTGCCCTGGAATTTGCTCAGAGGGGCTTCAATGTCATCGCAACAGTCAGGAATGCCGAATCAATCGAAGAACTGCCAACCCGGCACAAGAACATCACCCCGCTGTTCGTGAATGTCCAAAAGCCAAAATCCATCACTGCGTTGAAAGACGAGGTCAAGAAGCTTACGAACGGCCGAATAGATTTCCTCGTCAATAATGCCGGCGTGCATTATGCATCAACAGCCCTCGATCTCAAACCGGAGAGAGTACGTGAGGTCTTCGAGGTCAATCTTATCGCAGTCATGCAGATGTGCCAGGCTTTCGCGGACTTTTTGATGGCTGCCAAAGGGGTCATTGTTCAAATCGGAAGTGTTACTCGTGCTGTTCCCATGATTTGGCAAGGACCATATAACGCATCGAAGGCGGCGTTGAGTCAGTATACGAAGACTATGCGTCTGGTATGTATTGGCCTGCAGAAGCGGCAGTGAGTGAACGCATCGACTGATTTTCCGTCACAGGAATTGGAGCCATTCGGTGTCCGTGTGGTAGAGGTGGTCACGGGCTACGTTCAGAGCAAAATTCTGCGAAATGGTCTTCGGGCACCTTCGACATCCCTCTACTTGCCGATCAGAGGCCACATTGAAAATCTCAAGAATCAAGGCAACAGGAATGGCATGCATGCCGACGAGTACGCTCGGTTTGTTGTGGAACGAGTGACGAGGCCCAATCCGAGCAGAGAGATTTGGGCTGGTGCAAGAGCACAGACTTTGTGGTTTATTGTGACCTGGCTGCCACTTTGGATTCAGGTGAGCTATTCGTATCCGCTATCAAGATTGCTCATAACTGACTTTGTAATTCACCATAGGTTTTTATATGGAATAGAACTTTTGGATTGAATAGGCTACGCTCCGGGAACCTCAAGAGGAAGAATGTAATCTGATGAAGCGGAGTCTTTTTAAGACGGTGGTACTTTGCCTGTGACTTCGATTTAATGCGGGAACATCAGTGAGCCGCTACCTTCAATGGCGTAGAATAGAACAACAGAACTTGACGCCGGCATTTGAACTGCCTGAACATTGAGCGAATCAGCTGCCTGCAGTGCGAGAGCGAATGATAACTCCGAGGTAATTGCGGCAGTCGCGGCGAGTCCTCAATGGCGCACTGCCCGCCCGCTCGAACGCGTGCTTTACCACACGAGCGGGAAGTGGTGCCTTCAAGCTGTCTGGACCTCGAGGGACGCGGAAGAAGACCGCTCCGCTGGGCAACTTTCAAGAAACTTGTGGGACAAGCGTCCCACACAGTCCCACACATGTGTGCTACTGCAGACCACACATTTTCCATGGCGATCTACCTTTTGCGGAAACAGAAACAAGACAATCACTGCTCACGGCGTCAAGAACTCCACAAACACAGTAATGGGAGTTGATACCGTCGCTCTATCTTTTGTGCTCAACTTCGTCTCCAAGCTCCCTCGAAACGTGCGCGAAGCGATCGTTCCCGACATGTTGATCCCTAAAATCGTCAACAACCCGACAAAGGTCCAGCTCGAACGTCTCGAACACGTCTACTTCGAGCTCGCAGACTTGAAACAATTCGAAGAATTCGCCCACGACTTTGGCTTTGCTGTGGCAGCGAAAGCAGACGGGAAGATCTACTTCCGCGGCTACGGCAAGGATCCATATATCTATGTTGCTTCACAAGCTGCATCGGGAAAGCCAGCATTCAGAGGACCAGCATTCGTCGCTCAGAATCGAGAAGAGTTTGAGAAAGCAAAAGCATTGCCTGGAGCTGAGCACAAGATCTTGGGCAATGCCCCCGGCGGCGGTGAAATCGTCACATTCGCCCGCGCAGACGATACATTTTTCCACGTTATGTTCGGACAACAAGAGCGTGCCATCGATGCATCACAAGGAGTTCCTAGTGCGACTCATGTAGAGCTGGGACCTGCAAACACACCGTTCGAGAAACCACGCAAAGGGACATTCCAACGCTTCAACGATGGTCCTGCTCTCATTCACAAGATAGGTCACTTCGGCTACGTGCACCGCGACTTTGACTCAGAACTGAAATGGTACACGGATAATTTCAATTTCGTCCCTTCGGATATCCTACACCACTGGAACTTCTCAAACATCGATGTGATGACATTTATGCACTTGGACTTGGGCAAGCAGTACTCCGATCACCACGTCTTCTTCATGCAAAGAGCTCCCCCAGAGACAAAGAAGACATATCTCCACCATTCGTCGTACGAAGTGGAGGATTTTGACACGCAGTCGATTGGACATCAGTGGTTGGCTAAGAAGGGATGGAAGAGTGTGTGGGGTGTTGGAAGGCATGTGCTCGGGAGCCAGACTTTTGATTATTGGCAGGATCCGAGTGGGTTCAAGATTGAGCACTATGCTGATGGAGATTTGCTCAATGAAAATACGCCTACAAGGCGTGAGTTCATTGGGCCTCTCTCGATTTGGGGACCAGAGCTGCCTACGGATTTTGGAGATGATGGGACTTTGTTATTGATTTGATGGACAAATAGACTGTAGCATATTGGCAGCAGTGAAAATTATTTACCAGTTGTGACTCGCAGCCTACGAGATCTCCCACGTGCATGACGAGACGGATCGTGCGGTCGTACGGACACGTAACATGTCTGGTCCCAGCGTGATAATCATGTCCCGCGTTGCTCAACTCGACTTCACATCACCTCAGCGTCTGCCCGCACTGTCAGTGTTAAACCCCGCAGCCGAGAAGAATGGTCCCACACTCCGAAGCTGAGTCGGGCTCTCAGTCCCTTGTGATTCATCTGGTGGGTCTGCAAGATGTCGTATGGCGGACGCCACTATCCCACCATCGAAAGCCCTCGTGTGGGACGTCAAGCCGAGGGCCGAATGCTAGATCATAACAGACAACTAGCAGAAAAGTGCGCATCCCAGTAGGGATTTCGCAACGATTCACATTCATCCTGGAGTGAACGCTTATTTACTGCAGTCAGCATGGAAGCCGGACAAGTCGTGATCGTTGGAGCTGGACGGGCAGGGCTCACGCTAGGTCTTGCACTGGATCAGCAAGGGGCTCAGGTACAGTATCCTTGCTCATGGCAGAAGAAATTCTTCCGAGGTGAAGCTGACTGAGCTGAGAGTAGAGTCTCATTCTGGAAAAGGAGAAAGAAATCAAACAAGATCCTCGCGGCGTTGTCATAGCTGGCGACGCAGTCCGAATCCTCTACCAGTTTGGTCTCGGCCCAGATATGCCAAAGATTGGACACGAGCTCTTGGACATCAATTTTCATACCTCCTCTTTTACCAACCCGCCGTTTCATCAGTTGGATCTTAAGTCAGGTAACATGTCACAAGCCGTGCCAGGAGCCGTGTTGCAAGTCCAACCAAGTTTAGGTATCTGAAGTGTTCACGAATGTACAACAACGAAACCGCTGATCCGCTGATACAGAGCACGCGCTTCGAAAACGGATAGAAGCAAGCAAACTCTGCACGCTAAAAACAAGTTGTGAAGTCACGAGCATCAGACACAACGATGAGTCGGTCTCTGTAGAATACACAGATTCGGAAGGCTCAAAGCAGAAAGTGGAAGCTGCTTGGCTGGTAGGCGCCGATGGCAAGAGAGGAATCGTTCGAAAGAAGTTCCTAGAGCCCACAGCAGGAATCCGCCAAATTCATTCTGATTACCGATACGAGGGGACCTGGGTCGCCGCGAACTTGAAGATCACCCCTCCGACCCCCGAAACGCATCCGGACTTTCCTGGCTGGAACATTGGAATGACACCGGACGAAGTGTACGATCTCTTTTGGCCCAAAGGCTGGCATTTCTGTTCTCCTCCCGGGAAACCTGTCGCATGTGGTCGTTTCGGACCCCACGATCAACACTTTTGGCGACATGAGTTCCGACAGGATCAATGGGACGATGCGACGATGAATGCTGAAGAGCTTTTGTGGGAGAATTTGACGCCCATGATCACACGTCATCAAGACGCTGACGGCCGATCATTCGGAAGGGACATTATGTTCCCGCGTGACTGTATCGAGATCTTACGATGCAGGCCTTTCACATTCACGCACAAGGTCGTAAATCACTGGTACCATCGACGAGTCATCTTGATCGGAGACGCTGCTCACGTGTTCCCTCCTTTCGGGGGCCAAGGCATCGCGAGCGGTATCCGGGACGCTCACCAACTGGCCTGGAGGCTCCGTTTGCTCAACTTACAGAAAAGCAAATCAGCGTCTAAGCAAGAGAAGGTGTTGAGCGCATGGGCTGCTGAGCGAACTCAAAGCATCAAGACTGTTGCCAATTTCACCAAGATGAACGGCATACTCTGCAACCAAAAAGTCTCGTTCGCCTTCTATGCTCTGCAGTGGGTTGAATGGCTCTTGAGCGTATTTCTACGCTTGAAATTACCATACGATCCGCAAAAGGCGGCAGAGCGGACGGGATTGCAGGCAGTCGCGGGAGGCTTCTTCCTACCAGACCACGATGGAGGACAGAAGCTTCCACAGATCTATCTCGATTCCATCAACGGAAGAGAGATCCTGTCTGACAGCATTTTGAGAGCAGAAAAGACGCCCTTCCATCTGATCGCGCTTGTACACGGGAATCAAGACCTAGGCTACAGTCGCAAAGCATTCGAGGACATACTATCAGAATGCCAGATCCCGAAAGCCGTCCTCTCGGCTGCTTCCATGTCGATTGTGAGCACCAGTCTCTGCCAACCAGCGTCAATAGGCTCTTTTGCTGCTCCAACGGTACGCAAGTTCGCCCCCACGCCCCTCAGACGACTTTCGCCCAGACAAGCACGTCCTGGATATGAGATCGAAGCTTTCGGAACACGATTCGGCAATGACACCAAGTACATCATTGCTCGATCGGATCTCTTTACTTTTGCTACTTGCAAGGATATGAATGAACTACGAGTGTGTTTGCGACGTCTCGCTGAAGTTAGCTTGTAGCTCTGTATAGCGAGCACAGTGCCTTACCGAAGTTGGGGCATTCAAGATTCGAGCCTGAACACAGCAAACCTTCACGGATATTCTGTTCTTTCCGGGCGGCACAGATCTTACCTTTCGATGGCCTATCTTAAATCTTCCCATGACTTATCTCATGAGCCCACATGTCCGATGAGCCTACAAGGTCACCAAAGGTACCAAGATTGCAATGGCAACACATAGAAGATCATTTTTGAGTGGCATGATGCTAGACATGTACAGCCTCAGACATCGAACGCCATCAGGATCTGCTCCAACAAGCAACAGCTCGCAATAGTAGCAGTGGCGGCTGACTGTTCGCCAAGAGCTATTAATACCAGTCGCTGAGTAGCACACCCCAGCATGGTGTGTCGCACGAACTAGAACAAATCGAAGTCGATGAGTGGTCAAATCAGCTGCCAAGCGAACCTGCATGAGGTATAGGTACTTCGACCCCTAAAGCACTGTCCCGTGGTATAGTTCATCATGTGTTATATTCTTAACACCACTTCAGGGCTATGCTCAGCCTTATTGCATAAGACTTTGAGGCTCAGGCAGCTCATATTTCTGTTCATAGCTCAATGTACTTTTCGATAGATGCCACGGTCGTGATGGTGGGTTGGAGCCTCTGCCACCAACAGACACCATACCATGAGACTCAGAATTTGGTCCATGCGCGCAGATCTTACATATAGCTGGACTTCTACATCTCGATGCATGCATGATAGGGATTCGACAAAATTGACCTGTGCAGAAAGATCAAAAATGCTTACACTCAGCGAAATTGTTCTACCAGCCCTGACCTGGCCATACTACTGGCCACTCCGCTATTCCACATTACGACCAGTCGAAGCTCTGCTCGAAGCTTGCGAAACAGACGAAGAAGTGGGTAAAGTTATTTGTGCTTTTCGGGCAAGCAAGCATCGAGAATTGCAATCGATCAAAACGGCCGTAAGCTCTCCATCTTCCAAACTCTCACAGCTCTCAGGTGTTGACTTTTAACACATGAACAGTCCACTCTCTCCGCCGCCGCAGCAATAGGTGCCCTGTCCTGGAGAGAACTCCCACTCGAGATCTGGTCCTTCCTCGGCTGCGCCCACTGCAGCTTGACATTGGCGACATTTTCGATCGTACTGGCTGCACAACACGAATCCATTCTGGAGCGGCAGATGGAAATCAAACCCACTGACACATTGAGCAACATAGACGTCGGCAACTTTCTCAAGCTCATATTCATCAAACTCACACCGGACGCAGAGACGGAACGCTCTCAATTTCGATTTTCAAAGAATATGTTCTACATCTGGCAATCCCCGCTCATGCTAATGGCGTGGTCGTGGGTGTGGCTCTTATTGAGTATCTCACTACGAATGATAGGTCCATTCCTGGATCGGGAGAAGGTTCAAGACCTGAAGAAAGCGGGAGTGATGTACTTTGTGGTTTTTGTGGTTTGTTTGGCAAACACTGTATGGTGTTCGTTCTGTTTGTTTCGCGCGGTGTCGGCTGGATCAGTCGGAGGAAGAGTTCAAGTTATGATGTTGCTTCCAGGCACACAGCGTTTGCGGACGGGAGAAGCACATTTGCGTCCGGCAAGCGTGCAGATCGATCATGTCAAGATGACTCCTCATGGCACGCCTTTGCAGTCTCGAAATGGGACTTGTCTGTGGCATATAGAAGGAACAATAATCCGGCCGGCGACTTACTAATGCTTTGATCAGACTCAATTTCTTTTTGTTCTATCATCCAAGCCTTTATATGTAATTCCATCTTCTTTTCCAATCATATTGCACAGCGCTCACACTGAATCGTCCACTGCTTCTATCTCCCACCAATCCCCTCAAAGACCCTCCCATTATGCTCCACCACTTTCTCTCCAAACCCTCTCTCCCTATATCCCCTCAAAACCTCATTCTCCACCTTCCTCCCATCCCAATCCAATGACCAGCTCCCCTTTCCAAATTCCTCACTCATCGCATAAAACAACATCCTCTCCCCCACGTCCTCTGCCTTCCCCATCACCAAAGCACCCAACAGCGGCTCCACGACCCATCTCATCAAAACTCCCAGCACACCCTTCGCACTCCTCCCAAGTAGACCCGTGCTCGTCAACCCCGGAAAAACATGCACAAAACCCCGTCCCAGAATTCTCGGACTGCGAAGAAAAGTTATCGAAAGACAATGTCATCATCGTAGCAAACTGTCCCGCTGCATTTCCAACAGAATAATTCTTTTTGAGATCGAGATCATCTTCGAAGATTTTGCCTTCTTTCCCTCCTGCGAGAATCGATACCGCTCGCGCGGAAGAGGACATGACTGGTAGGAGGGTTTGGATGAAGCGAATGCGGGAGTAGTAACGTAATGACACAGAGTTGTCAAGTCCATCGGCATTTTCTTCGCGGCCGGTGAAGGAGATGTAGCCTTGGGAGAGGAAGAGGAGGTCGAGTTTGCTATTGGGTTGCTGTGAGAGGATAGACTTGATTTCTTGGCTGACTGAGTCGACGTTCGCGAGGAGGGAAATGTCGGATTCGAGGAATGTGTAGGTTCTGTTGGGGTTGAGGGTTTTCAGATTGTCGAGGTGAGGTTGGAAAGTCTTTTGGTTGCGGCGGATGATTATGGTGTGGGGGAAGGGGATGTGTTTGGCGAAGGCTTGGAGGGTTGCGAGGCCTATGCCACTTGTTGCGCCGACGAAGAGAGCTGTTGTGGGCGAGGAGTGGGTTTGATGGAGGGAGGCGTTGGAAGCGCGGATCTCTTTTAGTGAAGTGGGCATGGTTGATGTTTTGTACTGTCTTCTTCTGAGGTACTTGGTTCCGGTGATGTTGCTTGTTCCTTTCTGGTACTGTGTGCGTGAAAGAGCTATTTTGCTGCTTTTCTTCCTGTTCGTGAGTGATAGAAACACACCGATCGTCGCAACGCAACCTACTTATCCTCTCCTACCTCTGTCGCGTCGCAAGCGAGACAGGACCAGTATGTCCGGCTGAAACATGTTGGTGACCAACATATCGCGGTCTCGCGGCTTCCCGAATTCAGGATGTCGTGCGTAGACGTTGAAGCGGAGATATGCAGCAGCGTGCCTGAGGGATTGCTGAGGCATCACGCCTTCAGCTAAGAGCGACACAGGCGAGCGAGCTGGATGGATGACGTATGCAGGACGCTGACAAAATTGTGGCTTGAAGGCTATCTCCACCAGACCCTTAACACGCTGCGTTTGCGATTGCCGTGTGGTAGGCGGAAGGTGGAAGGTATGCACGGAGGCTTCCGCAGCAGCGCCTGCGGGTCTGAGACCAAGAGGCGCGATTTGGACATATTCGCCCTTCGCAAAACACGATTTTGTAACAACATCGGCAGAAGAAACGGACAGTTGGAGGCTGCAGGGACGGGCTTAAATAGCAAGTTTGTTGCGGGTGGCTACTCACTGCGGCGTTGTTTTGCCCTTAGTTCACCTCTAGAGGGCTGGTAAATCGACTCGAAGAACATAGATACTACCAGTTTAGAAGTGCTACAGAGTCTGCATCTTTGAGAAATACACTACATAATTATAGTCGAACTTTTAATTTATTAGATTTCCAAGAGCCGTCTCATACATTGTGGAGCCGTATATATGGTGGTAGTAGTGCTGGTCTGCTAAACATGCTGTTCTAAGACACCTCGCGAAGCCCTACTACATCAAAATCGCGCCTATTGACATCAGACGCTCCGCGAAGAGCCCGACCTCAACCACACTAACCAAAAGAGGTATAGGGTGTGCTAAATCAAGACGTGGTAGGAACAAAGGTCACGCTACGGAAGGTGGAAGGTGGAAGGGAAGGGTTCTGAGCAGGTGCGGCTGAGTGGAGATTGCTTGAAGGATCGAGACCGGATTTAACTGATCCTCCGGACATCATTACGAGCTCAACTTCACACTTCAGACACAGCGACGAACTCCATTGCAATAAATTCGAAAAAGTACATGATGACGGTCAGCTAGGGTTCGAAACAGAGCTGCGTTGTTGTTTTCCGTGCATACAACATCCGACAAATCCAGCGAATGTCAGACAATACAAAGTCCTGCTATTGTATCAGATCAGAGCATCTTAACCATAAGAATATTACTTTCTTTCCCGGCGCTCCAGGGATACCAGCAACTCTTCCAACTCACAACAGTTGCTTGCACAGCTGGCAAGTTACTGTCTCCGTTTGAAAACAAGTTCAGATGCTATAAGTCAATATGTCCGGTCGTGTCATTGTGGCCGACGTCTTGAAAGAGAAGGAATGGATAGCCCTCATGTTCGCACTTTGACTCGCGTACAGAGATGTGGTCAACCATTCTGAGATATATGGTCTCTGAGAGATGCCATGCGTTTGAGAGCCAGAACCTACCTCTTGACATCCCCGATGGTCTAAGCCCCACAACATCGATGAGCAGCAACGAGCAACGCAAGGATCACTCTTACCAGCTGCCCATCTTCTGGCACTCCCTGCCTCGCCAAAGATGCAGCCACCCATTCCAGACAATGTCTCCAACTCGTAGAAGGAATCCAACGACGCAGCATCTTATACAAACGTTTAGAAGAGAAGTCTTGCACTACACAAAGAAATGTCCAAAAGCCCGAAAAGCCCCATCACCAATATCGATTGACACACCGCCAAGCTGATAACGACCACGGCAGATTCGGCCAGTTGACTAATACAGCACAACACAGCACAGTGAAGCATTATCAAGCACGGCTATAGAGATTGAAAAGCTATCATCAGAAGGGACAACATTCTCGCCGGAAAAGGTGGCCAGAGGATCTACTCGATAGCATTAGCAATCAAATCCTGTTCTATGTGGAAATGGAAAATCAGAATTCTTTCCGAACGGAAAATTCGACTTCCCATCCGGATGATGGAAAGAAAAGCATCCCTCTCAAGGTTTCAGCTATTGTAATTGCAACACCACATCGGCCTAGTCATCGTCGTCGTTGGGGTTGTTGTCGTACGATAAATAGCAAAGCGTCCCTCGATTCATCTGTTCACGCCATAGAGTCAGCGAACCCTCTTCATCTTCCAGATACACACCATTCTTTCAACTTACTGACCTCAAAATATGGCACGTCCTCCAAAGATCGCAATAATCTACGTAAGTTCCAAACAACCCCAAACACACCCACCACCCCCAACACATAACCAAACGCCAACACTCACATCAATCTCACTCATATAGTACTCCGCCTACGGCCACACAAAACTCCTCGCAGAAGCCGAAGCCCGAGGCATCAAAGCCACAGGCGGCCAAGTCGATATTTGGCAAGTCCCCGAGACGCTTTCCGAAGAAGTTCTTGCCAAAATGCACGCGCCTCCCAAAGATTCCAACTATCCGGTTCTTGACTCGCAGGAGATTTTGGAGCAGTATGATGGCTTTCTCTTTGGGATTCCGACAAGATATGGCACTTGGCCGGCACAGTGGAGAGCGCTGTGGGATCAGACGGGAGGGTTGTGGTCGAGAGGCGCGTTGTGGGGGAAGGTGAGACTTGTACCGCTCATCTCTTCAACTTGCGGAAGACTGCTTCCTTTTGCTTTGCTTAAGCTGATACTTGCTGATAGTATGCCGGTCTATTCATTTCCACAGCAGCTCCTGGCGGCGGACAAGAATCGACGGCTATCGCGGCGATGAGTGCACTCGCACATCACGGGATGACTTACGTTCCGCTTGGCTTCAAGACTGTGTCTCATATTTTGTCTGACATTTCGGAAGTTCGGGGTGGTTCTGCTTGGGGAGCGGGAACGTTCACTGCAGCTGATGGTTCCCGCCAGCCTTCGGCAAAGGAGATTGAGCTGGCTGAGGCGCATGGCAAGCAGTTCTATGAAGCTGTCGCACGAGTCAATTTCGAGTAGCTCTATTTGCAGCGTAGAGCGGAGTCTTGTCGACAAGAGGCACAGGATGAAGCAAGCACGTGGCGGACAGGATTGAGCAACAAGAGCAAGCCCTTGCTGATGCTACTGTGGACCAACGGCGTCGGGGACCGGTTGCGGGTGTCAATTCGATCGACTTGTTTTGTACGGAGAATGAATTGTTGTTCGACCTCAAGAAACATCGAATTTTGTCAAGGCATGTTCCTCTGCATCTCTGATCTTGTGAGCCAACGTGAACGAAAGTTCGACTGTATTGAGCAGCGTTCATTCCCCAAGACTTACAGAGTTCGATGGCGATGAAAAACCTGAAGTCATCGTCAGCAACTGGAATCATGATCTTCGTCCCAATTCTCTGTCTTCATGTAAAAGACTTCACCTTCCGAAGCCGGTTATGTCGAATAGAAAGAACAATGTTGGAAGGTACTTCTGCGGAAGAACGTCGCACCTGCACCTACCACACTTTCAAAATCTGGACGTCATTTGAGGAGCGTCTGGAAAGAGACAGCCAATTCTATGAATTGTTGTGGAAAGACCCTGAAGTCGTTGGTCAATCTTGCTCTACGCACAACGACAAGGGCAAGATTTCTCTCGAGGCACCATGATATTCTGTCTTTCGCCTGAACACCTAGCTCGATACTTTCTCCATCTTGGCATGAATTCGGAAACTCTTGTGTTTGAAAATATCATTGAGGCCAAATTCCAGAAAAGGTAGAGGAAGGCTGGAGTGTATGCACTGCCCTTGCGCCAAGGCGCACGGCTGGGGCTGAGCTGTGTGTGTAACGCTACATTCGCGCAGCAGCGTCTACTTCTCTCTTCGAACTTCCCCGAGCCGGTAGGTATGTTTCTTCTTCGCATTGTCCCGGTGCCTCATTACCTTCGTGGGTAAGCACTTTGCCTTGCGATGCAGCACAGATACAAAGCCCACTGGCTTAGCGATCCGAGGACTGCCATTCTGTACGAATGCACAGACCGACTCAGATAGCGCAGAGATGGCGACGGGAGACTCATTGACGGTTTCGGCGACTTTTGATCAGGGTACCGTCCCGAATGCCACAATATACAAGCCTTTGCAGCCTGGCCAGATTCGGGTGCTGCACCTACAGCCAGCTCGAGAGGTCACAGCTCCTCTGGTTGGTGTCTTCGAGATCATTGAGATTGGAAGTGGCGCGGGATACGAAGCATTGTCTTATACCTGGGATCAACCTTTCAGCGAAGACGACGTATCGAATCTATCGCCGCTAAAATCTTCGACACAGAAGGCCTGGACGCAGGAATCAATATTCTCAACCTATCAGTTCGAGTCTGGCGTCATATGGATACACGAAGTCGCAGTACCAACGACTGCCAATTTGCACGTCGCACTAAGAAGATTGCGCTATTCGGACGAAGCTCGAAGTTTGTGGATCGACGCTATATGCATCAATCAGGACGACCTTATGGAACGCTCTGCCCAGGTTGCTTGCATGGCGCAAGTCTTTTCAGGTGCAAGCCAAGTAGTCGCATGGATTGGCGAGGACTCTGTGGCTGAGGATGGACAGTTTTTCCTTCGTCACTGTGGTCAGGATGCCGAGTCCTGGAAGGACAATCGCTCAGGTCCTTCGTGGATGCTTGATAAGCATGAGGACCTGCACCCCGTATTCGAGCAACGACGGTACTTCAGACGCCGTTGGTGCATACAGGAAATGGCTTTCGCCCAATGTGCAAAGCTAAACTGTGGCCCCTTGGAAATTCCATGGTCCGCGTTCATCGCCGCTCTTAGCGGAGACCGAGGTCTCGATTTCGGCACAATAACTACACTTGCTAAGATTACAGAAGAAGAGAACACGATTCAATTGATGATTCTACTATCTCCGTGGAAGTGTCTAGACAAACGTGATGCTATCTATTCCATTGCCAGCATTCTGAAACTTCGCCCAGACTGTCCACAAATCAGGATAGACTACAGCCTGGACTGGCCAACGGTGTATACTCACTTCACGCGCGACTATATCCAGCTGAACGGCTATATAGCCGCCTGGAACATTCTTATCACCGCTGGCTTGAAACTCTGGAGTCTGTGGTCCAGAGATCACGTCCCTTCCGAGACTCATAGTTGGGTGCCTGATTGGGCTAACTGCGAAGTCTATGATGGTTGGATCACGAGTAGCATGCGCATGTCTGATTGCCTGATTGGAAACCATTTCTCGGCCAAAGATGACAAGTACGCAGTTGCCTGTGACGATCATAGTATCATGATTGATTTGCTATACCTCGGACAGGTGGGAATCGATGAGCCTTCTGAACATGGATTATTGTGTAATGATTGTTACTATGGACTACCAGCGGGACACATCTTAGGAAAAATAGATGTTGCACTGGTCCTGAGAAGATGCGGCGAACGGGATATGACTTTCCAGCTTGTAAGCCTTGTGTGGCCATCGCCTCGCGGCTGGCTCATAGAACCAGAGATGCACAGAGTCACTATTATATGAGGGTTTCGATCAACTAAGCTCGAACACATACCCGCAGGACCCATCTCATCATCGCAGTACATTGCCCAAGCACCAAAGCGATGGGAAATTTGACGCAATCTAAAGCTAGCTACAATTCGTGCAAGCATTCAATAGCTCGACTAAATTACTGCTTTGAGTAAATTGAGCAGCGCTCTCATAAATCCGCAATTCAGACTAGAGTCGATAATAGTTTACGCAGCTGCAGTCTGTCGTAGCTTCATAGACTGTTGTGGTCCTCCTTCTCCAATATTGACGAACAGAGTGTTTTTGCAGCATGTTCACGCAGAAAACCTGCGCTTTGGCCAAGACTTGAGGTAATGCTGTTGCGCGAACACTATTGATGTAGAAAGGTAGCAAAAAGAAGGTCAGCAGTACGCGCACGTCTGGGTGGCCCGACACGGGTTGTTGCTCATATCACTTTACAGTCTCGTGACCGTTGCTGACAGATAATGATCATGATGAAGCAAGGAGAGCATTCAGCCGGAGATTTTCGCCGCTGTCAACGTCTTCTGGTCAATGAGGGCATGTGAGGTCTACGCCTAAGATTCATGTTAACCGTTGGAGTTCGCGTGTGCGCTTGCTAACCCGAGTGGAGTCTGATTTCGGACTGTTGCAAAGAAATCGTGTAGGCCTCACAGAGGCATCGTGAAGGACTTCCTAGTCTTTGTCCATCTTGGCTGGTTTTTGTGGAAAGTACCAGACGACCTGAGTTAAAAGCTATTGCCTTGTATCGGTCGCGATTCATAAGAGCTAGTCACTAAGTGGCCGTGCTTATTCGCAACTTTCGAGAGCCACTTCGATCAGAGCGCCTTCAAGTTTCTCGGTCCGCTTCTAGAATCTGCTGTCTCGTCATGACAAGCCAGGCTCCAGTACAACGGTGAAGCAAGACAGTCGGGGCCATCTACCATCTTTCGCGGACGGCTTTCTGCAATTGGTGTTTGTTGATCAATTGATCCTGCATGCTTTCAAGAATTTTCCTTGTCGAAAAAGTGTGATCGTGCTACGTCTTTTGACGATCTTGATTTTACAAGCCAGTGACGACTGAGCTGTGAGTAAGTTGAGCAGCGCTCATCTTCGAGGAGATGCTCGTGCCAGACAGCGAGTGATTACCGCAATCACATTCCGTTACGTTGAATGCACACGCTGATGCAATCCGATCTCCATCCCCTTCCTATGATGTGTTATAGAAAGACGTCGAAGACGGTCGTCAAACCTGCTCGACTGCGGCTCATCAGGGGTAATGTGTTGGCGTTGCGTAGCTGCGGCATAAAGTTTCGCCATCTCCCGGTTTTTCGGACTCGATCATGCTGACATGCTGGTGCCAGGTTGTTGCGCTGCGCTGCCCGATGTCAAGGGCCTGTGTATGCCCATTCCGCAGGACTGGGACAGCGCTACTCTCGTCAATGGCTGGATGATGGATTGGGTTATTGCTCACTTTGCGCGGAGCTAAGAGCGGGCAGTACAAGAATCTCACATGGAGTGAACACTACACCCGAAAATGAGAGACATTCTTGCTGCCCAATGTCGGACATTGTCGTAATAAACGACCTGCGTATTTGTTTCATGGACGAGGGGCATATCGTGTCTACGTGGACCTTGCTAGATGCGCTCGGGACGGTGGACCCTGCTGTGGTTGTCGTTGTGCTTGTTGGCTTGCTTCTCCGCGCTGCGCTGTGCCCTGACGTTATGAGTTACCGGGATGTCGCTGTCAACGACATCTGAAAAACGTAACCGAGCTGGAAGAGAGGGTGGGTCATCGCGCTCGACATGACAAGCCTAGGGAATATTTGAAGATGCGATATTGCCGCGTCTGCTGCAGCATGTGCAATATAACCTTTCCGTGTTTTCGCTCACCGCTGAAGATGTGGAGGTGGAAGTTGCCCCTCGCATGGTCAAATCGGCAGATGAATAGCTCGCGTGCGCTTCGTTCGGGAGTGACGATGTGAAGGGGCATTTCCGCGTTGGGGCCAGTTGGCGACAAGCATGTCTTGGGTCGTCGAAACAGGCAGTGGAAGGCAAGAGGCCAGCTGCAGCACGGGCGACATGCAGCATCGCGCTGAGGCATCGCGCCGAGGCATTTCCGTGTCAGACTCGCGCCTAATTTGGGCGCGGCGAGGTGCTTGGCGCTGGGAAAGCGGACCTCACCGCCTCGAGCTGCTGCAGCACCAGGATGCACCTCCGCACGCACGCTGCTTGACGACTGACGCCACCCTACAGCCAGAATGAACACCCATTTTATGCTGAGTATACCACGCCATCCGCAACCGAGACACCACCGAGGACGACGTGGCGCGGGCGTGTTGCATGTGAGATCAGCACCCGAAGCTCGCACGGCATGGCCTTCGAGAAATGGTGCTGGAAGAGGGCAGAATCTTGCCTTCCGCACCGATCGAGCGCGGTGCCTTGACGTGCAGGGCGAGGCCGTGAGCCTTGCAGCGCGCCCAAGGACGAGCAGCAAATGAGCGTCTGCCACAAAGCCGCACGTTCATGCACTCGTCAGACGCCGGCCCACTCCAATGCTGCTGCTGCTGTTGAAGCTGACCCTGCGTGCGAGAGACATCGCAGCCATTGCAGAGTGCGTGCAGTCGTCGTTGCAGTCAAGTCTTGTGCAACCCTCAATGCGTGGCTCCTCGTGCCCGCTGCCTTTTCGTCGTGGCGCTCGCCGTGCAACCGGACTGCCACGCTGGTGGGACTCGTCTGGCCCGCTGAGCTCACCTCGACTGGTCCCGCTTCATTGAACGCGATTTCGTCCTGCGTTGAATTCTCAGGCACAGCAGCTCCGCGCAATTTGGCAGGAGCTCCGCCTGTGCTGCTCAGCGTCGGGCATTTAGCTTCTGTCCACCTGGTGAGTCCTGGACGAGACCCTGACCGCACACCACACTCGCCCATCCATGGCCCACTGCAGATGGCGGTGGCTGCAGCTTGGCTAAGTTAGAGCTGCTGCTGTTCATTGACAACACATCGACCGCTGCGGTCCGCGATCCCACAGACAGACAGCTCGCACGTTGCACCGCACCGCGCGCGCTGCATCGCCAGAGCGCGCCTATCTGGCATCCAGCCCTCTCCATCTGCTTCCCGTCCGGCGTGAGGTTCGTACTCGCGGGGTCGAGTTATCAACGACTGGAGATACTCACAACCCGGTCACCAAGAATCCTGCTCCGCCCGGGAATCCTTTCGCGTGCACTCACCATCGTTGCATGCAAAACGTCATGGCCAGCCCGACATTCCTTGCTCTCGTCGTCAGTCTGGAACGGGCACAGCGTGGATGCCACCAGGATCTGCATCTTTGAGACGTGGTCCCACTATGCAGTAGTTGCCGAGCTCTGCGGTACCTAGCGCTCGCGCGTGCTGGCTGGCGCTATCGAAGCTGCCGCTGCCCAACAGCACTGCAGCTGTTTTTCCGAGCCCACATCAGTTCGAGCATGGAGCGAATGCACGACATAGTGCTACTCCCCATCTCCGTTGCTCCCTCGCCACTGGTCCAAGCCGCGCATTCCTGACAGCTTCCTAGCCGCCCGCCGTACCTGACGCATTGACTGACAGATGATCCTCGTCGCGAGCAGCAGAGAAACTTCGCGCCTTTCCCGCCAGCTGTGCTGTAGAACGACGCCCGGGGCCCATCTCGATCTGCACCTAGATATTGTTGTTACCTGCGGAGCTCATGCTATCCGCCTCTCGATCATCAACATCCTCTGGCCGAAACGTGCGCCAGCACATCAACTATGGGTCCTGACTTCCGGGTAGCCTCGAAGCAGCATTGCAGCTCTTCATCATCTCATCTTGTTGCCATGTCCACATTCTTGGGTTCGCCGTTCCTCTACACCGGTGCCGACCCTCCTCGCCTGTGATCGTCTTCTATTTTTCTCACAGCGTTCCATGTCGCTGGCATAGCAGCAGTATATATCCACCCACCATCGGGTTGTCGTGAACACTTTACTTACGCATTCGGCCATTCACATACCGCCTCGACTCTCTAGCCTGACCACCATCCAGCAATTGACTACACCGCTCGTCATCACTACTACCGTGGCTCCTGTTGGCGCCCTTACATTATCGGATCCACGACTGCGGTGCTACCACCACGACGAATATTAGAAGAACCTTTTAAGCATCGTGCTGCAGCCATCGACTGGAATTGGTCAACACTAGCACATTCCCTACAGCCACGCAGAACCTCATCGACCTGATTGGAGCCAACATGTTCTACACCATGTACCTGTCGAGTAAGTGTCGTTCGTCAACTGCCTCTTTCCAGCAACGACTGCATGAGGGGCTTCTGTTGCGCTCTTCCAATATGGAAACCATAGCGTCGACTAACACGCCTCACTCTAGGTGTCTGCCAACGACGTCAGTGGCCCGAGCCTCACTACGAGCCTTACCGCACCCGTTCAGGCTGGCATTGCAAGGTCCGTGTCAACAACCGAGAATACTGCACCGAAGTGCCCTACGCTTCGGAAAGTCTGGCACGAGATGGAGCCGCTCAGAAGGGATACATGATCTGCCGGAACTTTTCTGTCAATGATGGAATGGGACCTGGCCAACGACCTGGACAAACTGTACAGGGTTTACCCGTCGCCATTGGCACTGGAAGAGGTGGCAAGAGGGGCTCTGCTGCTAGTTACGATACTGCGAGCACGGATGGTACCAGCAGTGGCGGCAACAGTCCTCGCAGCACCGAAAGTGGGTTCGAACAGCAGATCCGACAAGTCACTCAGCAGGTGCCTAAGCCATCCACACAGCAACCTCGCCGGACAAAGGCCGCCACGGACGGGTATATGTGCTACTGCCAACGAGCACCGGTCCGAGCCTATGGACGATGTGGATGGTGCTTGCAAGAGAGTGGATGGCAGTAAAGATGACGGCCACGACGACCATGACCAAAAGCCCAAGCATATCATCATTGGGAGCGAGCGTGTTTTCCATTGGAGCAGCATCTGCCTCTTCTGTTTTCCTTGTTTCATCTGTGTACGAGAATGGGTGCCGCGAGGCATATTTGACGAATATCTAACGAATTTACTATTACTACCTGGAATGGAACGAGACGGGTGGAACGAGAAGCATTCTACTCTACTCTATAGTATTACGATTATCACGACGAAAATTTACGACGACCAGACCACTGTCATTTCACTGGCGTTCGTTCACTTTTACATATCCTCCTTCGCTTTCCAGGGTAGTCCACCCGAGGGCACCATCACTTCCACGATTGTCGGGCCTCGCATCTGTACTGCGGAAGAAGGTAGCGACCAAAAGTTTCACTGTGAGGAGCCACCGTCGTTTGGACGTTCGCACGGGCAGGCTATACGAATTGTGCCAAACGAAGGAGTGGGTCACGAAAGAAAGAAGCCAAAAAGCGAAGCGAAGGACCAACTGCGTGTCGATCATTGTAATTTTTTTCCAAGGCAATTTAGATGCACACGAACGTTGAGAAGGAATGACATGGAACGCGATTGTTGCATGTGAGACTTCACTTTGCGAGGTATTGTTTTCTTCTGCTTCGAAAAAAAAATGGACTCTACGGAAATGAAGAGGTGATGGAAGGGATGCGAGGGATTTGAGAGGCAATTCTGTAGTCGTCAAGATCACATTACATTCATTCGTTAAATTCTATGTCTCTTTTCTGAGATGCTTTCATCATTTAGGGTTCGGTTCGTTCGTTGCGTTGGCTGCTGTCGCTGAGTGAGCGGAAGGACTTGCCTCCCGACCGTTCCTTGGCTCGGGGGCATTCTCGCTCCTCACTCAACAGCAGCGATGCAACGACGCCACACTCAACTCACTGTATGCAAGTGAGCTGGCAGCAAATCCCGACGAAGCTGCGCAAATCCCCAAGTCGAGCCACGTTTTCTCATCTCAATGTCATGAAATCAAAGATCTTAAACCCTGCGAGGCCTGTACGCAGCCTTCTCAATAGGCGTAAACTCGCCCGTAGCAATAATATCCCTGCTCGAGAGCCCAACCTCAACACCAATCTTCGCTCCTTCCGAGATCTTCCACTGCTGCGAGTAGATATCCCAGTGGGAGATGTCGCGGCGGTTGAGCTCGAAAGTAACTTCCTGGCTCTCACCAGGCTCGAGGTGAACCTTCTCGAAACCACGCAGGACGCGTGGAGGAGTGATCGCCGAGTTGGCGATTTGTGGAAGAGCGAGGTAGAGTTGAGGAACAGTGGCACCGGCGATATCGCCGGTGTTGGTGACGGTGGTCTTGACGGAGTAGAGTTTCTCCCAGAGGGCTGGGTTACCACCGACGGCGACTGGGAGGTCTTCTGGGAGGGCAGCAATTGGGCCTTCGGTGAGAGGGGTGATTTCTGCGCCCTCGAGTTCGAAAGTGGTGTAGGAGAGACCGAAACCGAATTCGTATTGGACGCTGAGGTTGTAGTAGTCGAAGTGGTGGTAGTCGGTGAGAAGACCCTCTTCGAAGTCGTCTTGCCAGGCGTTGGGGTCGTCGGTCTCGAGGAGCTCGGTGGAGTTGATGATTGGGACGAAGTCGTAGTCGTTCACGCCCTTGGCGATGGTGTATGGGAGCTTGCCGCTTGGGTTGATCTCACCCCAGAGGAGGTCGACGATGGAGTTTCCAACTTCCTGTCCACCAAGGTGAGCTGCGACGATGGCAGTGACGTTAGGGTGGTCAGCGAATGGCAGGACGTTCAGACCAGCGGAGTGAGTGATCACGACGGTGTTAGCACACTCCTTGGCAACAGCCTCAACAACACCAGTACCGTTGAAGTCAGGGAGCAGGCTGGTACGGTCGTAAGCCTCAGATGCCCAGGTCTTGAGGAAGACGAGGCAGACATCTGGAGGCGATGGAAGGACGCGAACGAAGCCACCTTCGGCGGCGATGATGGTGTTGTTGAGAATGTACTGGACAAGAGCACCCTCGCCAGCCTTGGCCTTGATGGCCTCGAGTGGGGTCACCACGTAGGTGTGTCGACCAGTACCAGACCCTCCCGCAGTAGGAAGTACACCAAACTCGTAGCCGATCTCTTGGGTGAGTTGAGCGAAGTACAATCCATCATCAATGTCACCGGCATCGTTACCGAAAACACCAATGTTTTGTGGGTTCTTGAGTGGCAGAGTGTTGTTAACGTTCTTGAGGAGGACGGAACCAGCGGAGCCAAGCTCGCGAATGTGCTTGACTCTCTCGGCATTACGAAGATCAACCACCTCATCACCGTAGGTCCAGTTGTAGCGGTACTGGCTAGTGTTCCAGGTGCGTTGAGTAGATGGAGTAGATGGATCGATAAGTGGGTAGTCCTGGTCCTGACCCAAGTAGAAATATGGTGCCATGATGCGGTGTGCCATGTCGTCCAAACGACTGGCAGCCAAGCTGCCGTTGTTGACCGAAGTGGTGAGGTTGGCACCCCAGAAGGATGGCTGAGAAACCTGGAACTCAATACCGCCGGGCATGTTCATGTCGAGACCTGCATCTGCAGCGTGGTATCCAGCATGTGTTGCCATCCAGTCGGAGACAACCCAGCCCGGGAAACCAAGCTCTTCCTTCAGGATGCCATTTAGAAGCTTGCTGTTCTGGCAGGCGTAAGATGCGTTGAGACGGTTGTATGAGCACATGAAAGATGCCACACCAGCATGGACGGCATCTTGGAAGGGCCAGAGATAGAGTTCGTGCATCGTGCGATCGTCGATGTTGGAGGAGATAGCTTCGATGGTGATGTTGTTGTCGTTCGTGGTTGGGTTACGCTGAGTCTCTTGCTCGTTACCCACCAAGTCTGCAGTCGCGTTAGCAATTTCGAGCAAGTTCGTAACGGGTTTCACTTACGCTTTGCGCAAGCTTGAACACCTCGGTCTTGGTGTCCCTTGATGGTCTCGTACATGAAGATACCAGTCAAGTATGGATCGACTGAGAAACCTTCCTATAGGTCACTGTCAGCTTGGCTTCCTCTCATATCACTCTCAATTGTGTGTCTTACCCAGTTTCTGCCTCCAAGACCACTTCGTCCAAGAGGACCAGCGACAGGTCCCAGAATGACCTGAGATCCCTTCTCTCTGTACTCGTCTGCTATGTGTACAGCTCTCTCATATGCAAGTTTCTTGTCCCATGAAGCACCAACAGTCAGACCTGTAATAGCCATCAGTATCATAGATAGAGGCAGGCACGAAAGGGCGTTGCTTACCTGCGGGATAGACATTTGCGTAAACTGCTTGACGTATGGCGAGAGGACCATCTTGGAGGCAAAGGCCATTGAAGCCAAGACGAGGAATGGGTGCGATGTTTCCAACGCAAGGTCCCTCAGTACCAGTAACGAGTGCTGACTTCTCTTCAGTAGTCAACTGTGCAACCCACTCCTTGGCCTTCTCGAGAGCTTCCTCCCAGCCAATGCCGGTGATGTTTGCTAAGCTCCGGTCAGCATCAGTCAAATGGAGCTGGAGCGTCCATGCTTACGCGATGGGTAGACTGGAGGACTGGTGGTGTAGTCCTCGTGGTTCCAGGCTGGGACACCTGGGGTGGTGGTCTCGTTTTGTCCATTGACCAGAGCAAGAGATGCCAGGAAGGCAGCTGCTGCGCGCAGCTTCTCTGAACGAACCATGATGATCGATTATGCTAGACTTCCAGTAGCACAATTGAAGCTCACAGCTTTCGAATGGCAGAGACGACGAGAGGCCATCGTTAAGTACTCTCACACGGCCGCTCATCGGCCTCGAGATCGACAACGATGCCATCGCAACATTTCGAGACTATCCACTGGAGCCACTCACGATGCAACCCTCGTGGCCGACACGATGCCTCTCGCGGTTGTGTCGACCGGAGCGGAAGGCCAACAGTGTCGTCACGCCGTTTTTTCTTGAAGCTGCGGAGGAGCTAGGAGGTCAGTGCACATGGTACTTGTCGGGTATTGACCAAGAAGAGGAAAGTAGCTGCAGGTTCTATGTTCTTGGCGGTCCCTCTATGGTGCGGAAAAGGGCACGCGGCCCTTAAGAACACGCCTCAATCTTAGGTGAGGCTTGTGCTTATGTGGAGAATGCTTCGAAGTAAGTTTCTCGATCCATCGGGCAGCCTCTCCAATACTTGGGGTAAGACTGAGCCATTTCGTGACGTCCTTGGATGTTCTGACAGACCTCTCTGGTATTGGTAGGCTGGTATTTCGAAGGTGTTCACGACATCGTACAGCCTCTCAAGCCCTCGGCCGAGGCAGTGGATCACAGTCTAGTGACGCTGGTTCACGCACGATATCGTGGTCCGGTTGAAATGAATTTTGCAACAGGGTGGATCGTTGTTCCCTCGTGTTTCTCCACCGTGATCGAGGCGCGCTCCAGCTTCACTCCAGACCCCACTCAACTTCTCTCCAGGCCCACTTTGGTAGCAAAGATGGAGGGCCGAAGTCATAACAGCCCGCTAGTCGGCAATAAGTGACTCGTGACACAGAGGATTATGCTAAAGACCACCGGACGTAGCAGAGAGTGGCAACTTCCGATGTTAGCATCCGATCCGTCTTATGTGCCTCCGTCACGATCTTCTTGTGCGTTGCAGCCAGATGCCGAATCTTAAGTGCTATCTAGGTACGTATGCTGCACTTATAAGGCGTAGTTGGGGCTCCGCAAAAGCATAGCCGAATAAGGAGGCTGGCCTCGAGAGATTTTCGGCGCAAATTGCCCACGGCGAGCTCTCAAAAGTCGGCATTTCATCGTCAATGAGGCGGCAATTGCAGTATGGCGGAAACGAGGGCCGAAGTTCCAGCACCAGCGGACCGCAGTGCGTTAGTACGCGATGTTCGCAGTGGTATTGGTCTGTACGGGCCGAGCGGTGGCATCGTGGTGCCGACGTCGTTGTTGTCGGCTGTCTGTTGACGCTGCCACTTTCACCAGTTCCGGTTACGTGAGACGATGCCAAGCCAAGACCGTCGGCTTACGGCTCCGAGCCCTACACTAGTGGAGAAACATCGGAGCAGCAGCCGAGCTAGCAACACCGCACACTTCTTGGCCGCAATGCTTTGACATGCTTCTTGGAAAGCAAGTGACGCTGAGAAGCTACGCTAGCCCGCAATGCCCATAGACGTGGCGGAGCAAGTGGTCCTAGCCATTACTTGAGAGAAACCGGCTCCACGACATTGCAAGATCAGAAAGATGTCCTGGCCGCACGCTGCGCCCTCCACGAACACCACATGCTCAAGCATTTCTCAGTCTGGCATGCCCGCGCTTCTCGTCTCGAAGAGTGCAACCAGAGATGTGATAAAGACGGGTGGAGACCGAATGGGGACGGATCTCACGTGGTGAGCACACACGCACACCATCAAGAAGTGTGGTAAAGACCAGGTGAGGGCAGACGCAGCAGAAATGCTGTCATTTGCAAGTTCGCGACCGCTCCGGAACTTGCTGTAGGGGCGGGGACCGAGGATTGCAGAACAGCTTTCCCCAGTTCGCTGTCGATTGGCAGTACCAACTATAACCTTCGGAGATACAACAACGCCGCATACTTCAAGTCAACTGGAGCCACCGAAGAGACCCAGCAGGAGAACACACGCAGTGCCCGCTGGAAACCTCATACGACAGCGAATCCGGTTAAGTGGGGGCACTCGTGCTTGCCTCTTCAGCCCATCACGAAGACTGCTTTCTGGAGAGTGTCGATGGATCTTGATTTTTGCTCGAGTCGTGCCTGCCGTAGAGCAGGATGCTGCTTGCATTGATACCCTCGCCTTCCCTTGGCTTCGACATCTTCCACGCTTGTTGTGCACCTAGTACAATTGCGATTCTCATGGAACACGCCCAGGCTTCAGCATTCACAGCAATGAGAAGCAGACTAGACACGAGGAGGGAAAAATACTGCCTAGCACGACCGTGGTTTCGATGGGGAACGCCCTGGCTTTGATGCTGATTGAGGTAGGAAGAAGATACGCGCGAGGTCGAGAGCAGACTCACTAGCACGACCTCAGTTATGACGAGACGTCCTCTGGCTGTATCACTCATCGTGACGGGAAAGGAATAAGCATGAGGTAAAGAGAAGATCGCCGATCCCCTTTATAATGATGATGAGACACGCCCTGGCTTTATCATTCATCGCGATGGGGAGAGCATGCCGATGAGGCAGAGTGGGCTGACCTGGCATGATCGAACATCAAGATGGGCATACATTGACTTCAGGGCCCGTCATGGTGGGAAGAGCATGACTGTGCGGAGTGCATTGACCTGGCATGATCGAACATCAAGATGGCGCATATATTGACTTCGTGGCCCCTCGCGATGAGGAGAGCATGACTGAGCGGAGTGCATTGACCGGGCATGATTAACGTCAAGATGGAGCACATATTGGATTCATGGCCCGACTTAATGATTCTCGTTGTCGCTGAGAGGTCTGACATGTTTGGAGCTTCGAAGGTTGCATTGCCGTGATCAATGGCGCAAAGACGAGATACATGCTGTGTACGATACACTCGAAGCGCGAGCTGGAAGAGAACATCCACCCAACCGAGCTACTCTCTAATGCTTCTGTTGGTGGCTTCGACCCTCGTGGTCTTCGTTGGCGTGCGTAGGATCCTTCTCGTTGGCTAGCCGCATGATGGCTTTGTTGTGACACTGCAATGACCAGCCCCGGGAAAGGGCGTTGAGCGGAATGTAGATGCGCCTCATTTTGTCTGTTCGGGCCCCTTCTACTGAGCCATATTTGGTCTCGTCTTCTCTCTGCTCTCGTGTACATCTTCATCTTGTCCCTGCACAGTTTGTCGAGGTCGCGCTTATTCTCTGGAAGATGCCCCTTCCGAATCATCCATGCGATGTCCTTGTTGTGGCAATGCAAGGTCCAGCCCCATGACAAGGCGTCGAGCGGAGTGTAGATGCGATGAAAGAACATGCTACTGGCCTGATACCAATCCGCCGGAAGACGCCAAGCTGATATGAAGGCATCCTTAGGTTGCATGCCCACCATGCCAACAGTTCCATCGGCGACAGTCTCCGCGAGCGAATCCATTCCCTCTTGTTGAACATAGTAAGGTCCCCGCCAAGGTGCACATGTTGCGTCTTCGAAGAAGAAATAGCTTGCAACGTGATGGACGTAACGCTGGCACTCGGTGTGTTTGTACGTGTCCTGTAGCTGCTTCCCAGCGTCACCGCTGGTCCACATATATTCCGCGCCTTTCGAAAGTGATGCAGTGGCTAAGCCGAACGGACAGCCGGGACAAGGCCGGTAAAGACCGCTGTGTTGGTAGGTCGGTAACACCTCTTTGTCGATGTGGCTTGACACATAGCGACTGTAAAGCTCGGGCCAGCACAGTCGTGTGTTGCAGCCAGGATGAGGGCAATCATGGTATTGCCAAATGATCTTGTTGTAGGGCAGGAGACATGGGCGAAGGGATTCCGTTTTGCTGACAATCGACGTCTTCGGATCCGGTTGTGGGAAGAGACACTGGCTGGCTGTGTCTCCATGAGCCGAGCAGCGGCCGTTATTGGAGCAAACCGCTCGTTCTGTTTTGAGCTTGGCACTCTCAATCTCGTAATGCAGCACATGTCTGTATTGTGCGTCGCCTTGGAGGTGAGACACTGTGGCTTTGAACTGGTCCTTGTTCCCCTTGCGGGTCCAGTCTCGAGCCATGTCGTCGAGCTTGTCTTGAGTCAGGCGCTGCAGACCGATCTGGAGGATAAACACAACCCTAAAGCGCAAGTGTGGCTTTCCACACTCTGGACAAAGCACTGTTGGTGGAAGGATGAAGCAGAAGTCCACATCTTGTTTCACTGTCTTACTCTTGTCCATGATTGGGAGCAGACGATATCTGAATGGCAGCGTAACATACTGATCCACTCCCTCCCAGAGCTCGAGCATCTTGCTGACACCACATGGTCCGTGATAGCCTGATATCCAGGAGTATTCCCAAGCACGGAGTGTGCATGGAACGAGGAAGTCTGAAGAATGCCGCATGAGTGCAGCGTAGAATGGAAGCTCTTGCACATGCTCTTCGTCAAGGCTCATGGCGTTCCAAATACCCATGGCCTCGTCGACAAACTCTTCCCGCTCATTTGAAAGAGTGAATGTGGTGGCGGATCTTGATCGACATCGGAGTCCTTGTGGAAGGTAGGCGCCGTTTTGAATGACCTCTGCGCGAACAGCTTGCGATCTTCTTCTGACATGTACGAAGCTAGAGCTGAAGTACGGACTGCACTCGGAAGAGCCCTTGTGTCTTCTTGCATGCAGTACAAGGAACCGTGAGTGGTGAAACGAAACAGAAGTCAACGTCGTCCTCTGCTTTAAACCTGGATTTGGCCTTGCCGAGATTGAGACGATCGCCAAAACGCAGAGTCACATGGTCCTGTACGTTTCCCAGACTTACATCAGCTGATGAACGACATAAGGGCCGCGGTAGCCTGCCATCCAGGAATACTCAAAGGCCCGCAGAGTGCAAGTGTGGATCAAACGTAGGTCCAGAATCAAAGCAGCGTAGCATGGGAGTTCTGGGACATTGTCGTCATCAAGACCAACCGCGTTCCCGATGCTAATAGCTTGATCTAAGCACTCGCTCCACTCTTCCTGGACCAATGAATGTGAGGCGGGATCTCACTCAGGTCTGAGATCTCAGAGAATGCTGGTTGCTCCCTGAATTTTCGCTCAGCGAAGATAGCACGGTTCTCATCTGACATTCTGCATACTCTGTTGTCAGACATCCATCGGTGAGCCTCACCTTGAGACGGATGTGGAGTTGCGCCAGAAGCAGTGCCGTCATTAGCATAATCGTTGCCATGAATCTCCTCATATTCCACACGGAGTGTATGTGACTCCTTAGAGTCAGAGCTCCTTAAATCAGTTTCGGAGTCGGAGTTGTTGTCATTCGAAGCGGGGTGTGAAGCAGTTGCTGGCGAACAGCTGCACGCCGTTGCTTCGTCCTCGTTGTCCGGGTCTAGGGCAGATTCCTCGTTCCATTCTGCTATTGGCCTGGAATAAGCGGCGCGTTCAATGGAGTAGTGTTTGCCAGCAACTTCTTCCTCCTGGGTAGTGATATCCAACTTGTTGACGAGTTCACTCGGAGCATACATCCCCTTAACAGCCCAAGTGAAGAAGAGAGCCATGTTGCCCCACTCTCCCCAGTCTAGGGCATCAGAGCGACTGAACAAGGCGTTCAGTCGTGTGCGCTTGACCGCCATCTCTGCCGGGTCCCAGTCTTCTGGTGTCATGGTCTGCTTCCTCCGAAACACGATGTCCAAGAAATTCTTGAGGCTCTTCATAGTGTAATGTCGCTCCCGCCAGCCGTATGATGGGAAGAACTCTCTGGTTTTGCGTGCGTTCCCCGCTGGGACGAAATGCGGGTCGTCAGTAGCGGTATCATGCTCACGCTTATGGTGTCGCCTATCCTCCTTGCGGGCCTGGCCCGCTGAACTCTGACTCTCCGACGCTCCCTGGAACCTGTGTGGCTTCACCATGCTGGCGATAGTGTGATCAACAGCGACGGTGGGTTGTTGGGCAGATTCTGAATACCGATGAGCAGGTGTTCTGGGGTGAGGCGGAAAGGATGTGAACGAGCACCAAGGCTGTGGAAGGCGCGCGCTAAGTCCGCTGCTGCCCGACAAACTTCATTCCTTCCATCGCTGGACGCAATCGTGGGGACCATCCTTACATTACACTCACTGACAACAGGGCGCAGCTGAAGCTTCTTCGGTTGCTTGCGACCATCGTGGCGGCCATCCTGAGATTGCTTTCACTGTCAATATGGAGCTCAAGCCGAAGGTGGAGTTCCTTGACGGCCTGGCAACTTGGAATAACAAATACATACCTTGAACGAGCATACTCAATGCAACTCGAATATTCGAATATGTTCTCTCTACATCGACCGCGAAGGCGATCGGTGGACAGATGATGAAGATCGAGAAAGTGTATTGCCGCAACGGAAATAGGACGTGACAAGCAAAGTCGCGCGAGCAAAGCCGCACTTGCATTGCCTCCGCTCCGCTGTTGCTTTGCAATTTGAACTCCTTCTGTTGCGACAGAGTTGACTAGATCTTGAGAACGTGAGATCCGGTGCGATGCCCCTTCTTGACTACCGATCGTGCCGAGTTACATCGCTTCAGCTTTGCGTACATCCTTGATAAATGATTAGGTTGGATGATACCCCATTTTGAGGCACAGTCGTGCCGAGTAACTCCACTTCTACTATTACCTCAGCTTCCTGCCTTATCCACGCGGGTGGTCAAATCAGGAATGTCTCATTTTGGGGCGCGGTCGTGTCAGTGTGCCTCACTTTATCGTGATGCCCACTTCCTGGATCCACGATCAGCGGTATTTGTATAATTTATGCAAACAGCTCAAACCAGCATGGGCTAAATGCGCTAGCGTGCGTTCTTAGAACATCTGCCTATTTCTCATCTCCACCGGCAGGAAGACGAGCACCAACGCGCTCACCCAAACACCACCGGCACCAAGCCACAAGATACCAGCGCTCTCAGTTGCCAAGTAGTGTTGGCCGGCGAAAGGCGCGACAATACCGGCAATTCTGCCAAGACACGATAGCATACCGCTCGCGGAGCCCCGATAGGCTGTGTCGAAGAGTTCGGGCGCAGAAGCGTAGAGGACGGCGTTGAAGAACTGGGGGCAGAATCGTCAGTACTGGAAGAGTCAAACATGAAGAAGGGTAAAACGAACCGTTTGCATGATGTACTGAAACGCGTTCAGTCCGACCTGGAAAAATCATCAGTGTCATAGCACTTAAGGCATGCATTGTCCTTGGCGCAACTTACGTAGCCTGCTGTTGTATAGACTTGGGTGTACATCGCCATCGCTAGACCTTGTAGAATAGCTGAAATAACGAGCGACCATTTTCTTCCGATCAGTGGTAGTTGCACTGAGAATAATCCCATGACTGCACCGACAATACCGGGGAGGTATCTGCGCAAAAAGTCAGCCAAATCACCCCAAAATCGAGAATGAATGGTTTAACATGCATATAAATATAATGTCGATATGTGGTAACGACGTCGCCTCCGCCATCAGGCGATACCTCGTTGCGGAGGAGAATAATGGGCAGAAATTGGCCGGCCAGGTTGAAGGACCAATAATCTCCCATATAGGCAACAGCCAGCAGCAGGAAAATGAAAGTCTGGAGCCGGTTTGTGAAGAGAGCTTTGAGATTGTCGAAGGATCGAACGAAGCTCTTCAGAACCTTCTTCGTGGTCTGTTTGGTATTCAATGGGCCTTTGGGCTCCGCTGAGTCTCTCGAGTCGATGGTGGTGGTCTCATCAATGGCACGGAACATTTCCACAGTCAAAGTTGGCGGAGGTGCCTTGTTGAACTTGGCAATCTTGTGCAGAGTTTCGATTGCCCGCTCTTCGTGGCCTTTGCTGAGCAGGAATTTAGGTGTCTCGTGGAACCGGAAAACGAAGAATCGAAGGAAGAAAATGGCCAGCGTCATACAACCGAGGATGATGACAAGATAGCGCCAGCCCATGTTGCTTGCGACAGTGCAGCATGTGGAGCTGTTTCTTGGCTCGCCATCCGCAAGCGTAGTGCACCCCGGAAGGTCGGTACTGCATCGCCATGCCGGCTTTGCAGCGGTGCCAAACGCGATGGCGGAAGCGACGACAACACCGATCGGCTGCCACAGGGACAAGAGCGTGACGAAATTGCGGCGCTTTTGGGGTAAGTATTCCAGGGCAATCGTCGCATCAATGGGAATGTTGCCACCAAGACCGATCGAGGCCAGGAAGTAAATGCCACAGAATGCGTTGTAGTTAAACCTGGGTGCAGCCTAGATGTCCAAATGTCAGTAAAGCTCTGTCAGGTTTTGATCTGCTGCGTACACACCAGCAACAGTCCGAAGATACTTGTGATCAGGCAAGTCAAGTTGAAAGCCCACTTCCTGCCAATGACATCCACAGCCAGTCCCCAAGTGAAGGCTCCGACTGCGAGTCCGGCATTGGCCAAGCTGTAAAGCCTTCCCGTTTCGCCGTCAGGCACGCCGAATTCCTGGTAAATGGCCGTTGCGATCAAGCCCACACCCTGCGACCAGGCAAGGTCGAGGAAATAGCCAAAACCGCAAAGGAACCAAATACATATCTGATATCTTCCGAACCCAAAATTGTCGATTTCGGCATTTATCAAGGCGGCCTTTTTCTCGAATGCTGTAAGCGGCGCGTGGGCGTTACCGCTCAGGATATCGCGAAGGGAAATTTGGGTCGTGGTAGGGTTTTCGATCCCTTGGAGTGTCTCTTGGACATGCTGCGTCGCGTTCTCGGTTTGGGCGCGTTTCTCGCTCGAATCTGCGTCTGAGACTCGGTCGCTTCCTTCGCCAGAATACGGAGGAGGCGCCGTTGTTATGTGACCTTTTTCTTGATCCATGATGTCATGAAGTTGGATTGTGGCACGCGATCAAGCCTCCTCAGCCCTTTTCAATTTATGGACAGCCGCGGTCGCACAAACAGCACGTGTCGTGAAGACAGCCCGCGAAAGGTGAATGGGAGAAGAAGGAAATACACCGGTGAACAGGACGAGATCAGAGTGAGTGGAGTGGGTACCATGGTGAGCTCTTTAAGCTCGCGTGGCAAGATCTGAGGACGCGCAGCTGAAGATACGCGAGAAGCATGCTCTGGGCCACTCTGCCTCTCACTGGCTGTGAACGGAGTCTCCAAGCCAAACCTATGCCGCGTGCCCACTAGCACAAAGGCTAACAGAACGAGGTTTTGTGTGTGAGGATGGAGCCAAAATCTGGGCTTTGTTCATTGGATGCTGCAGGCGGTCATTGATCCGAGAGCTGCATTCCTGTCAGCTGGAAGAGCTAACGTCGTTTGCGGCGCGCAATGATGGCAGAGTGTGTCATGTACTATGCGCCAATGTTGGTAGCGAACTGCCAGACTTCCGTTATCTTGTGCTGCCATCGAGTGGCCACTGGGGCGGCTTAGAAATCGAGCATCCATATGCAAAGACCCGGCGGCGAGGGAAGAAGACAATTTGCAATGGATGTCGAGGATGTGAAGTTCTTGGTAGCATCTGGGTTTACCAGAGGAATGTGTCGCTTCATCCGGTGTGCCGGATTGAAGTCCAACAATGCCAAGACTGCTGTTGCTCCGAGCCCCTCGCGCCTGCAAACCTTCTCGAAGCCGCCACAACAACATCACACCTCGCGTCTCCCACCTCCATCTGCACCGACCGGCCACGTTTGATCACAGAAACTGGAATTTGAAGTCACTTCACGAATAACAGGGATAAAACAAACAGTATCACCGAGATGGTCATGGACGAGATACAACACACCTGTCCAATGCTGGTCTATAGGCTTTCTGGAGCTCTCAGCCTCATGCAGCATGCAGCACATCCGTACCTTACAACTTGGCCGCTTCGGATTCCTCCTTGTCAAGGTAGAACCTCACAGTATTGTGCCACATATGGTCGAAGCCTTGTTCACCTCCCTCTTTGTGAGCCAGACCTAACAGCTTTTCAGCCGGAAGCGCTTGCACTTCGAGAGGTCCAAGCTGCTCAAGGCCGCGCGAGCCTACTCGCTGTATGAAGCGCTCTTTAGGACTCCAGCTTTTCCCTGGTGGCTCGCCATGGCAGTATCCGATGATGAGATGTCGCCAGGCTGAGACACCTTCGCGCATTTCTACAGGCAATTGGTCCTCGTAGGGGCCCAAAAGCGAGACAACATCCCACGTATGACTGGCGCATTGATTTTGTGGCAGTGGTCCGGGCCAAGGATTGGGAATGTCGAATGACACCATGTAGCTTTCTGTTGGTGAATCGCTCGCACCATTGAGCATGCTAATCGCTGGTGCATAGAATCCTGCATCAGTGACAACCTGCCCGATCTTCAGCAAGGCGTCCTCATCGGAGTCGATGGCACTGATGCCGTAAATATTCAGCATGTCTTCAGGGTGCTTCAACTGCTTCTTGCAAGTTGACTCAAAAGAAGCCGCCCTCTTCTGGCGATTCTTCGCGTGCTCCACAAGGTATGAGATGGATCCATCGTAAGTACAAGAGCTGATGATTTGCGATTTGAGCCAAGCATTCGGCTTCAAGGTGTTCGCGTGGCGCATTGTTGCCCAGTCCTTGTCGGGAACCAGTTCTGTTTCTGAGCAGAAAGATCCATGAAGTGCTAAATCACGAATAGATTCCACAGGCACATCCAGAAGCTCACGGGCGACATCTTGTGCAGGGCGTTCTTTTGCATCTATGCCAAGACTTTTGGCCTGAGAACCGTAAGTTTCTTCCTTCCTCGCGAATCGACAACGAAGGAGCAGGCACGCGGGAAGAAAATTGCCAAACGCGACTTACCATCTTACAGAACTCGACATGATGCTCTTCTGGACTTTGCACTGAGATTATGCTACCGGACCCGGACAGAACGGCCGATTGACGAAAAAGCGGCTCCTTTCTAGGATTGCAATTGTGCAACTCCAAGCTTGCAGCACCTGCAGATTGTCCAATTGCTGTGACATTCTCCGGATCGCCTCCAAAACCCGCGATGAACTCTCGGATCCATTCGAAGGCCAACAGCTGATCGTACAGTCCATTGTTGGGCGGTAGCAGTTCCTCCGCTTCTGGAGAGTGCAAGAAACCTAATGGACCGAGTCTGTAATTGATCGACACAAACAACAGCGGTTTTTGCGATGCAAGTGCATCTGCACAAAGCTTGGTGGGATCATAATAATACCGCTCACCAGAAGCAACTGCAAGAGCTCCACCATGTATGAACGCCAGGACAGGGATCTTTGACTCTGACTTCAGTTGCGTCTCAGGCACAGTCAGAGTCACTCGAAGGCAGTCCTCTGATTGTGTCTGAGTTCTGCTAGGCTGCTCGGGAAGCTGATTCCATTTGAGGTCTGTCTCGATGCAATCGAGTCGCTGGATACTGGAAGGTCCCCATTGAGACGCATCGAAGCAAGTGTCGCCGTTGTTCCGTGGCAGCTCTTTCAGAAGACGTGCCCGGGCGAAGCGTCGTGAAATAGCAGCATACGGAATCGACCGAAATTGCACCAGTCCGCCTTCGACCTGCTGGCCCAGGATCGGACCCAGGTCCGGGTGTACGTGTCGATACATATCTCGTCACGAAGATCCAGATAGGCTGATGAACATGCCGGCTGTCAGCTTCATAATGAGCGCCTTCTGAGGTTCAAGAGGAACAGCTGAGCTCACATGAAGACTCCACTCCTCCATCGTGTGAAGCGGGCGCAGTCTTGGCTGCTGCTGTGCAGCGTCGCTTGACACTCGTTTGCATAAGCGACCCACGCGTGCTGTCACGAGGGATGACGATTATCTTGCACACTACAATCTGGTGCGTTGTTGTTGCTGCTAATCGGGGCCGATTTTGTGCAGCACGTTCAGCCTTCCACTGGCAAATTTGGAACCAATCGTCGCAGGCTTTAGGAGGTACTGATGCAACTGAGCTTCTGTACTACTTACATCGACATGCAGTCCGGATCTCTTGCCCAGGGTCTGGCTCGGTGGCAACACAGCACAATTTCGACGATTGGATGGAGACACCACGGCCGCGAAAGTGGGATGTGGAAGCGCCACGAAACGACGATCATGAGTGCATCTTGTCACATACACGAGTGTACTGAATGGAGTCTTTTCTGGCAAACAGCATCTCCTGCCAACGATTAGCAGCGCTTCGAAGAGTATGATCATAAATCGGGCGCCGTTCAGAGTCGCCTTGCTCATGCGTCCAAGCGAGGCGATGAGTACCATCTCGCACGACAAGGGCCTTCCGCCACAACTCCTGCATCCTTTGGCCTGGCGATGGCAGACTTATGAGCATACGTGGAGTGCGAACGTGCGCTCAGCTGCTTGTGACGGCCTTGGTGGAATTATATGACTTTCGCACTCGCTGCTCCACAGCGAAAGCGGACATGACTTTGTCCCAACAGATCGTTCGCTTACCATGACTGACCCTTTATCTATCTCCGTGGCGGCTCTAGCGTGCGTTGGGGCCGCTGCTACACTGACCAAGACGATACACAAGCTCATTCTGTTACAAAACGCCCCACAAGAGATTTCAGAGCTAGCAAAGGAAATCAAGACGATCCAGACGCACCTGGAGGGCTTTCACGAGGTGGTGAAAGAGCGCGGCAACGCGCACACCACCATTGCTGCAGCTTTACCGATCGACAAATGCATCAACGACGCACAACAGAAGACTACTCAGATCAACACTTTCCTGGAGACTAACTTGTTGAAAGAGACCTCGTTGGCAACAAAGAAGCTGAAGAAATCTGCCTGGCTCAAGTGGCAGTCTGAACTCCGTCGCCTGAAACAAGAGCTGCGAGGTATGTGAGCATACACCGGCGTCGCGCACGTGAAGGCAGATTTGCAGCCAGTCCGTTGCTGATCTTGACATCAACAGATATCAGGGTCGAGCTTGGAATCAATATCAACTTATTCAACGCGTATGTCATTTACAGTGTCGACGACAACCCAACGCACTTGGAGTGTGGGAACGCTGATCTCATTACAACAGGATCTCCGTCCGTCGCAATGAAGTTCTCATTGAGAAGCTTGCCATCGATGACCGGGACATGCACGCCAAACACAACAAAGACCTGAAAGCTCTTCATGAAGAGCTTTCGCAGCAGCGGCCTGCGCTAGCCGCAGAACTAGCACTGCAGCTGTCAGAATTCAAAGGTGCATTCCAAGTCTCATTGCTAGAAACCGTGGTCGCCTCAATGAGTCGTCGAGAGTCCAGTTCTTCAGATGGCCTGGCCTCCGATGGCGACTCAGTTGCTGCCTCTGCAAGTCAGAGCTCTTCAAACGCCTCCACTCTCGTCCCATTCAACGATCCTTCGGCCGACTTGATCCTGGCTGGCCGAAGGCATTCTGAGACGTCTTTCGCACAACAACCGGAGGGAACACTCCATGCACAAGAGTTACGAGCACGCAGCTGGTCTACCGGCAATGCTCATTTTCCTGATGATCACCTTATCCACGGATCGACCTCTTCGACTGCGCCAATCTGGCGTTCCGACAACGATTCGTATGCTACGGGACATTCGTCAAAACAACCGACTGTTGGCATACAACTCATGCAGCGCTTGTCGGGCTGCAGGCCACTCTGCCCTTGTCATTGCCATCATGCTTTCAAGTTGAGGACTCCCGACGTGCTACGCAATGTCACGGGCCAGGTTCTGGTTGACTATTCGGGTATGGGCTACAATGTCACATGCAACGAACATGCCTGTGCGAAGAGGCAGAAAGCCGCCTTAAGGATTCAATACCACTTCCCCATGTGGTCCTACATTCAAGGAGTGCTTACTCTCGTGTCGAGGATCAATGGCGCGCGTGGACCAGAGAAAATTCTCAGACTGTCAAGGTTACGTCCCGGACTGCACGAAGTGTTCATTCAAGTTCAGAGTAGGTTTACTTGATTTCGCTCCCATGTTTTCTGGATTACTACATTGCTGACTTACTATAGGCGGAGACAATGGGCGTCTTCGGCAAATGTTCGAGAACGGAGAAGCTTCTCCATACGATGCTACTGATACCGGCTGGACATTACTGCATTATGCACTGATGGCGGGACAACTGCACACCGCCAAATTCTTGACAGACGCTGGTGCTGACCCACATGCTAACTCCCTTCGAAATGAGACACCTTACTCCATAGCTTGGAATCGCCTCTTGGCAGGTGGCCTTAACCGCGAGTCTGAACTTGCCCTTCGTTCCATTTTCAATGACACCGAACAGCTGGACTCACGGCGGTTCACCATGCTTCACAAGATTGTGCTCGGATTGTTTGGGAGGGGCCTGCGCGAAGAACTAGAAGCCGCAACAGCCAGCATCAATGTCAGGGATGGCACTGGCTACACGCCGTTGGCATGGGCCGCTGCACGTGGCGATAAAGACTCGGTCCAAACGCTGCTTGAGTATGGAGCCTCAGTGACGATGACCAACAACGTACACCACCAGCCAATCCATCTAGCAGCCCAGACTGGCAACGTAGAGACAGTTCGGACGCTGATCCAGCACGGCGCAGACATCAATGCCCGAGCGCAGGACACCCTCATGTCGCCACTGCACGAGGGCGTCGGGACGAAGGACGACCGAGAACACGTGCAGGGCCTCATTTATCTCGACGCTGAAGTGGAAGGTCTCGACTTTTGCGGATGGACGCCACTACACTGGTGCTGCTGGCGAGGATATCTCCAAAACTTGACAGCCCTTCTCGATTCAGGTGCAAATGTGCATGCTCGAACGAAGGATGGCAACGCACCGCTCATGCTTGCCGTGGCAAACAACAGCGTCAACTGTATACCGGCTCTAGTAGCCGCTGGTGCAGAGACAAAAGTCGTCAAGAACAATGGATGGAGCCTTCTGCATTATGCTGCAGTCGGAGGCAAGGTTGAGACATTGCGAGCGCTGGCTAAGGCCGATCTTTCGAGATGCGACTTGTACAACCAGCGCACAGTCGATACGAAGCAGTCAGTTCACGATATGTTCTCGAACAGACTGGCAGCTCTGGAACATCGACCAGACGAACTCCGTGAGATTCAAGACGCCTGGGACGTTCTTGTCGAACGAGTTAATTCGAGTTTTGCTACCAGTCGGCGGACCAGTACTTCTTCTTTGGCCAGTACGAACGATAGCGATTTTGTGGATGCTTGTAGCGACTTGGCTGACCTTTCTCTGCATGATGGGGAAGAGTGATGACTGATATCAAGACTTTGGGACATCAAAATCTCATTGGGATCATTCGTTGGACCTGTGCTAATATCTGGTGCCTGGGTCACTATATGTTCAGAACCCACTGTACCCGGGTCACATCTACCTCGTCGCCACATTCGCAATATGGTTCGCCGCAGCATTGGCATATCTCGATACAACGTTCGAATGCACTGCACCATCATATGGCTCGATGTTCTCCGCACAAACACGATCACCGCGATCACACCACTGCAGCAAACGGCTCGAATATCGACTCAATTCTGGAAGGCTGAAGTCTGTGCGGCCGAGAATCCCTTCCCCATCGGTTGCAGTGCCGCGGTTGTAGGCTTGGTTGGCGGCTTGGGCTGGGTCGCCGAAGAGGGCAACGCCGCGGACTGTGGACACAGAAATGTGAGCAAGAATTATGAGAGTTATTCGACGAATAAGGCTTACTGTTTCCTCGCAGGTTCTCCTTCAAAGGTGGATTTCCAAATCCACTTCCAGCCAATCCTGTCGAGCACGCATTCGCGCCTTGGCTATACCCGAGGAGGACAATTCGCTCGTTGGGACATTGGTTTACTCTCGCTTCGATCAATCGCTGAACTTCTCGAATACCTTCTCGTACAGAGAAAGGATAAGCTGGAGCACCAAAGTCGATAATGTTGGCTGGGTAGACAACACTGGTGAAAACTGAGCCTGGAATTCTTTGCCCGATGAGCTGGACAACTTGAGAAAGACGACCTGGGCCTTGTGGTTCGCCGGATCCGCGAGCGACGATCATGTAGACGCCTGAGGCGCAAGAGCTTTGGCGCTTGGAGATATCGAGTCCCGCGAGAACTTCTTCGGCCGTGAGCTCTGTCGCTGAGGTGATGGGCGTGAGATCTTCTTCGGAGATTGGTGCTGGTGCGAAGGGAGCTGTGTCGATTGGGCTGAAGCCGGCTTCGATGATTTTGTGCTCGTCGGAGGCAGTTGGGAGGGCTTGAGCGATTGCCGCGAGGGCGACGTTCAGGTAGAGGGTGGAGCGGACCATGGTGGTTGCTGTATAGGCAAAGAACTGGCAGATTCGCAGGCACGGCACGATGGGAGTATGTTTGAATTTGAATCACGGCTCCCACCTTTTATACCCTCTCAACAACGCCGAAAGGAAGCGTGTGAAGCTATGTTAGTCGTTCCATAGCGTCTTGACTACTTCGAAAATCTACAACCTGCGGTCTGCAAGAACGCGAACGTTCACGAATTCGCATTCTTGTCCTCGCAGGCGTTCGCCTAAGCAAGCTGAAACAGGCAGGTGAGCAGATTTTAGCTGACTTAGTGCACCAGTATAGCTCTTGGACAGTCGTGCTGTTGTCCAACGACGTTTCAGAAATTCGAACGCGTGGGCGACGATCTGTGAAGATCTTGCGGGGCGGAATTTAGGTCTTGGAAAATTAGAATTGGGAAAGGCTTGGGTGCATCGGGCCAAGAGCGCGGTTGTGGTAGATCTTTGTAAATAGAGTTTTTATCGGAGCTTGAGGAAGCATGCAGGACTGTGGTGTTGCGAATTTAGCGAATGCTGCTGGGTGGTTCATCTGGGCTTTGATGGTTCTGGTTATGGTCGCTTGTCCTGTTCACTTCACTTCATCGTTGTTTCAGCGCATTGGCCAGATTGCCAAGAAATCCTTCAGTCAACAATAGCGATTTGGGCCTCTTAGCAATTTTGCTGGAATTGAATGCTCATGACAGTGGCCCTAGATTTGCAAGTGTACCGAACAGCTGCTTGAGTTCAAAAGTGTGGCTTGTCGGTCGTGTCGACGTTGACGTTTTGTGCTGAGGAAGCATGCGTATTTCGGGCTGCATTGCTCACCGCATTGCTGTGAAATCAATTCATGGTCAAGTCCTGTGAGACAAAGACCAGGTTCGGAAATTTGCAGTCGCACGTACTCAAATTCTCTCGCGGATATGGCCCGTAGGATACAGGAAGGGATCTTCATCTTTGACCTGTTGCCAATATTGATACACAGCCTCCAAGAATTTAGAGTCAACGTCCGCTTTATGGTCCAAAGCGGCCGGCAGGTGGCTCAGAACCCAACAGCGCGCGGCCAGTATTTCCTTGTCCACTTTCGGCAATTTTAGTACGCGTGTTACGTCCTGTTGGGATCTGGCATGCGTCTGAAAGCGTTGAAAGTCTTCGTAATACTGGCCGCGCCCGAGGCTAGCGAACAGCAGATAAGCCACATTGTCGAGATCTTCCTGGTGTAGCTCGATATCGAATGCCCAGCTTCCATGACTATCGGGCGCCATAAGATCAACTTTTTCCTGAAAGTCTAATTCCTCGTAACGCAACAAAACTTGAATCAAGACGTCCTCAGGGGTCATTGTGTAGTCCGCTATTAGTTTAAGCTCATTGAGCTTTGCCCGCATATCCGGTAATCCAAGCAGAGCGAACACTTTATCTCGGGGATCGAGACACCGTCGATCCCGGCTAGATGTCAGGTAGTTGCTTAATATGACGCCAGGGCTGAGGATGTCCGCCATCGCTTTAAGAGCGACCTGCTTGTACCACCAGTCCCAAATCAGGTTTTCGTAGTTCTTGTTCACTGCTGGCCGATTTAAGCCCTCATCTTTGAGTTTGTCCAAAGCTCCAGCAAGGCCCATAAGTTCTGCCAGTGAACAGGCACTGCTTGCGGTTTTCAAACAGTGATTCCGACCCGGAGTTGCTAACATCACTTCCTGATATGTCCACATCCTCTGGAAGTAATCATGACAGTCAAGCAGGCTATGTCATTGAGAAGTTCTTCTGTGGTCCGATATGCGCATGTGAGACGAACGCTCTCCACTTGCTCCTTCGACACTGACATAAGATCGTCCACAGTCTTATAGAACGGACCTCCTAGAATCTTGTACAGCGCCCTCGCTACCGAAAGAGCCCTTTCTATTGGTGGAGCCACATCTCCAAGCCAGGCGATGACTTGACCGGCCCGCTCGTAGATGCTCCACATGATGTTGACCTGAGCCGACTTCTCTTCTATGTTCGCTTGATCAATGCACACGGCATCAATCCACAAGAAGGTGTACATGTCTGGGCGGACATGTGCTGCTGTGATGTAACACACAAAGAATCGCAACAAATTCCCGGCCACACTGATGTTTTGGTCATCGACTTGAATATGCCCTACTGGTTTCGAAACTCCCCAGCAATACGACAGAGCGGTATAATCAGTCCCCTCGATTGGGCAATGAACCAGCTCGCACCTTATGTCGTCTGTCCGGCTATTTGGCAGGATTCGAAGCAGGCGTATTGTATTCGGTTCGAGAGGTCTGTACTTGTAAGGTTGCCGCATAGTGAAGGAAGGAGCAGTCGGTATTGGCAGAAGAACCAAACCAAATCGTGTACTATCTCTGTCCAGATGCTTCTCGAGTATCGTCGAAAGCTTCGGGGTTCAGCAGGTGCAGGTGCAATGCTCTGCTCCGCAGAAGGAGGAAGCGTCGGATCACACTATCTTGTTCCTTCCGAGAATTCGTCCGGCTCTGGCAGGTACAGTTTGAAATGGAGACAGGTCCAGTATACATGCAATGCGCAGAAGATGTTGCGAGAGTTGAGGAGCGACTTGTCTATGTTGCCCAAGTAAAGTACAGCGAGGCTGAGTCGATTGTTACACGGCCGCGGGCTACGCAGAGACTGCGCCACCTCTCACAGATTTTGCTGGCCAGAAGATACCAACGGACACGGTTCTGGTCAGGAGTCAGAAGGAGAAACAGTGAACGCAGCCACCTTCTGACTTGGAATCGTCCTGCGAAAGGTTGACTGAGACGGCTCAGAATCTGGAAGGTAGTTTCGCGGTCAACGAGCTTTGAATGGTTGGTTCACGCTTGGTAGTAGGAGTGACGAGTGGTGTACCCTTATCCTAAGCACCTCATCTCGGCGACGGCGACAGCGTCTGTGACAGTAAATTCTGGCAAGGCACGAAGTGCTGCACTCGTAACTTAATTTTAGCGATCGCATTGTCCAATATTCCTACACCAAGTGAGTACCGTATCAATCCATCAAGAACTTGTTCCAGCATGAAGCCACTCGTATCCCCTCAAGCACACAACAAATCCCACTTCATCGCCACCAGCACCCAACACTCCACTCCCAACGACCTCTCCCCTTCAGCCCCTTCACCACCATTCTTCCCCACCTCCTTCTCCCAAACCCCATCAAACCCCCTCTCCCAACTCTGCGCATCCCCCCTCTGCCCCACAGCCATATCCAAAATCCTCTCCATCTCTCCTCTCAACCTCCCCAATTCCTCTTTCCCTTTAACCTCAATCCTCCTCTCCGAAATCCTAATCTTACCAACTTCAAACCCCGCTTTCTCCGCCATATCTCTAATATCCTGTTCCGTAGAAATATACCCTTCGTCGAAAGAGGAAGTAGAATTCCGGCGGCTGGAAGTCGAGAGGATCGACGAGAGAATTGAAGCAAGAGGATTATGTTTTGTGATTGTGATCACGGCTATGCCTTTGGGGATGAGGGAGTAGAAGATTTGTTTGAGGAGAGGGAGGGTGTGAGTGTGGTGGTAGATGTTTATGTGGGCGAAGGCGTGGGTGAGGGAGTCGTCGGAGAGGGTTTCGGATTCGGAGAGGAGGGTAATGTTGGCGATTTTGGCGAGAGTTGGGTCGAGGGTTTTGGGAGGGAATTGTGGTTGGGTTGGAGAGGTGGGCGAGCTTGCGATGTTGGATGGGCTGGAGGGTATGGAGATGCTTTTTGGGAGGTCGTGAGAGGAGTCTTTGAGCCAGGAAAGTAGCGTTTCGGCCATTTCGATGTCGGAAACGGATATCTTGGACGAGCCATTGAGATTGAGCTTGGGGAAGTGCTCTTGCCAGATAGACTGATAGAAGGCCTGGCGAGCAGGCGCGAGCGCATTGGTTATTGATTCTGGAGTTGAGGCCATTGTAGGTTGTTTCTTTTGTTCTTTCCCTTCGTGCTGGTATACGTGAAGTCGGTGATGTTACATGCTTCGAGATGATCAAGCTGTGCCACCAAACAACCTAGAGATAATTGTCCTTGCTTTGTGTTTCAGCGTGGAAGCAGTCAGTCAAGATGACAGCATAGCGCAATGTCCGGGATCCATAATCTCTATCAAGCTCAAGCTTGTGCTTGTGCCTCACTGACCCCTCACGACGTGCATGGTGGTCAGCGGGGAACCAGGGTCTCGGCAGCAGTGCAGTAATGCGTGGAATGAAGTCCGCCTTTTGGAAGTGAACCTTGTAAATGCGCTGTGATCGCAAATATCATGATAAATGCCATCAGCTTTCGAAGCTGTGCATTTGCTGGATTCCCGAGTAAACAGTCGAGAAAGGGTGGCGGCACCCTTTACAAAAAGTCGCATGTGTACAGTACTGCTACCCATGCCGAACGAAGAGAAACAACATCCAGACGCCCTGCTATGCCTTTGCCGAAATGCTCATATGCTACCGTGAATCGCAAATCTAGGTCTCCACATCTGTCGACTGTCATTCTTCGACTTCTAGTGCTCACGGCAATGCTCCTCCTCAGGCTTCTTGATACACATCTTTCTCGGGATCGCCGGGATCTCCCAATCTACCTCTTCCATGATGGCATATGCCTCGAATGGTGCTCCTAGAGGTTTCTGCATTTTCTTCTTCGTCTTGGTGACTTTGTCGAACTGCTCGACCTCCTGCCAGAACTGCGGCTCGAAGCCTTGAACGGACGCCCAGGCCCGGATCAATGCTCGCCAGTAGCACGCCTCGGCGGCCGGGGTGAGATATCTCTCGCGGAAAGTACGTCTTGCGTTGTCCGCGATGGTTTGCGGGCTGTTGCTGAAAGAAGATGGATGCAGAAGTCGTCTCATCTTTTTGTTGAGGTCACTGTAATCCCTCTCCACGTGGACGTAGTTCTGTTCCGGTCCATGGCTAATCAATAGATGATGATACAATTCGACCCAGTCGAGGTCGTGCGAAAGCAAAACTGAATGACAGTTGAGCAAGAACTTGAGCCGGCCCGAATACGAGTTGCCTTCTGTTTGTGCGAGGAATTGGTACGCGCAATGATCTTGCATCGTTAGGAGGTTCTCCTCGATGTCCGCCGGGTTGTCCCAGTGCAGAGCTTTGACATCTGCCCATGGCTGACCTTCAGAGTGGTCCACCAGTCCTTGCCGAACGTCTTTGGATCCCACGTCGAGTGAGCCCCGCCACACGACCTTTGGTATTTTGTCCTCGAACAAGCTCTCCGTGCGCTCGAGCACACTCTGCAGTTCCTGATACGATCGCAAGCCAACGTCCGGCCAGCCCCAAAGACCAAAGTCAGGCATAAGCCAGAGCGAAGGCTGATCTTTCTTTCTCGTGTATGCCCATGTCGTCTGGTTGCCGGGATGCTCGAAGTCGAGAGCAAAGTCATGGACCACGAAGGTAAATTCGATATTCGGCAGCTTGGTCGGAGAAGCAGAAACTGCGCGGTGGAGCGCGTGTAGCGTCGCCAGCGCTCGAGGTCGCGTGTTCCCGTCTGTGATGCCGCGAGGATCGATTATGTAGAGCTGATTGTCATAGATTTGCGCCCTGACAATGCCATCCTCTTTCCAATCGGCTTTGGTCTCTTCTTCAGTTATTGTTCCTGCCACCTCTTTTCTGTATTCCACCGCGCGGTCAATCTCTTTAAACAGATCCGGAAAAGCCGCGCCACACTGTTCCTCCGTCAAGGCATAGTTGCGCCCGTGCTCTTTGTAGTCGTAGGTCCAGGACTGATGCGCATTTTGAGGAGGAGGCGCAGGCTGCGGTACCGTCAAGGTGGGCTCGTCTTTGTGCGTTTGCTGGCTCTGAATGTATTCGGCGGCGGAGTCGATGTAGGTCTGCGCAAATTCGGGTGTGCCTTTCGTCGTCGTCCAAAGAATTAGTGCAGCGCTGATCAGCAAGAGCAGGGTGGCCCACAGGGCTATCGTGCGCATGATGGTGACTGCGAAGTCGAAGAGAATTGCTGCGGATTAGCGAGATAGCGGGTCGCCGTCATGCTGTGCTGATGAGAAACGGAGACATTGAAGCAAACAAAAAGTTGTCGTCTTACTCGTGCTTCATGATGGCGAGGGCTCCCTACATCATGTCAAACACTTGCCTTATCATCGCCAGTCTTTTACGAGCCAGCCCGGTTTTCGCGCTCGCTCCCCTGGCAGATGATGTCGCCATCGTGCCTGCTCCGACAATTCTCCAGCTGACGCGGCCAGACTGTGGTGAAAACACAAACACATCGCGAACATCAATTTGAAGTCGTGAGACGGAGTGGAAGAATTCCAGAGCAGCGGCACCGCTCATTATATGCCAGGTTCCTTGGCTGAGATTATGCTTTCTTGGGTTGCGGCTCAAACGGGTCGATGGTCGTACCAAAGTGCATGGCGGAGCTAACATGAAGCTTCGTTTAATGAGTAGGTAAGACAAGCTGAAGGGAAGACGAGCATCCGAACTAGACTCGTCGACCAAGGCGTGCTGTAAGCGTTCGTTTGGATGATGGATGAAGGCAGCGAGTCTGCACTGTACCTCACAGGACTACTCAGTAGACGGACACAAGTCATGCACGTCAGTAGCTTCGGAGACCGTTCCGGCTGGACCCTCCGCCATGCGAGTGAAGAAGCATCATAATCAATCTCTATCTCCCTGAACGCATAAGTATTTGCTTCAAAATGGCGACGCTCGTCCGTCAACCGAGTCTGATGCATCAGAGTACACAGCGAACCACTTTGGCGCTTTCACAATTCCAAGCGAAAGAGAGCACTCCACAGTCGTGGGGTAGAGAACCTTGGGATGGGGATCACAAAACTCGCGATTCGCTGGCTTCTCCGCTCAGAAGCATGTAGCATCGTGTGGCATTAGTATGAGATTGTCGTGAAAGTTCTCCCACACATCTAGACAACTACAGCTGGGTCTCAAGACTCGAAAACATGCAGTGTTCGTACAGAACGGGACATTGATTAGGACTACACAACGCCATCAATACCTTTTCCAGACCAATTTTCGATACCAACCTTTCATGAACACCGCGAACACACGTTCACCCTGCGTCTATAGCACTTCGATATTCAAATCATATTCCTCCGCCATTGTCATGTATCCCGCCACCCAAACAAGCCTGTCAAAAATGATATCGCTCTGCACATCCCCTTTCTTCATACCCACTACTCCGCCTTCCGTCCCGTCACCACCCAGAAAACCCAATACTTTCCCTCCTCCGCCTCCATATCCTTCACCGCCTCCTCTTGGAAGCCCTTGATTTCCTGCTCACTATAACCCTCACCCGCCAATGTCCTCGGGATCACATGCCATACCAATCCTTTCATCTCTTTCACGACAAAATCACCCCAAGCCTGCCAAACCGGATCCTTCTGCCAAGAACCACCATGCGGCCATTTATATTTCTTCACTTCGATATCTTGGAATCCAGCGTCTGAAAGCCATTGCGGAAGAGAGCGAGCACAAGTCCAGTCCATTCCGCGTTTAGAAGCGACGGATTTGGCGGCTGTGAGCCATTTCCAATTGTTGGAGATGGGGGTTTCTGGTGTGGGAGAGAGTGAGTTATACCAAGTCCAATCGATGTCATGAAGTTCGATGCGTCCGCCAGGTTTGAGGAGAGTGTGCACGCGGGAGACGTATTGAGGCCAATTAGTCATGCCGCAAACAAGGAGGCGAGAGAAGATGAGGTCGAAGTGAGTGGACGCGTCAAGGACCGGTTTGGAGGCAGCATCCTGAGTGAGCCATTGGTCTGGTGAGTTCGTGGTAGCATTACCCTTGAGGAATTGGACGTTAGGTGGATGATTGCGGATGTGCACTGGAACGTCGGAGATGTCGAGACCATAGACTTGGGCATTGGGGAAGCGGTTGCCGATGAAATCGGTTACGATTCCTGTTCCGCAGCCTATGTCGAGCATCTTGGCATCTTGTATGTTGGTCGGAATGGGACTGTGGATGATGTTGTTGTTCATGATCGCTTGTAGGTGAGCGGCTTGTTCTTCAAGGCGTCTGTGTTCCACTTCATCATTTGGGAGGACGTATGCCGCATCTTTGTTGGTGTGGTACCTGGGAGTGTTGGTGATGTAGGCATCTGTCTTGCCATGTTGCTGAGTTGCTGCCATATCTTTAGAGCTGCAGAGTTGTCAGCTCACTTTCGATCAGATTTTCGGTTGATTTGTGATGATGCCGTATCCGCGAGTTGCTCTGAGGAGCTCAGCTGCTTAAGTAGATATGCTTGCGTAAGTTGTCAGCTGTTGGACCTTCAAGGACTCGAGGTGAAGTCTCGTAGCTATCTCGGACATGACACTGGAATAGAGTTCTCGACGTGATACCCCTCCCGGAAGACCTGGCTACTGTACGCGGGGACAACGGGCGTAAACGTGCGTATGGTAGTCATCCACGCCCTATAATGCTTGACCTGCTGCTTGATGAATTGAGACATTGGAGGCTGCTGACGTGATCTTGATACGGTGGTCCCGTCGTTCTCCCCAATCATCAAGATGGCACCCCTCTCAGACCGTGCTTTGGGCAGCTCGCAATACCCCGTCAAAGCATCAGAGTTCAACAATTTTTCAGGAGGACGTGCTGATGCTGGTCAAGGCAGTGTTCTTCGGCAATTGGAGAGCTTCTCAGCGATGGAAGCTGGGATTTTCACACCGACTGACTTTACATGAATGTGAGCTTGCCTTACCGCGTTCTCGCAGTACAACGACTTGGCACCCTGCTTTTGAGCCATGGCGAGCGTGGCCAAGGCAGTACGGACGAGAGTCTGCAGCGGTGGATCTGGCAGAAGACATGTGTCTGGCGGTATCAATCCTCGGCGTCCAGAGATGCTGTCCAAGACCACTAATTGCAAACTGTCGTTCACTGACGTAGCTGGGCAAGTGCCTAGCGTAGGACTCTCCGGATACCTATTCTCTGTCTAGCGTAGACAGCTATGGCGTTTTGGCGCGAGGTGAAGAAGACGATGTCAGTTAAGAGCTGAAGTCAACGGACGACGGGACCTGCTCGTTGGCATTTCGTCGATTCTGCCTTGGTGGCGCGCTGCACACTCCTGTCTGGGTCCGCTGGAAGGATGCCGTCCAACCAGGTGTGTACATATGTAGATGCGTTTCTACCCAGAGTATCCGCAGTTATCCCCGTCCATTCACCGCCACGCCAGAAGAGCTTCATGTTGCTATTCGCGCTCGATCAGTGACGTGCCCTTGCATTGTTGCTCTCCACTGTAGCGGCGTCTCGAGTTTCAGAGGTGCGTCTCTGGACCGGGGAGTTTGCAGAAACGCGCCATGGCAGGCAGGGTGGGTGGGATGGAGGGGCGCTAATGCAGGCAGCTCCGTGAATGATGGCGCACGATCACCTCGTGAGACGTCAAGTCCGTGCTGTTGGTGTGTCACATGGAAGCGGCTGGTGAACATGTGTGGTGAAGATAGTCAGTATGGCATGAATGTCACGCCTTATCTTGGGGATGCCCGTCGCCGCCGCGGAGCACGATGACGATGATGTTCCCCGATCCTAACTAGTCTGCTCTGCTGGGAGTATGTTGTCGTGAGAAAGCTATCGTGGAGAGTGCTGGAAGATCGACAACGGCCAAGACGCAGCATGAAGCACCTCGTATCTTGACCCTCGCACGCAACCACCAGCCGGACTTTACTACTGTCAGCTCTTCCGCACACACTCTGACATGTGGACGATTTTCCAAGACGAATTGTGAGGCGCGGCACAGCTCAAAGGTGATCGTGTGTCTTAGTTCGGCTGTATCACGGGGCGTGAGAGATGCCTGCTTGTGTCCGATGACAACCCATTCCTGCTACCACGCCGTCGCCGCAAAACCACGCCGGACATTCACCAGCACATAGCAGCTATATTCACTACACCTCCCCCGTCCACCGTCTTCTGCTTACACCGGACGTGTCGACGACACATACGTATACAAGCACCAGACCATGCTAAAGATCGAGGAACGTCCGCTACCGCTGCCACCTTCGATTCCCCTCTAAACGCCCACCATGCCTAAGTCGGTGGCTTCACACGCGTCTTCCAATCGCGAGGACGACGACGACGATGACTATGAGATCGACGAGCAACAGGCTGAAGCCATTCGCAACGCCTACCGAAATGCCTTCTCCAACCAACAGCAGCAACAGCATCATTACAACATGTCCGCCGCTCCCCAATCCCACACCTCTCCGACCGCGACCCGGCGCCTCGCTTCGCATCAGCCCTCCGATACCGACATTCGCCACCGTCATCGAAGCGTCCAAGGCGGCGGAGGCACCACCGAATCCAGCGCCCTCCTCGCACCCGAAAATCCCGCCCTCTCCCGTCGAGATTATCGCACCGTTTCCGCCCCCAGCACGCCCCGCTATGGCTTCGCTCGAGCCCACAGCTACGTGCACTCCGCCCGAGGAAGTCGCCGAGGGTCTTTCGCTCGCGGACTCATGAAAGCTATCAACCCTTCCACGTACAGAGGAGAAGAAGACAATGATAATCGACGAGGTCCAACCAGCTCGAAATTGAGGCAGAAACTCTACTGGGATGATCGTGTATGGTATGATCAGTTTACTTCGACGGATTGGGTACACGATAGTATTGCGGACGCGTATCGAGTGAAAGAGCTCCGTTCACGGAAGGACTTTCGAGGGCGCGTCTGGGCGTTTTTCGATGGGGGTATTGGATGGGTACTGGTGTTCATCATCGGATGCGTGACAGCGGCGTTTGCATACTTGATTGATATCACCGAAGCTACCATCTTCGATTACAAGAATGGTTACTGCGGGACGCATTGGTGGTATAGTAAGAGGATGTGCTGTACTGGAGCTAGTGAGTGTGAGAGTTGGATGAGATGGTCGGGGTCAAATAATACCACTGCCCAGGATCAGGCGGCGCTGTGGAAGGACTATGGGGCGTTTGTGCTTTGGTGTGTGAGTTTGGCTCTGATTGGGTGTCTCATTACACTGCAGACCAAGACGACAATTTCGAGTGCGATCAGCTTGAGTACGTTGGATGAGAATTTGGCGGCGGACCATCATGATCCGACCAAGTCCGGGACGGAGGGAGGGACCAAGAGTGGATATGTGAGCGGCTATGTGAGTCCGACACAGAGATTCCAGGAGGCAGCAAGGAGGCCTCCAGTCACATATTACCCAGCTGCAGGAAGCGGTGTGGCCGAGGTCAGAGTAATTCTTTCCGGATTCGTCTTGCACGGATATCTGGGTGTAAGGACGCTGATGTGCAAGGCGATTGGCATCGTGTTGAGTGTCGGCTCGGGCATGTCAGTGGGAAAAGAAGGCCCTTACGTGCATATCGCCACGTGTATTGGCAACATCATCACTCGATTCTCCTCCAAGTACCACGACAACGATGCGAAACGAAGGGAGATCCTATCCGCTTCTGCGGCCGCTGGTGTGGCTGTTGCTTTCGGTGCGCCGATCGGAGGTGTCCTGTTCAGTTTGGAGGAGGTCAGCTATTACTTTCCTCCCAAGACGCTATTCCGAACGTTCTTCTGCTGCATCGCTGCGGCTCTATCGCTCAAAGCCCTCAATCCGTACGGAACGAACAAGATCGTGCTCTTCGAGGTGCGATATTTGACAGACTGGAACTCATTCGAGTTGATCGTTTTCGCCTGTCTGGGAGTGCTTGGCGGCGTGCTCGGAGCGTTGTTCATCAAAGCTTCCAGACTTTGGGCGAAGACATTCAGAAAATTGGGTTTCATCAAGTCTTACCCCATGCTGGAAGTCTTTCTTGTGGCTCTGGTCACGGGTCTGGTTAGCTTCTGGAATCGGTTCCTGAGACTACCTGTGGCGGAGCTGCTCTTTGAGCTCTCTGCGCCTTGCAGCAGCTTTTCGAACTCTGGATCCGCTTTGTGCCCTACCGAGGAGCAGATTCCGTCAACAATCAAGTATCTGCTGGTCGCGTTCGTTTTGAAGGCGATTTTGACAACAGTCACGTTTGGCATCAAAGTGCCTGCTGGAATCTATGTGCCATCCATGGTGGTTGGTGGTCTAGCGGGACGTATCGTGGGTCACATTGTCCAGCTGGTGGTGCTGAAGCATCCCGATCTGGCTGTCTTCTCGAATTGCCACATTGACGGCAATCCAGAGGAGTGCGTCGTTCCTGGCGTTTACGCGCTGGTCGCGGCAGGAGCCACGATGTGCGGAGTCACTCGTCTATCTGTGACTCTTGCAGTCATCCTCTTCGAACTCACAGGCAGCTTGGAGCACGTCCTGCCTTTCTCGATGGGCGTGCTGATAGCCAAGTGGACAGCTGACGCTCTCGAGCCGTTGAGCGTGTACGACTTGCTGACAGACATGAATGCTTACCCCTACCTCGATCATAAGGTTCGACCTGTGTTCAGCACTGATCTCGGCGACATCACACCGGAGCCGATGCCTAATCGCTACATTGACATTTCGAATTCGCCATTTGTGCCAGCAAAGCAGCTTCGCTTCAAGCTGGAGTACCTACACATGGCTGGTGAGCTCGATGGCGGTCTACCTATTCTCAAGAATGGCGTCCTGGCAGGTCTGATTCCAGGTCCCGATCTCGAATTCGCACTCGATCGCATTCCTGACGAAGAAGAGGCCATGTGCCGCATGGACGCGCACGATCAGGCTGTGCAGGGCAGCGCGCGGCCTTCGACCGGCGTCTCGGCAGAAGAGAACGATTCGGACACAGCACGAGAGGACAATGTCGGAGATGCGGAGCAGGCACATCGTCCACGTCCGGCCAGCACGATCGGCGAAGACAGCGATCCGACTGACTTGACTCCCTACATTGACCCAGCGCCGGTTGCGTTAGATATCACAAGCCCAATGGACTTGGTGTTTGAGTGCTTCGCGAAGATGGGTCTGAGATACATCTGCGTCTTGCACGAGGGCAAGTATGCAGGCATGGTGCATAAGAAGGCATTTGTGAGATATGTCAAGGCGGTGCAGGACGAGGATCGTTATGGGGTACCGGCCGAGTGAGAGAGGCGCGAAGTGAAAAGACACTACGAAAGTCATGAACTGGCGTTTGATTTTGCATTTAGGGGGAAATGGAATGATTTTTGGTATTTTGCGTTCGAGCGAAGACTCTCGGGACAGATATGTGTAGGGAGGGCCATTTCGGCTTGCATGGTTTCACATGCTCGACGCGTTCCTGGAGAGGGAGGCGCGAGGCGGAGGCGCGAGCTTTTCAGGAGTTTTGTGTGGGATTTCGAATCGAGATAAGTCGATGAATGGCGAGGCATGGCATGGCATGGCTAACTAGTCAAATGAGGATATTTCGGTGAGAGTTGTGAAATCAACCTGTCTTGGTATGGAAGTACCATGTGTTGCAGTACTGCTTCAACGAAATACCTGAGGCTGCAGCGATTTGCGCATCCCTCCTCTCAGACCTTTCTCTTACCATTTGTGACGTTGCGCCGAGAATACAAACGCTCGTCGAACGATTGCCAGATGATATAGTAGCGCGCCTCACTCATGCAGACCACACCCGCACATTCAAATCTACACTCCCGCTCGCGATCAAACAACGAATCTGCTCCTCTTCCGCCTTCTTCGCAGCACCATTCGTCAAACCATTCGTCTCCGCTTGCTCTTTGAACACGCTTGGCGCCCATCTTAGACAGCTCACGAAATGATCCGCCGCCTCAATCACTCTCACACATTTCCCTTCTTGCGCGAGATCCCAGCATCGGATTGTTTTGTCATCTGAGCAAGACAGCAGATATTTGCCGCCTGGATGGAAGACAAGTGATCGTATCCAATTGTCGTGTCCGGTCAAAGTTTTGATAACTATGCCGTTGGCGGAATGGAGCTTGATCAGCTTATCTCTCCCGCCTGTCGCTAGGAATTCTGCACTTGAGCTTGCAGCTGGTGCCTTTTTTAGTCCAGCCAAGGTAGCCAGGTGCTGATATGCTGCAGGAGGCGCGAATGCGCAGCATTCCACTACATGCTCGTGGGCCAGGAAAGTCTGCTTTTGTGCATTGGAATCCGGCTGTGATAGATCCCACATTCTGCTTGTTTGGTCTGAACTGGTGCTCAGCAGCCATCGGCCGTCGAATGTGGGCGCCAAGGAGCGTACCCAGTCGCCATGCCCGCGTAGCGTCCTCAAGCAATACCCGGTCGTCACGTCCCATATCCGTATCGTTTTGTCTCGGCTCGCAGATGCTAGAAGGTTGCCTGAAAGAGGTGCGCCTGCTGCGCCAGAGGGTATAAAGCGCACGGAGCTCACACTATGATCGTGCCCAGGTAGTGTCCGCACATTCTTGTACTCTTCTGCCGGGTCCCACAATTTGATGGTCAAATCTGAGGAGCAGGAAGCTAGTAGCGTGTTCCCTCGCGGACCACCGAAATCCACATCAAGCACCGCCTTTGTATGCGACTTCAGTGTCCGCTCCAGTTCTCCGAGTTCGTAGTCCCAGATTTTGATCGTGCAGTCCTCGCTCCCGCTAGCCAAACTCGAAAAAAGTGGGTGGAATGCGACGCAAGTGATCGGATTTCGGTGACTCTGCAGAGTATGTCGTGCGGGCGCTCGCGGCAGCCATGTCTGTGGATCGTGATTCTTCCGCGCTGCCAGACTAGAAGGCGTAGCATTATCCAACTCATTCTGCAGCACCTTGACCTTCTCCTCCAAATCCATAATCTTCTTCTGCATGCGCACCAATGACGTCCATTTCTTCTCAATCAACCCCTCGTACTTTTTTGCCGTGTCGGCGGAGAAATCGGACTCGGGAACATTCAGGGCGTCGCGCACCGCCTGGGCGGCTTCCGGGTGTTCGGTGGCATTCAGGTAGGCGACGATGCTCTTGTGTCTGTCAGCGCCCGCTTCATCAGCCAACAGTAGCGCAACAGGTTTTCAAGAAGGAGGAGTGAATCGCATACAGTTCTTCGGCCTGCTTGGTGGTGAGGAGTTTACTCATGGTCGCTCTCGTCACCGCCCCGCCGCCATCCACTGTCACTCAGCGGAGGCAGCACAATGCGCGCGGAGGCTTCGGGCACGGCGGTGAGGTCACCGTCTGTGGTCGAGGTGGGAGGAAATTCGCTAAGTGGCTTGCGGCGGTGGTCGCGGGGGTGGGAGGAAGGCGGATCCGGCTGAAACGTGTGACAGGCAGCCGTCAGGGTGCGATGCGACTATTTCGAGTGTATGGCGCGGGACTTGAAAGGGATAATTGCAAGTTGAAGCACGTTTCATCTTATCGACTTGTCCCCTCGTACTCACATGCGCCAACTTCCCCAAAACATCGGACCCACTGCGGCCGTTGCTCGGACAGGGATCCGCACTTGCCAAGCCGTGAACCTTACACCAAACACACAGACATCATCCCTCCTCGTCTATGGTCTTCACGGCAACAAGGGCAGCGGAAAAAACCTCACGAGGTCTACTGCATCTAGTATGCCATACTCGATATGGTGTTCAGCTGTTGCATGGCGGCCTGCCGCTTCTGTGCCTGACTATGAGAGAACGGAATGGCGTTGTCAATAATGTATCGATGTTGTCAACGCTGAAGAGTACACTTATGTGCTTAGTTTTAGCTGAAGATCACTGCAGATCACTGCATCCTGTAGACACGATTGACACTATTCTACATCTACAGCCATGCTTAGCCCACGTTGTTGAATTGTCACAGCCAGAGTCCCAATCTGGAACCGCAGAGCCGCCAATGCAGTAGACTGCGGCCGTATCGGAGAGAAAGAGAAGCTCGTTCTGATGTAAACCTTGATAATGTGCTGCTCATTGACATCTACACAAGCACGAGTAGCGAGTATACATGACTACATAATTCCGAAGCTTTTCATGACCAGGTCAGCCTTCAACCACATTCTCTCCCCTCGAGCCCCTGGCAACCTCAGCGCGTTTAAGTCATCCTTAAGTGATACTTTTTTTTTTAAAGTAATGAATCTCAATCTCATCCAAGTGCTTCAGCAATCTGTCCATTCGGTACCATCTCACCATTTTCATCGACGACCTGGAAGGCGTTGTGGTCCTGGAGGTCTTTCTTGGTTTTGCTTTGTATAGCGTTGGCTCCATTGGTTTTCTTAGAACTGGTTTTGGCTCCATTGGCTTTCTTAGGAGTGGCTTTGGCGCCATTTGGAGAGCTGTGAGCCTTGCAGCCTTGTCGTCCTTTCGTCTTCACAACAGTGTAGCCATCTTCACTGCTGTCGCTGGAGCCATTCGTGCCAGTTGGAGATGTCGCCAGACGAACAGAGGTGGTCTCCACAGCCGTGCTACTCGCCATATCCGCTTCAACTGGATGAAGAGATTCTGGCGGCGATGAAGTCTCATGCCCCGTTGGGAGAAGGACATCATCAAAGATCGAAGTAGTCGTAGCAGGAGTAGTAGCAGCAGTCGCCGAAAAAACCTGACTCTGAACATCATAGCTCAGCAACTCCGTATGAAAAGCCAAGAAGAGACCCAACCACAACACCCTCATCGCCCTCGCAGTCATCATGCTAGCAGTTTCAATCGACCTCCCATCATCCTCACCCTGACCATCGAACCAACCCGGTGAGAAGTAGAATTGACTCCAAACATGTCCTCGAATCACATAATCCTCCGACAGTGGCTTGGTATGCTGACACTCCTGCTGAGATGAGGCCAGGAGATCAGATGCGGAAGCCAAGAAGGTGCCTTGTCGAGCGCATTCCAGCATGCCAGCAGTGATGAGTTGGTCCTGTTGCTGCGCCAGAAACGTGAGGAAGGATGCGAGTGCGGTAAAATCTAGCCCCCAAAATAGAAAACTAGTTAACGTATTTTGCTGTTTTTGATGATCGTTACTGCTGATTCGTGTCCGGGCGGCGTGGAGAGAGTGAAGGTAGGCCAGAGTTACATGGATGTAAGAAAGACTGTGCTTGAAAGATTCCGGAGTGGCGTAGTGTTGCAGGACGTAATTGAACGATTCGGCGAGATATCCTTTGCTAGATTGGAGGTATGAGTCCGTCGATAAATCCTCGTTTGGTTGAGAGAGTGAAGAAGGGGGCTCCTTTGTCAGAGAGTTGGGCCGGTCTGCAGCCGTGCGATCGATGGCCATGTGATATGTTTGCCATAGTTGATTCTTCGGATTTCCCAGCTGGAACAACGAAGCAATGTTAGCAGCAGCAAAATACGCGCCAAAGTCGCGCAGCTTCGCAGGCTGATCACCAAGCAATTGTAGTGAGTCCTCTTGCACCATAGCGACTGTTGACAAGTCCCGTCGAGTGAATATCAGAGCATGATATGTCACGATTCTTGCCTCTGCGGACTGGCGACTACTTTGTATCGTTTGCTGATCCTGCACGATCGGTGCACAAAGTGTCGAGAGCGAATCACGAGCATTAGAAAACGGTACCACACAGGTCAACGACTTCGAGTAATAGCAGAACTTGCGCAAGCTCGGCCTTTCCAGTATCCCAAGGTGATGGTAAAGCCGTCCAATGGCTGGATGACGATCGGAAGCCATGGTGTACCAGCGCGCGGCAACGCCTCCCCAAGTGGCATGGGCTTCCTTTTCCTCTTCCACGGCCATACGGTAGCGAGCCAGATCTCCTAGGCACTCGATCCACGTATCGGTAAAGCTGGGCACTGTTTCAAATAGGAGTGCCATCATTTGATAAGCCAAGTAAATGAAAGCAAGCATATAATCCTGAGATTGAGGACGGCGGTGACGAAGGACCTCGAGGAAGGCATGGATGCCATGTTTCCACATGCGTGCAGGCATACTGTACTTGATTGCCAGTCCACGCAGTGCTGGAGTTGCCGAAGGATGTTGTGTCGCCTGGATGGTCATTAGTGCTGTTCTCAGGCCTATGTGAATGACGCACCATTAAAAAGTCATGATGCTCGTAAAGAAGTGTACGATGCAGAGCAATCAACGCCTGCCACTGCTCAGCACCTAGTGGAGACTTAGGATCAGCAGCCTGAGCAGCGTCAATATTGATGCACTTTGCTTCGACCATGACCAAGCCCGCATAGATCCCCTTCACCTCAGCTGCTAACTGCTCGGTGGAGATGGGAGATGAATTGGGTTGGAGCAGCATGTCTAACCGTTGACCATCTGCTGATGTGTATCGACGTTCAGCTTGCTGTTTTGCCACGCGAGCGAGTGCCTTCGCATCAACATCATCATTGTTAGGTGCATCTGGTTTCGCATCTGCATTTTCAAGACATGGCCCAGTGTTCTGACGAGTGGCATATCCTGAATCACATACACTGTCACGAGGTCTCGCCACACCGTTGCCTTGCGGGCGTGGAGGCAAAGTCGTGGCGTGGGTGTGAGTCACTCCTGGTGCCTGTGCCCGAGTCTGGTCGTATGAGTTGACACGCTTTGGCAGTGGTCGCCTCTGCGCCGGCGCCCTGCATCTGGCAGCCGTCCATGTTGCCGCTTGCTGAAGCTGCTTCGGGCTTGCCTCCAGTCGTGGTGACTGGCGTCCTCCAGGCTTGGTCAGCTCCCGACTGGCGGATCGTTTCGACACCAGGGGGTGACACTCCGCGTAGAGTGGGCGCCCGCGCTGGCTCGCAAGGTACTCTCGAGACGCGGTCCGGCGGTGTTCAAAGGATAACCGCCCGAAGGCCTCAGCGGTGTGGCCAGTCGCTCCGGGAGAGTCTGCTTGCGCGGGCAGCTCTTGTGATGCGCCGTTGGCTGGGTAATAGTTCATCGACTCTCCGGATTCCGATGAAGCAGGCGTCTGGTACATGGAGCCATTCTGGGGACAGAGTCTTGCAGAGGTTAGCATTTGTAGTGATCAGTGAAGGCAGCCGCGGATGACTGCTTGCTGATTGATCATCTGACATACGCTTGAGGAATGGGGTCATGGGTGGCGTGGTAGGAGGAAGCAGGCAGCCTTTGCTGCTTCCGCCCATCGTGGTGCGCGGCGATTTGCCGATTCTTGCCGAGATTCGGAGAGCGCGACGGCGTCGGTGGGAAACGGGCAGAAGAGCCGCATGATGGCAGTCGGTTGCCACGGCCATCGTTATTCATGTTACGTTACAACGTTCGAACTGGCGACGACGCTTCGTGCACGACGCATGCGACTGTGGATGGGCTGACTACGCGTGAATGCCCTCGCGCGGCGGCGGCGGTGGCTGCTCTGCGCGCGGGTCAGCAGGGTACCGTCATGAATCGAGCCGTGTGCCTCAGGTTGACGAGGCACATCGCAGTCTTACGTGTTCGATCTCTAATTTCGACGGTCTTTCTCGACTTACTTGGACCGAGAACTGCTGCAAGACCTCAATATCGCGCTCATTCTCACACCAAATGGCAAGACCAACTTCGTGCGCCCGAGAGAAAATGTGACGAATGCCCCCGGCGGACGTGTCCCGCTACCCGTGTCGGCGGATGTTTTGTTTGTCCTGGAAGATCGGCTATCAAGCGCCGTAATCAGATCGGATTTCAACTGAAGATTCCAGAATGCGACGGTAGCAGTCGCAGGTAGTAGATATGAGCAGACCGCAAGGCCGCAAAGACCTGGCAGTCGAGGGAAGCTCAGAGAACGCACCCACTACGGGAAGGCTGAGAAGGCAAGAGAAGGCAACCAGTCCAGCCTTCCCCGCGCGCCTCAGCCCATAAATTCGTCACACCACATGCCACATCGACGGTTCGCATTGCCTTCAACCATGTCCAGCGTTAGAAGTAAGAACAACGCATAGCTCACGCGGCCGAGCTCGACGAATGCACGAGCACATCTGCCCACAAGCAAAGAAGGCAGACGAGGCGTTAGCTTGTGCTGCAAGGCCCGACATCAGAGCAAATAGAGTCGGCTCATAACAGATCGGTCTCCTCCACCAACAGAAGGAGGGGCCGCACAATGTCCTCCGACGTTCCAAGAGGCGCTGTGAAGAGTATAAGCCCTGCGACTTGACGCCAGGGGATCTTGAGCTGTCGAAAGACCCCCGTCTCTGCTCCTTTGGCCTTTCGTGGCCTGAGTTCTGAGACAGATTCACATGTGCCAGGGCGCAAAACACAGTGCTGTAGCGTTACTCCCCAGCACTCCGATGTTCATGGTCGATTTGCCGCCCACAGGCAATGACTCCGAAGGTAAGCTTGATAGCTCGCAGGATCGTGGAAGTACTAATACTGTGCTACTAGTGGTCGTAACGCCAACAGCCAACAGCCAATGCTGCTGTTGTCTAGATACAGTGAGCGCCGCACAGGTGCTAGTTCGAAACCAGGTACTGCTCTGCGCGAGGTCACATCTGTACAAAGAGCAGAGTGCCACCAATACGGTACTTGCCTGCTTCGAGAACGACTAAGAGAACGCGACTTTTAGACAATCATTCGTCACACCTTCATGCTGACCAAAGACGTCATCGATCTTGCTCGACTCGGGTCAATGAGCTCAAGAGTGTGGCAGCATGATCAACGATGGACATTACGTCTCCGATGCCGTGTGGTCGCCTTGCGAAGGAATGTCAGCCTTGGTGCAGCCTTCTCAGTACGCCTCCGTAAGGACGAATCGGAGACCCTCCCACAATGTTGAATGGCAAGTGCGAGAATTAAAATGCTGACCGCGCGCGTCATGTCCACAAAGCCACCCACGACACTGGGCTCACATGAAGAGACAAATCACCCGGTTGCAGTCTGAGCTAGAGTCAATGCCATGCAGAGGCATCCTACAACGCCATAGTCGAGAGGGCGTCGACTTCACTACTGGCAATTGGACGGAATGACCGGGCGTAGGTTCATGATTAGAAAGTGACAAATCAGCTGACAAGTGCAGACGCCCTGATACCGACCGGTATGCCTAGTCAAGGCAGAAGCGTGTTGCCGGTCCTCTAAGCTTCGACTGGGTTCAGTCAAAGGAACGAGGCCGAAGCTCAATTCGAGCCAGCCTAGACCAGTGATGCTGACGGATGGTATGAGTCTTGTCAGCTCAAACAGCTATCGACAGAACATCGGACATGTTCGTTCCCAACCGTAACCAAACTCACAAGCGCACTGATCTCCCCTTCGAACTGCTAACTGAGCCACAGACACTGATCTTGTAGAGCCTGAGTCTTCAACGCAGCCAAAAGATGTTCAAGACAGCAATCCCCACAAATAGCCACTCAACGCCTACGTTCTAAACGCTTGCATGGCGCTCCGAGATCGCTTCGCGGGCCAGCAAGACCTCAAGACTGCAAGTATGACCACAAATTAAACGACTGATTGACCGAAGGCATATGTTCGCATCACCTTTGCAGAATAATAAGTCCTGCTGACGGCACGTCGTGTCAATGGGCCGTCCACGAGACTTCGTGCCTACAGGAAAAGCAACTCATTTGGCGCAGTCCTAGTCTTAAGGCGATGCTCTGCGAGAAAAGCCTACAAGGCCTCAGCCGAAGCGACGTCAACTTGCCGCCTTTCGGGCTATATGAAGTGATCGGTCGTAGTTTGGTCCCGAGAAAGCGACACACTAGCCAATGAGTGCAGACGCCCTGGTGGCGACGATCATGCCTAGTCTAGGCAGAAGAGAGTTGCCTTTCTCTTGACAGATAAATCACGTTCGATCAAGGAAGAAAGGCCAGATCTCGATTCGCATCGGCCCTGGTTGATGATTGCACAAGTCGTTCCAGCCTGACCAGCGTAACGTCGTGACACCAATTCGGCCCCGAATCACTTCCCCTGTGGCCAGATGAAGGCATCTTCTCGGGTTGCCTCTCGCAGTACTGATTGGGCTACCAGGCATTGATTTTGTTAAGTCCAAATGTTCAATGCAGCCTATGAAGCCACAATCATAGTCAGTGCATGTCGGCCGCGATGCATAAATACCAAGAATTGTTCAAGGCTGTGGAAAAGGAGCCAAGACACGTAGCAAACCGAGAGCCAAAGAGCTGCCAATATTGGCATAGAGGCAGCGACCTACTGACCATTCTCCCAGACTCAAACGATCAAGAACAGCGTGCGCAAAACTAGGCTTGTCCTCCAAGCTAGCATGGCTCTGTTCTGATCCGCCAGAACTTTTCTTATTTCCCCTCTCTACGTTCTCCATCATCCGATCTACATGAATCGAAAGTCTTCACGAACTATCGCACTAACATCGAACACGGCAGTCTAACATACTTCTAGCTCTAGACCTACAGAAGAATTATGAAATGACCGAGAATGGTCTTCGAATTTTCCGATCGACTAATTCTAAAAAGTAACGACTCAGATTAATGCGTTTTCCAAATGATGTTCATGACGGCGAATTCTTGTGCTGTATGCTAGGCGACAAGCACGCAACGAATTTCGGAGATTGTTCAGCCTATCTAGCCGGACCATCTCGCCATCGGCCTCAAAATCCCGATCAAAAATCATTCTGCTCGCGGTGTTTATCAGTGCCGTCGGCTCGCGGCATAGCATCGGCCGCCGGCGCTGTCACTGCATGGTGCAGTCGCGCAGCTCACCATTTTTACCTTAGCCACGAATGAGAATACGATGCCGGTATGCCATGCAGATCGAATACTATCACAATGCCTTTCCGTACAGCGTGTTCTTTGTAACGCTGGATTGTCTACCTCGACTTGTATTTTCAAGAGCGATCGTAAAGAACGATGACCAATTCAAGGTTGTTCCAGCCGTTGGCTGTTGGTCGAACACAGTTGAAACATCGCATTGCAATGGCACCGTTGACGCGATATAGATGGGGAGATGACTGGGAGGCGACCGAGACAAAGGATATGATCAAAGGTACAGCTCAAATTCTGAGCGGATAATTAGCAGTAGCAGGTGGTCCATAGGCGGGTATTGACTAAGTGTCAGAGTACTACGAGCAAAGGTCCTGCGTCTCAGGGACACTGATCATCAGTGAGGCAACCATCGTCGCGAAGAATGCAGTCGGCCGCCGTAATTGTCCTGGAATCTGGTCGAAGAACCAAATAGAATCCTGGAAAGCAATCACAACAGCAGTTCATGACAAAGGCTGTGTGATCTTCTGCCAACTATGGCATCAAGGACGAGCCGCTGCTCCAAGAATTCTACGATCTGAGGGCTACGAAATGCTATCATCGAGTACAGTTCCTATGAGCCCGAGAAGCGAAACACCAAAAGCAATGACAGAAGATGACATTTCGAGTGTGATTCAAGATTACGCCAGCGCAGCCCGAAACGCAATAGCAGCCGGCTTCGATGGCGTCGAAATCCACGGAGCAAATGGCTATCTACCTGATCAGTTCTTACAAACGACATGTAACAAGCGAACAGACAGCTGGGGAGGAAGTATCCCCAACCGCGCCCGTTTCCATCTCGAAGTCACAAAAGCTGTCATAGAAGCCATCGGCGCCGACAGAACAGCCCTACGACTCAGTCCTTATAGCAGTTTCGGAGGAATGTTAATGAATGACCCCGAACCGACTTTCGAATACTTACTCCAAAACCTCAAATCTCTAAAATTGGCATACCTCCATCTCATCGAAGCACGAATCAAAGGCAACGATGACTCGGATTGTGGAGGTCAGAAATCAGTAGACTGGATGGTCAAAGCATGGGACAATGCTACTCCTGTTCTTCTGAATGGTGGGTTTAATGCTGAGACAGCGAAAGAGGCTGTGAATGTGAAATACAAAGAGCAAGATGTTGTTATTGTGTTCGGGCGATATTTTGTGAGTAATCCAGATCTTGTTTATCGGATTAGGGAGGGTGTGAAGTTTGAGCCTTATGAGAGGAAGGTGTTTTATACGCCGAAGAAGAAGGAGGGGTATGTGGATTATGGGTTTAGTAGGGAGTATTTGCAAGTTTAGTAGGGAGTATTTGCAAGCGTCTGCAGGAGCTTGAAGATTTGAAAGTCTGCCTTTGAAAGAGAAGCAATGGTTCTGTCATTGTATCAAAGAGTGCTGCATGGTGACTTGGTGGCAAATTTTGGGTTCTCAAAGGGACTCCGATTAGGTCTATGGGAATCAAAAATTCATGTCAACGGTCATTATCGTTCTAAAATCATGTAAATCTATCATGGTACGTCAGACCTTGAAACAGAATGTCTTAAATGCTTGACTTATGTCCTTTCTCCCCAATCTGGTATTCTTCTCTATCCGTTCCAGGCGGCGTGGGCGGTGCAAAAAGAGCTCCATCATCCATCTCGCCCTGATAAAAGCCTTCCCGACCTTCGTTACCCAGCCATTCCCAGGTGAACGGTGTGCTTTCTCGTCCAGTGGGGAAGACTTGTGGTTCGATGAAGAGTGAGATGGCGTAGTAGATCGTCGCTGATGTCGTAAAAGTTAACAGCCACCCCATCATATACATATACTTGGCGGCATTCGAAATAATCTGGGGCTGGTATTGCCCAACGAGGCCTGGGATACCCATCGATGTACCGATCAACCAGGCGGCGACACCGCTGGAATTGATGCCACACCAGTACCAATATAGACCAGAGGGACGTCCATTGTAACATGAAGGGACATGTATATTGCCTTTCCGAACAATAAAATAGTCCATGATGATGACTGCACACAGTGGTGCCATGAAGATGTTGTACGATCCAAGGAAGCTTTTATCTCCATTAGTCGACGCTGCATCGAGGTGCTGTCTATAAACTTACCTCAAGAAAGCGGACGCGTTGGCCATGAGCTGCCATGGCTGGACAACGACACCAAGAATTGCACACAAGATCTGGCCTCGGCGGATCGTCAGCCATTTCGGTGCAAGTCCTGTCATATCAGCTCCAAAGGGAATGGAGTTGGCGCCAAAATTCGTAACAAATGTCCCGAAGAAGAAGGCCAGTCCGATGAGAATTATGGCGGTTCGTGAGCCAGCACTCCAGTAATGGTCGAGTATGGCGTCGAACATATCCCAAACGTTCCAGTAAGCTTCGCCCCATACTCCTTGGATAGAAGTCGTCGATGCCATGCCAAGGAACATCACCAGAATAGCAGGAAAGAAGACACTAACGCCTTGTAAGAGACCGGCGTCTCGAGTTTTCTTGCAGTATCGTGCAAGATCGGGTTGGTTGACAAGCATCGGGGAAAGAGAGCCAAAGATGGAGTTGATACCAGACATGATGGCCCATCCCAGTGGGACTGTCGATGTTTGGCCACTATGAGCGAGATCCAGGGTGCTCAAACCGCCTCCAATAGCCATGCACCAGCCGAACAGTGCAAATGCTGCGATCGGCATAGTGAAGCCCTTGATGGTAAATATGTGATGGATCCTGTTCGGATGGACCCACGCCTGCGGATGGTTAGACACCTTAGCAGTGGCTCACAATTCCGCGCAACTTACGAAGGGAAACTGAAGGATCCAAGCAATGAAAAAGGCCAAAAGCTGCTTAGAAGTAATCCCGCCACTTGCGGGTAGCGTGTTTGGCATGTTCTCCCATGAACTGCCGAACATGCATCGAAACATGACGGACAAGATGTTACCGGCATAAAACGTCTGTATGCCGTACCAAATGATGCAAACGACGGCTCTGATTGCGACGAAGAAGAACGATCCGTACATTCCCATCACAGAGCGAGCCAGGACAGGACTGCATCGCATCAGCTAGTGTATGTTCGGACGAGTTGTCTTTCGACTTACAATCCAATGTGATATTTTGCACCTGGTCGAGCCATGAGCACTACCACGATTGCAGTGAGGAACGATCCAACGCATACGGACACGAAAGAGTGTTGCCATGTCTGAGCATTGTCAGCCAAAAGTGACTTTCGGGACTTTTGTCGATCTCAACGCACCAGACCGATAGTAATCAGCGAAGAGCCTGTGTTCCATCCAACTATTGAAAATTTGTTCGGATGACGAGTCAGCCGAACTCATAAGGAAGGCATGCGACGACTTACAATACAGTGGCAGGTTATACCTATCAAAACAGCTTAGCCACAGCGACGGATCGTTGAGTTGAAGTAAGGCTTTACCATGTCCATGTTCTTTGCTCAACTGGCGTCGGTTCGAGGTCTTTGTTCGACCACTTGGCGTCGCCCACTGTAGCATGTCCTTCATTGCCCTGAGGGGCCCGCAAGAATTGAACGAAGGCGTGTTTGGACTGGAACGGTGCAGTGATATCGGTCTTGGTAGGCAGCTTGAGTTTTCCCATCGCAGATGATTAGAGGTACTGGTCTGGCCTGTGGTCTTGATGATGGTAAATTGTTGACTCTAGTGGTCTTAACGGAACTTAGGCGAAGTTGCTGGTGATTGAAACGATTCAATGTTGATCAACACACCAAGTGGGGACTTTGGTTCCATATGGAAGTATCCTACTATCAACATTATTCGACCATTAGTCGCATGTGCACCGTTTTCCAATCTGCCCAAGAGTTTGTGGCGGTTGTATCGGCGACTTTCTGGCCGATGAGGAGTGTGCGATTGCTCTGCGACCTCATTGGGATCCCAGATACGGAGGCATATCGTACTCTCTTGAGAACATCGATGAGCCAATTGTGGCTTTCAGGACAATCAAAGACATGGTCGACCCCAGAAATCCAGAGCTCGCTAGTAAATGATCGATAGGCCTCCGACTAGGCGAATGACCGGGGTCAACATGGAGCGAACGGTCTAAAGATAAGGACTTGGCCTGGCGAAGTGGAACGCATGCGACATCACCTGGTCCACAAATGCGTGATTGAGGCTCAGCCCAATACTGGTGGCTGTCAGCGGGACAGATTTGCGCAAGCAGCGAGCAAGCAAAGTAGACCATGAGCCTGTGTGGAGTCGTGTTCACTGCCTGTTGCCAATCATCGATACCCTTCCTTCTACATGGGTCAAATTGGGCCTTCAGCTTCACTGTCGTTTATTGAGGTTGTAGCTGTAAGAAATTACTAGTTGCAATTTTCAACATGGATTCCAGTACAATGCATACAGAGCCCCGACGGAGCCGTGTCACTTTAGCCTGCAAAAGATGCAAGCGTCGAAAGCAGCGGGTCTGTACTTCAAGAGCCGGCGTCAGAGCATGAGTGTGGGATTAGTCTGACTCCATATTGTGTAGTGTGATGGCGATCAACCTTCCTGCAGGTCATGTTCTCGGGCGGGAGTGACTTGTGCATACGAAAAGCCTGTCCGGCCCCAGTATCCTGGCGGCAAATCCTTGTGCGTCAAATATAAATGATCTGCATATTCTGTTGTGCTAAGAACAGATAGATATATCAGGACCCTAGAGGAACGTATCGCCTTCTTAGAAGCTCGCGTACCAGACCAGTCCCAGGACCACTTTTGCAACGATGTATCGACTCAGATCCAGTCACTCTGCAACGTTCCGCGAGGTTTGCATAATGATGCCCAGCATGGGGCTCATAGGCAGAGTCAAGAACTACCGATAGAAAATCCTCTGGACGACAGAGAATCGCTTGTCAACGGAGTGGCGTATCTCTCACTCTGCGCTTCTGGAACAGCAGACACCTCCTCTGAACCGTACTATGTCGGGACAAGCTCTGGAGCTACAATCGCTCGCCTCATTCAGACTTCGATGTACAAGGGTGGCGGAGAGCATAGGGCTGCTGCTGAAGCTACTGGCGACCGAAGGAGACAATCTACTCGCGCGGTAACTCCACCATCGCCATCCCTATCGAACGACTCCATTATGTCTTCGCTCGAGTTCCCGCCCTTCGAGCGTTCTAGTATGCTTTTCGAAATCTTTTTTGAGCGCATACACACTCGCTGGCCCGTACTGGATCGAGAAATGTATCAAAAACTGTTCAACAGGCAATACCAGCATGGCGGCCTGAGCATCGTCGAGTGCAGCATTTTTCATCTCATATATGCAATCGCAGCTCGATTTTTATTGCTCACCAGAAAGGTGCAAAGTGTGGACCCCGAGGTAAGACAAAACTCGATGTTCTCAGAGATAGCCCGCTCAGCCTTCACAGCGTCATCTAGTTGCCGCCATCAGCTCGATGAACTTCATACTCGAACAGCACAGTCTTGAAAGCCTACAATTTCTGGTTCTCCTTGGCGTGCATAGTCAGAGATCTCCCTACGGTGCCGGAGCATGGGCACAAATCCGATATGCGACATCACTTTGCATAGAGATGGGCCTACACAGGAAGAGAAAGGGATTTCCTGCGTCCGCGGAGCAAGCGAGGGATACTGAATTAAGACGGCGAATTTTTTGGACATGTTATTGCTTCGATCGTTCCACAAGCATCGTTCTCGGCCGACCGTTCGCTATATCGGATAGCGATATCAACGTTGAGGTAACTCCATGATAGTTTCTTCTGTTTCACCGAAGCTGATTCAAATAGTTACCAAGTGCCGATATCGAATACTGGACTCTCACTCACAAAGAACCACACGGGCCTTCAGAAGCTCAATGGTCGAACGTGGAACCATTCATACACATCATCGGCCTGGATCGAATTCAATCGAGGATTCACAAAGCAGTCTTTCGGCTTGACAGAGATGTACTAAATGGAGGTTCCGAACAGCTCGCCAAATTATCACGGAAATTGGCATTGATCAAGGCTGACCTTGACGAGTGGAGGCGCAGCTGCCCTCAAACTCCCAAAGAAGGGAACAGAACAACGTGGATGTACGATCCAGAAAGCGAGTTCCTTGATGCTCGTGATTTCTATGGCTTGTAAGTGGTGCATTAATCTTCTATGTCATTCGACCACTAATAGCTTTGCAGGCAATACCACAAATCGATACTGCTCATGTTCACAATCTTTCTACCAACGAGTAAGACTTTCGATCCCAGGTTCATCATCTGTGCACGATCAGCAGCGTCGGTCTGTACAGCTTACAAGAGGCTAAATCAGAATCGCACTCTGACCTACACCATGATTTCGCTGCATTCTTCCTTCGTTGCTGGACTGACGCTGGTATACTGCATGTGGCGCGATCGGTCGTTGTTCTCATATGACACCCTAGAGGCGGTACGTGACTGCTCACAGAACTTGACGATTTTTGGCGAGAAGTGGCCTGGAGCTGTCAAGTACCGAGATATATTCGATGCGTTGTCTGGAAGCGTACTGAGAAGCATAGTCAGCTCGGGAACATCGACCGGGAATGGTGATGCCACAGAGAGAGCAGAAACGGAGACTGACATCTCACAGACCAGCAATGGTCGAAGAGTACGCAATCAGCATAGCGCGTCGCTTAGAACAAACGACCAGCCAAGGAGCGATCGAGAGGACACCATGAGCCACATGCTGTCGGACGCCGTGAAAGACGCTTTCATGGAAGTCGATGAAGAAGCTCCTGGCGGATGGCAAGGCTGGCGAATATGGAATGAGATGGTTAATAATAACGCAGCTCCCGCCTCAGATCAGCCGTACATACCTGGTTCAAGTGATCAAGGGACAGACGCAACAAATTGGAATGAGTATAGCGATATGAGAACGTTCAACGTGGACCCGTTGCAAGATTCAGCAATGCGGCTAGAAAATCACACGGGGTCTCATATGCCTCAATGGAATGCGAGAGGATTTATATAGGTCGAAATTATGTTAAGCACCACCACTTTACGCTAGCTGACCCTTCTTGTAAGGGAATTGTTCCCGGAAAGATTCAGCGATCTCTGTCCTCGTTGCCACCCACACACCTTCTTTGTCTGCGATATATTTGACGAAGTCTTGAAGCGCCTTAAAACGTCCTGGTCTCCCAATAATGCGGCAATGTAGACCAATAGTCATCATCTTGGGTGCACCCGCTTCTCCTTCTTCATAAAGCACATCGAATGCGTTCTTGATATGGGTATAGAATCCATTTGGGTCGCGGAATCCAGTGGCTGCTGTCAAGAACTTGAAATCATTACAGTCGTAGCTGTATGGGACCATCAGACATCCCTTCGGGTTTTCGCTGCTTCGTTCATAGGGTAGATCGATCCAGTATGGAATGTCGTCTGCATAGGTGTCACTCGCCCAAAGGAGTTCCTCGCCCATTTCTTCATACACCTGCGGGATGAGAGCTCGGCTTTGAGGAGAAGGCCGACCGTAGTACCATCCTTTCGGTGCATAACCAGCTAGCTTCTTCAGAGCAGTAATGCCATCCCGAATGTGCTGTTTCTCGGCCTCCACAGACAAATTCTTGTGGTCAATCCATCTGTACGCGTGTGAGGCAATCTCATGTCCTTCTTCGACACACCGCGTCACAACTTCAGGTTGCTCCTCGCACGCTGAGCCGACAGCGTAGAGGGTGAACTTCATTTTGTAGTCGTTGAATAATTTGAACAAACGCCACCAGCCCCGGCGTGATCCATATTCGAATTCAGATTCGGCATTGTAGCTGCGCTCGTTGATGTCCGGCTCGGCAGGATATTCGCGGAGCGATGTCTCTGATCTGCCATCTCCAAGTAATACGGAACGCTCTCCGCCCTAGTGCTGTCAGTGGCTGCTTGCTAGCACAAGGATTCGTCGCGGATGTGCCGCCTACCTCTTCATAGTTGATGACAAAAGATACTGCGATCTTCGCGTCATTCGGCCACTTCAGTCCTTCCAGACCTTTCTCGCCATAGCCCTTAAAGTTCCGAGGAAAGGCATAGTCTTGTGGTGCTGCATAAACTTCAGGCATGATGACAGAGTCAGTAGATCCGAGTACGAGTGGTACAGCTATGGATTTCGAAAGGGTGGGCAAGTTCAGTCTCATAAAATTGAACAATCGATACTGGCCGCTCATCGATCAATATTCTCGCTTGCTACCTGCGTAGGCGTGTGCTATCGCATGGACGGCCACGGCCAGCCTGTGTGTCTGGCGTAGGCTGCATGTCGGAGCCTTCCATACCGAAGTGCTTCACCTAGCCGAACGTGTACGAGCCGCGGAGGAGTGGTGAAGATAAGACGCCCGTGGGAATGCAGATAGGGCAGCCTGATATGCACACGGGCACCGTGTTGAGTTGGAAGAGGAAAGGGAAGCAGAATGCCCAGATCTGTGGGGTCGTTCGCCTAGCTCTTCGCTTGGGATATCAGGCCGATCAGATAGGCCAGATATCGGGAATATTGTCTCCAGGCTTCCAGAGATGATGCCACATTCGATGATAGCCAAGCCTCAACATAATTGTTGAAGTCGCCAGAATAGGAGTATGCCTCAGGTGAGCAATGCAGGTGGTGGACCGGACGAGAGACCCATTGCTCGGACGAGTGACAAAAGCTCGTGTCTGCAAATGATGACGATAGAGTAATCACAATCGTCTTGATTGACCCATTGTCATACACTTGTTTTCCCTTCCGATGAGTTGCCATCTACTGCATTTGTATGTCCGGTAGCTGGTTGCTTTGATTCCTCACCCATTTGCTGCTCGCTGACGGTTTCGCTGTCGCGACTCTCTTCGTCCACCGACCTCGCGACCTTCAAACTCGTGTTGCCCACCCAGAAAGTCAGTAAGAGACTGACACCAGCGCAGACCGTGAAAAAAATGAAAATATAATGTAACCCCTGCATGTAGACATCAAGGACACGCTCTTTCTGGGCCTGTGATATGTCGAGGGCATCAAGAGCGTAAGTAGATGAAGTAAGCTGGGCGATCAGATCCTGCGTGGCAAATATCTCACCACTCAGACCAGTCCTCAGAGTGTTCGAGAGGGTGACTCCAGAAATGACGAGACCAAATGCGCCGCCAATGGTGCGAATGAAGTTGCGAAGTCCTGTGATCACAGCGCGATCTGAGCCGTTGCTATTGGCATACATGCCAACGAGGACCGGTTGCAGCGTTAGGCCAATGCCAGCTCCTTCAACAATGAGTATGACAATCAGTGGCGCTAGGCCTGTGCTTCGATCGAACAGTAGTGTCAGGCCGCTCCCCAGAGTCCAAAGCGTGAATCCGGCCAGAATGCAGTGCATGTAGCTCCCTATTCGTGCCATATATTGCCCACAAGCGATGGATGCGATGGAAGAGGTGATAACGACCGGTAAGATCAAAGCACCGGACACCAAAGGAGTGTACCTAAGGATTGATTGGAAGTAAATCGGGAGATAGAAGAAGTTGCCGAAGTATGCCAGACCAGTCAGGAATGACTGCAGGTAAAGCGCCCAGCAATGGCGAGCCTTGTAAAGTCGGAGCGGCATGATTGGTAGGGCAACTAGCTTCCATTCATAGAGAACGAACATCACGGCCAGGACTAAGCCGATGATAGTCGCTGAAATGAAGAACGGAGACGACCAGGCATAAGTGACACCTCCTCCAGATAACGGGACCAGGATCAGCAGCGTAGATGCGATGTTGAGTATGACTCCGCCGTAATCGATCTTTTTCATCTTTTCGAGGTGGTCGCCGGATTGGTGTTTGAGTGGGAGGAGGAACAGTATTACCATCGCTGTTGGTATCGTCATGATAGGGATGATCCAGAAGACCCATCTCCACGTTGCGCCTTCCACTATGGCGCCTCCTAAGAATGGTCCAACACCATTCGCCAGAGCTATGACAGCACCAAGCCAACCTAATCAAGTCAGTATTCAAAATCACGTCTGATGGTCCAGGTACTCGCCTTGATAGATCCCTCGATTCTGCAACGTCGTGATGTCGCTCACGATAATCATCACCAAACTATTAATACCTCCACCTCCCACTCCTGCAACAGATCGCAAGGCAAACAGTTGGCTGGGCGTTTGAGCAAAGCCACAACCAAGATCACCGAGAGCCATGAGCGCCAAACAGATCAAGAGCAAGTGCTTCCGGCCAAATATGTCTGACAATCGCCCATTGATAAGCTGAAATGCCGTGGATGCAATCAAGAACGAAGTACCAATCCAAGAGGTAGCGGTGCCTGTATCTAGGTCCCCAGCAATGGCTGGTGTTGCTGTTGAGACGCTGGTCTGGTCGATGAAAGAGACGAAAAGGCATATTGATAGCGCCGGTATCGCCACCATGAGTCGTTTACGCGACATGGTATTCCGTTGGCCACCAACGGAGTCTGCGTCACTGTTGTCGTCTGGGCTAGATCGCGAGCTCAAAGGCGTGTCGTTTTCATCCGGAGTCGAGTACGTTCCTTCCTTGCCAGAAGCCTCGTTGGAGAGCGATTTTTCGAGGGCGTCACTTGAATGCCGAGTCGGTTCCGGATCATTTCCAGATGCTTGTATGGCCATAGGGGCGGCAGTTCCTGGCACGGATGCGCAAACCAGTTCAGCGACGCAGTTCGCGGACTACAGCCAGCGTATGTCCTGGTCGGTGCCTCATTCGGCTGTCAAGAGACGATTGCATACATCCATCAGATCATGACAGCAAATCCGACGGACCCACTTCGAGGTGGAGGACCGAGCCATCGGCTTCCTGCATAGAACTCCTTGGCCAAAAGTGCCCGCCACCTGTGCGACATACTTACATCCGGGAGCATTTGACAAAGCTTCATAGTCGTCTTGGAAGTGTCATACCGATGATCATCGAAGACGACAAAGTAGTGCTTTCGGAAGTTTTCAACCCGATGACAAGAGCTTCTTATCAGTGAGTGCTCGGAAAGACGTGAGCCGCTAGTGCTATGCTAGGCGAACCCCATCCATCAAGCGATCACTGCAATTGATCGGAGAGCTGAGGTCTTGATGCTAGTCGTCCGAGTCTCTCCTATGGAACCGCTGCCTCAGCGAGCTGATGCAATATGACTAAGATGTCAGTTCCGACACAGAGGCTGAAAGTCACAACTTATCCCTAGTGCCAATCATAACTCCGTTGCACTTGTTTTGGGGACTGCGTCTCGCAGACACAAAGACAAAGCTCGGCAATCTCATGTTCGCAATTGTCGTCAATAAGGAGGCACCATGAGCGGTGAACTTTGGCGACTGACGGCCACTGAGATTCTCTCCAAGATCCGCGCCGGGGAGTGCACAGTTCAAGAGTATGCTCGCTCGCTCTTGCAGCGCATCGAAGCGAGAGATGATGCTGTCCAAGCATGGGCATATATAGACCCCCAGTCAGTGATCGAGCAAGCAGAAGCACTCGATGCTATCCCTCCGCATGAGCGTGGTTCATTGCACGGCGTAGCGATAGCAGTCAAAGATGTGATCTTCACCAAAGACATGCCAACACAATTCAACTCCGCAATCTACGACAACGACGCTCCCCAACTCGACGCCGGCTCCGTGGCCATCCTTCGAAAAGCAGGCGCCTTGATCTTCGGCAAGACAACAACCACGGAATTCGCTGCAACCACGACCGGACCAAAGACAAGAAATCCTCACGACCCGAATCGAACTCCAGGAGGTTCCTCATCAGGTTCTGGTGCCGCAGTAGGCGACTTCCAAGTCCCCATCGCACTCGGCACCCAGACCGGCGGTAGCACCATTCGTCCTGGCTCATACAATAGCATCTACGCCTTCAAGCCAACCTGGAACGCCATCACTCGCGAAGGCCAGAAAATCTACTCGTTGATCCTCGATACCCTAGGTCTCTACGCACGTAGCATAGAAGACCTAGAACTCCTCGCAGAAGTCTTCGCCATCCACGATGATACTCCACCTCCTCGGGACTTCGCCATCAAAGGATCAGAGTTCGCCATCCTGAAAACCATGATCTGGTCAAAGATCGGACCAGGAAGTGCCGCCGCAATGGAGAAAGCCGTCTCTCTACTTCGTGCCCAAGATGCCGAAGTAGAAGAAATCGAACTTCCAGAGCACTTGAACGACCTGCCCGCTTGGCACGACATCGTACTCAGATCTGATGGCCGGCCAGCATTCCTACCAGAGTACACCATAGCCAAAGACCGATTGTCAGATGAACTCTACGGGCACGTCGAGAATCGCGAGAAAATCTCGCATGAAGCGCAATTAGAAGCCTTTGATAAAATCTCAGCTGCCAGGCCAGTGGTTGATGAGATTCTCAGTCGATACGCTGCAGTTCTGACTCCGAGTGTGCCAGATGAAGCGCCGTTAGGAATCGAGAAAACCGGAAGTGCTGCGTTTTGTTTGATATGGACCGTAAGTCGTGCCTTCCAATGTTACAAGAACGCAAGTCGTTGAGAACTGACTGTCTCCCAGGCGCTCCATGTTCCGGTAACCAATGTTCCAGGTTTCAAAGGCGAGAATGGTATGCCTATCGGTATCTCTCTTGTCGCGCCTCGCTACCACGACAGACATCTCCTCGCGGTCAGCACAAAGGTCGGCGAAGTTTTCGAAGCCGAGGGAGGCTGGAAAAGAGCACTGGAGCCTTCCTCAAAGCTTTGAGCGAGAACAAAAGGCAAGAGATAGAAAGAAGGTCAGATTGTCGCGTGTCACGAACGAATCGTGCCAAGCGGACAACTATTGTTGCTAGCGCGCTACGTCAGCCCATAAGCGTACTTGAGACATAACCTCAATCTCCGATTGCCATCCCATCTCACGCAACAAACTCCTCGTTCTAGAATCCCAATCCTGACTCCAGCATTGCCCATGCGAAATCACACCGAAACAAACCAGGTTCAATTCTCAGACATCACCGGGTTGGGCATCGCTGCAGTAACGCACAATTGGGCACTAAGATCAATGACCCGCAGCTCCCAAAGGTCAGCTGACGGACAACAAATCAATCGCGTGGCACAACCACTGACAGACACGCCAACATAACACCAAGTAAGAAAGCGAAAGTATATCGAACAAAAGAGAAAGACGGACCCAGAATCAAGCGAATGACTAGCATTTTCAAATGACTGGGGGGTATCTTTGGTATCTGTCGCATTTCTATTTCTCAAACCACCAATCATCCAAAACAAGAGGAGACCTTGTTGCTCACTCATTGTGCCCACGTATGCATGGATTTGCTCGCTCGCTCGCTCGCTCGCTGTACTCCGGAAATGCTTCATAAAATCCATGTTTCACGCCCTGCAACAAAGCCTTATCCACATGACCAGCAGGGCGTGTATATGCTAGATTTGTGAACGCCGCCGCCTTCGCCGATTGTCCTAGATGCCATCTCAATCGTACGCCTCAAAGTGTTGGACGACTCAGTACCGCGAGCGCGACTCTTCTCGTCGACGTTCATCTCTCACGCCAAGGCCTCCAGACATATAATTCGGCTCCGCGTCTCGATTTCGCTCGTGTCGTCGCTGATTCTCTCGGATGAAATCCGCTTCACTAGCACCGGCAGTTGAGGGTGCTTCCAGCATTCGCGGAGCCTTCTCCTTGAATTCATCTTCGCTGTCGCTGTACTCGTACTCGTCTCTTTCGAATCGGTCACGATTACGAGAACTCTTTCGTGCGGCAGCTTTCCTCTCCTGTCGTTCCTCTTCGTATCGTTTGTCTAGAAGAAGAGCAAGCCGTGTCAGTGAATGTCGTTAATAGGCGCGAGAATCTGCATAACCTCGTGCTCCACTCGTCGTGTGAGCCCGATGCCTCCCTGACCCGCCGTGTGCTTCTCGATCGGAGCGCGCCACTTCTGGTTTGGCGTGCACTCTGGTATCAATGAAGTCTGCCAGCGGTGGCGGGTTCAGAGCCAGCTGCTGGTACAAGTGCTCGAGATGTGGCGGTGTTCCCGACCGACTTGCTGGCTTTTGGAAGTGATCAGTTCCATGTGCCCCATCCACAGCGGATTGGTCTGGACTGGTTCCATGATGCTCTGCAGTATTTCTTGGGTTGTTGAAATGAGAATGGTAGTGTTTACCTCTGATGTCTCGCGTCTTGTCCGCGAGTTTTTGAATTTCCTCCTTGGTCAAGACACGTAGCACAATGACGCAGTCGAGACGCTCTTCGAATCTCTCCTGAGCTGCTTCCAGCGCTTCAGGATTCACGAGACGACGATCGATCTTGGTCCATCGAGCGCCGGGGGGAATGCCTTTCTTGGTAGCCTGATTTTGTTGGTGGTCAGTGGGTTCGCGCCCAACCATCGATGTGATGAGTGGCGGACTTACATCCTTGAGCGGTGCAACACCTTCGCGTATGGCGTTATTATCTTCAGGAAACTTCTCGGTGGGCTTCTTGAGAATTCCCTTTGGCTTCCTGTCCTCTTGTTCCGTCGGTGGATCAACAATGCGAACACGGTTCTCACGCTTGTCGCTTTGGGAGTTGTCGATGATCTGGACTGGCTCGTCCGTCATCATAGGCCTGTCAAGAATGCTCGGCTTGCGATTGAGGTCTGGCACAGTGGAGGCGTTGGAAGCTGCGACGTTGGACTCGTCGTCTCTCTCGAAGCTTCGACGCGTTGCGCTCGGTGGAGGCGCCGCAGTGCTGGTCGAACTGCTATCAGGGTAAGGCGCTTGCGAGCCACCATTGCGGAGTTCACGTTCGCGCTGCCGTTGTTCTCGGTCTCTGCGTCGACGTTCTCGATCTGAATCAACATCCTCCGCGCGTTGGGGAGCGGGTGCTACACCCAGTTCTCGTTGGATTTGCTCCATGCGGCGGCGGTAGTCCTCTTCAGCGGAAACTGCAGGAGCTGGCATTTCACTGCGAGCAGGTTTGCCTTCCGAGTCCGAATCTCGCATGCGGTCCGTCTCTGGTCGAGTATGGCTACGATCCGCTTGTCTGCTCGCAGGGCGCTCTGGCACCGCTGCAGGCGCCAGGCGGTCACTACCTTCTGCAGGACGCTCGCCGCTCGGTCGATCAGGCGGCGGGTAGGGACCTTGCTGTCGCTCGTTTGTCGGCGGGGGAGCAGTGCGCGGTGGCTCAGGTGGCGCTTCGAAAGCGAACCCAAGGCCTCGGTCACTCTCTCTCTGACCTCGATCTCGCTCGCGGTCCCGGCCATAGGTGTCCTCGTCGCTCGCGGCACGTGCTGCATCTCTCCGGTCACGATCATCACGATATCGTGGCCGCTCGTCGTCGTAGCGGTCCGTCCGATCCCTCTCTCGCTCACGGTCACGCTCGGCCCTAGGATCGCGACTCCGGTCACGTTCTCTCTCGCCATAGCTTCGTGGATCATCCCGGTCCTTATCCTTGTCGCGCTTATCGGAGGCGACCTTGTTCAGTAGACCAGTTAAGCCGAAGGCTGCAGCTGCTCCCGCAAGGCCGCCAGTGGCAGCTTGTGAGAGACTCGGCTTAGAGACCGTTTCACCGCCCTGGCGAGAAGAGTCCTCCTTGTCCTTCTTGCGACCATAGTCTCGATCACGGTCGGTGTCCCGTCTGACGTGGTGGCGTTCCCGGTCATCCTTGCGATCCTCTCTGCGGTCTGGAGGAGGCTGCATGAAACGTTCTCGTTCCCTTTCGCGCTCAGTCATTTGCTCGTGGTCACGTCGTTCATAGTCTCGGTCGTAACCGCGCTCGTCCTCTCGTCGAGCAGGCGGCTTTGGGGCGTGCTCCCTCCCATCGCGCTCTCGTGGCCTGTCGCGCTCCTCAACTTGCATGCGAGGGGCATATTCGCGGTCTCGCTTCTCCTGCTCGAATCGTGTATTGTCGTGATGATGGGACGTGTATGGTTGCGGGGCAGTTTCTCGTCGCACTGGCTCCGCATAACCAGAATCGCGGTAGCCTGGTCGATCGAAGTTCTCATCACTTCCTCGGCCATACCTCGTTTGGCTGTCATCTCGCAGGTTCGGGTTGATGCCGAAGCCACGCCGCTCGACGCTCTGATCTGGCCGACGTGTCACGCTGTGTCGTCGCGAAGATGCCCGAGGCTCTCTCGTATAGTCGTAGTTGCTGTCGTAATTGTGGATCGTGGTTCGGCGTCCTTCGACAGAACCATTTCTGGGCACAGTATAAATGGCGTCGCTCGAGTCTCCGTAATCTGCATAACCTGCATGACGACCACGAGTCGGCGACTGAGCAACGGTCCGCGGCGTGTCCCTAACACTGTTGGTCCGGCCAAAGTTGTCATTGATCTTGTCCCAGCCGCGAGTGCTTGGCGGGGGTCCACCGCTCTCCTTGGCAGGCTGCCGTTGTCCGTAGGACGGGTCAATCATGCTCACTGGACGTTCCCGGCTTGTGGCACCTCCGCGGTCGACACTGCCACGTCTGGGTCGCTGCACCTCCCTCCACCGTGGCTCAGTGTCCCGGTACATGCTCGCAGGGTCCGTGTACGAGTAAGCATCTTCGTCGTCAATGCTCTTGTCCCGCGGACGGTTGTGGCTGCCGTTTGTATGGTATGTCGCTGCACGTCGGCCTCTTTCACGTTCTCGGTCTACTCCGCTCGTCCTGTAGCCACTCCTCTCTGTGCTCTCTTTGCGTCTGTGATGTCTCTCCCCACTGGCGGGGATGTTGACATCAGCCACTAGCTTGGCACTACCATCGGTGTCGACGCTGTAGAGTTTCTTGTGAGTCGTGGTCGACACGCGTGGTTCTTGTGAGGTGCCAGGGGTGATGTAAATGTCACGAGGGGTGACTTTGGTCGGACTGGCAGGACGTGCGACTTCCTGCTGCACAATGGGACGAGTCCTCGATGGCAACGCCGAGGTGCTCGAAGAGATGGTCGAGCCGCGGGTCTGGTCGGCGTGGGAGGAGCGGCGGGGTCGACCCGAGTAGGAGTCCAAATGCAGACGACTGGTCGAGGAGGTCTGTGACGGCGGTACGTTGATGAAGGTTTGTGTCGAGATGGGTATGACGCCGGTGCTGTTGCGCGGCGAAGCGTATGAGTTGTGTCGTTGGGTGTAGTAGCCATCGCTGGTCAAGGTGTTGTCCGATGCCCGCGCAGGATTGGCAAGGCGGCGGCCGCCTGGCGACGGTGGGCGGTGGTTGTATGACATGGTGAGTTGGGCGATGGGCTTGACTCGCGGGAGCTGGAGGGATATGGAGCCCGGTCGCGCTCGCTTGAAGACGGTGTTGGTGGTGGGTGTGAGCCTTCCCGCGTAGGCTGAGGTCTTGGGCTGCTCCATTTTGATCGTCGTCAGCGCATGATCGTTGGGTGCAGTGGATGCGACGCGGTGTAACGATGCTGCTGCTAGTGGTGGTGGCTCGCCGTCCAACACGGCGGCGCCCGTGACAGCGCTGCCACTCTCACGCATTCACCTCGTGCGGTGACTGCGAGGGGAGATTGATGAGACGGGGTCTGGCTTACCTTTCCAACTGCGACAGACGTGCGGTCTCTGATGCTGGCTCTGGCTCTGGCTCAGTTACGGCCTTGGTCAGCAGTCGCTGGCGGCGGCGCGGAGCAAGGTCTGCGCTGCAGAAAGTGCTCGCGGTCGACGGAGGGCGAGTGGATCTGGCGCGGAAGGCTTGATGCCTGAAGTCGCCAATCTGGGCCGGGTTGGCCCTGGTTTGCAAGTGCCGCTGTTCTCGATGCGGGCGTCGTTTGGGCTGCCAGCGCCCTCGTGTTTTCTGCCGTTGGGCTCGGATGTCGCTGTGCGGTGGGGAAGCAGTATGTAGTAGAAGCAGCAGCGATCATGCACTGCAGCCGGGCGTGGAATGGGGCGTACTCCGGTCAACAGCTCGCAGGAAGATGTGTCGAGGACAGCAGGTGGAGGTGGTGCCGTCGCAAGGCTGGCGAGTCTAGCCTTCCTGCCGCAACCCTACGAGCGCCGACGTCAGATTCGAGTCCGCCAGGCAATTTGGCTAATGTTGCGGGCTAGCGACGACACCCACTTTGCACTGCATAACTCATACTGTCGCTGCTCGGCAAAACGTCTTGTCGTCGTCGTCGTTCCCTCGCGCTCTGCACTGTGCCACCTCCCGCCGGCTGTGCCTTGAACTGCTGCCCGACATGCACTCACAGGCATTGGCGTGCCGGCTCGTTGGCTCTGCCGCCCCAAAAACTAATGCAACGGGCACATCGAAGCCATGACATCAGTCGTCATTTCCCTGCTTTCATTCGTGCCTGCTCATTTTCACTTTGCCTAGAATGCAGGGGAGAGCACAACTGTGATAGGCTCGACGACCTCCTCCACCTCGACAGCTTGACCATCTTCACCACATCCACGCGCTATCTATACACGAGGCGATGCGGCCCACCACAGCACCACGCGCCATTCGTGTGCGCAGTGCACGCTTGCGAGGGAGAGCAGCAACGCGAAAGCTACTGCAGACGGAAACGGCGAGGCGAACGTTCACCAGTGTTCAACCATCATCCTGCGCCTCGTGATGGACATGCTCGACTGCGAAATGCTCAGGGCAACTGCACCATGGCGACAGCAGCACGGGTTACAGTGCTACACTGGCATCCGAGCAACACCCTCTCGGGAAAGCTGAAGCAGGGCGACCAAATTCGCTCTGAAACTGGGCCACGTCTCACTCGATCCGCCACTTCCATGTGAACACATCGATGCTGATACACTGCCGTGCTGACCAGGACTCGTGCCGAAAATTGACAAACAACCAGCACATGATGACAAAGTCCCGGCGTTCCTAGCTTCAGAATCTGGATTTCGACGTGCACCTGGCCATAACAAGGTCTCACGTACCGCCGCTGTCAAGGTCCTTCCCTGCGCCAACCTTAGCGGCGCCCAACTGTCAAATCGTTATCGCCGTCGGTCGTGTCAACTGTCACTCCCTAAAATGGCATCTCGATTCCCGGCAGACGACTACAACATCCGAAGATCTCGTTGAGTGAAGGTGCAGCGCCAAAGAACTACTTGCGCGCAGCGTTGCGTCGACGCAGGTTCTGAATGGAAATGGTGCTGCCGCTTCAGGCACACACCCCGCAAACTTGTTCGATGCAACACAGCTGGTTTCTGCCTTACCATGCTTCACTGCCGGCTTTCAGCAAGTCAATCTTCCGATCACAAACGGCCCGCACCATTCGCGACAACCAGAGACCAGCTGATACCGATGTGCTCAGGAACCGTTTTTCGAGCTAAACAAGATCTTCGCCGACCAAGGCGTGACGTCGAGCATGGTGGCCGGATTTCAAAAGATCAGTCACTCGTTCTGTGCGTGCCTAGCCAGTCACCGACTGTGCTGCACGCGTGCTGTGCTGTGCTCTTCTCCAGTTCGACCGTTGATCGTGCGTCATAGCCAAAGTCGCAGAGTCAGGGACAACTCCATGACTCGGGCATCCGAAGCCCATGTCCAAGTCAGAGTCATCGAGCTTGACGTCGCTTCTATGGTCATGTATCACCGTCGATGTCTCGTTCCTGCCACGCATCACCAGCCTATTCTCGACGCTATGGCTTTGGAAAAGGACGGCCGCAGCGATGACACAAAACGCTTTTCCAAGTAAGCACAATGCTGGCCTTTCCGCGCTGGAGTTGTCAGCCACGCGCCGTGAAATGAAATGCCACCGTGAACATCTCGCGTGCGAAAAGTATTTCACAAGAAAGTCGCGCGTAAAGGACTATATGCTATGGTGGGGTGAGGAGATCCCGATTGCTGGTGTCACAGCGACCATTTCTTTGAGTGTCCGCTCAACTTAGTATTTATTTCTCACGAAAGCTGTCGACATGTTCGTCTAACGTGCAGTCTCCTACACCACAGTCACGACCTCATCTCTGACGGGCTGCAACACGAAATACGGTTCGGCTTATCCACAAGGAGAGAGGTCTTGGCAGACTCACGATCGTGTCGCCCACTCTATGGCTGACCCGCGGGATCCACGGCCTCCGATCATGGACATTGCTGAATTCCGCTCCGCAGTAATCCATCAGACCACGTAAGTCGGCAGCTTTGCTACGAAAAGGCCGCGTCTCCAATAAGCATACCACGACTTCAACACGCAAACACCAGGCAACCGCATTCTTTGGAAGCCGTGAAACGACTGAAATTATCCACTTGAAGATTACGACGCTTTGGCCATGATATAACGCGCAAAAATGTGGAACTATCGGAGGATTTATCTTCCGGTCAAGGTATCACCGAGGGTGGTCAATGACGGCTGAACTGGTGCATTGAAGCCCACATTGTTGCTGAGAGGTTCTGATGTTGGGCTGAGCAAGTCTCCATGTGAGCGGAGGCTTGCTACAGAACCGTATCTGATGGACTGGACTCACTAAACAACGATGCGGCACCGACTCTGCATCCGGCCTCTTTAAACCGCCTACCGACACGTGAAGACCCCACAACTGACCAGAGATCGTGTATTTGTCGAAGAATGATCCACCATACAGTCTAACAGCAAGGAGGAATTTGCAGATGCCGTACCCAACAACAGAAATGGAAGTGCCTCGACTAGCTTGCGATCTTCACTCGATTCTACACGCCCCGCGCAAATTCAACGGACAATATACTGCAGCCACCGGTACGAGACCATTACTTCAGCGCGAATTGGAGTGCACGTCAGCATGAAACCTCACGCGGGGAACTATTCCATCGAACTGAAGCACGCAACCCAGATTAGCTGCTTTCGATTTCTACGACCCTGGACAAATCTATGGAAGGATTCAAATATCAGCTGAGACTGCCCTGCCATTCATACCCACTACTTGGAGAACTGAAGGACGGTGGTTCCTTGGGAATCCGAAAATCAGGAATAATTTTCCAAATTCAAGACGACGAGGGGAGATTGCCGCTAGAGTCTATCTAAGGTCTTCGATCAGAGTCCTGTTTGATTAATCGTGACGGAAACGCTCCAGGAGAGGGAGAAAGTGTGTGGGACAACCGAAGGGTGAGCAGTCGGCGGGCTTCTTGAAAAGTAGAAGGGGAAATGCTGTCTTCGGGAGGGGGCGAAGTAAGAGAGCAGAGGAGCGATGGTACATCGATGCCTGCCTGCGCCTTATCTGGGGGCTGCAGATGCGTCGTACACTGCTCAAGCTATGCTTTGGGACTTCTAAAGGCAGCTGCTATCGTTTTGACGATTCTATAGAAACTAGGGACAGTAGTAATGCAGTTTCTGCACTTCTCCAAAGCCGCCGCGCGTGCTTGACGCAGCTCGTCTTCTGTCGTTGTTATTCATTCACAAGACTTAAAAATCCTTAATTCTTTCATTCATCCTCTGCACTGCATTATTCTCACTCCGCATATGCAAAGTTCCCCTTTCGTTCGTAAGAATCTATCTATCATTTCCTCTCCTCTACTAAGCGCCATCGCTAAAAAAGAACCCCAAAACCCAAGTCCCAATGCCAAATCAATAATCCATCCACCTCACGACAAATCAAACCCAGCCCCACTATTCACAGCAGCCAGCAACTTCTCCCTCAAAACCTTCTCACTTTTATACATGGGCAATTTCAACAAATTAACACACGTACTCGTCGTCGGAAATCTGTTCTCATCGCTCCCACTGTCTCGAATACTGAACTTGGGATTAAGATGCGAGAATCCAAGCAGTGGTCCCCGTGGCGTGGACGTAACGAATTTCAGCACTTTTCGCCGATCTTCGTCAGGGAGGCTAGAGAAGACTTTCCAGAACATCTGGATGCTGGGGTGCTCGAGACCATCGTTACCAATCACGTACGTGCCACCATATAGCGTGTTCCGTCGAAGGTCGTTGATGTCGATGCCCGCTCCGGAGCCGCCGATGAGGGTTTGTAGCTCGGATTGGTTGAACATGGATAGCCAGCTGGGTTGGATTATATCGCTTAGCCCGCGCAAGAAGGCTCGAGTTTGTCGCTGTGCTTGTCCTTTCAGTCGATACGAAGCAATGGCATTGATGTATGCCAATCGATTCTGGTTCGTGACAGGAGTATTTGAGCCATCTGGCACCAGATCGACCTCGACAATCTTCGTCTCCTGCACTCCGTCCGTGTTAATTGTGATAGCATCGTTCACCGAGAATGTCATGCCGAGTTCCTCAACATTTTCTGCGTTCTTTACTTGTAGCAGACCTCTGTACAACCCTTCATCAAGCTCGCGAAGGTCATTAATGTTAGGTCGATAGTGGTTGTCACTCGCGGAACTACCGGCGCCACCAGTAAGAGCCCACTTCTTGAGAAAGAATCCGGCAAAGCTCACATCGACCAGAATGCCTTCGTAGAGGCACTTGCCAATAATGCGCCCAAGAAACTCGTACTTTTTGAAATACTCTCTGAGTACCTCTCTTGTCTGCTGCGTGTTCTCGTCGTATCCGTAACTCTTCAAGATGAGCTTGAGTTCTTCGAACGCTGTAGGATTTGGATACAGGAGGTGCTCTTCATTCTCCACGAAGTACTTGGTCTGCTCATTGTCCTCTTTCTGGTCAAAGGCTTGATTGATTACACTCGTGAGGAACTCCTTGGTCACGCCACCTCCGTCGATACCAGCCTCGGGCATGTCCCATTGATCGACAAAAGTGATCTGGATAGGCTCTTTGAGGTCTGGACCGAGTTCGTAGAATTGCTCAAAGGCGTCCTCAAATTCTTGTGTGCGCTTGATCTTCGCATGATGTCTGGCTAGCATGTCCTGGGGTGATCGACCGTTGGCATGCGGCTGGAACATCATATTATGACGCCACAGGTCGGGATCAACCACACCGTGACGGCGCTTTTCTTGATCGAGATGGACAAATTGCCGGAACGTCTCGACTCGTGTGTGGAACGGAATGATGAATGGCATGTTTTGGAGAATCTCGAGCTTTGGAGCCACTGATTGTAGGTAGCGTTGTCTGCTTGCCTTCCGCTGCTGTCGCTGCCGTCTTTCTTGTGCACGGATAACACTGGCGCGATTCGATAGTCCAATTATGGGTTGGTCCAAATCGTCGTCGGAGTCGTCGTCCTTATCTTCATCGTCTTGGTCCTGTACCAAATGACGACGCTCTTCCTCTTCAACCACCCCGCCGATGAAATGCGTCATGTCGAAGCGATCTGTCATGAGCCAGTGATCTTTTGGCAGAAATTTGCGACGAGAGTCTCTTTCGTAGATGGCACGCAGCAGAGCTGTGACGAGACCTTTGAGATAATCGAATGTCAAGCCAGGCAGCCCAGCAACTGTCAGAGGCTTCGTGTCCTCGAGCACTGGTAGTTCGGCAGACTTGAAACGAGAGGAGAACAGGGCAGGCGCAGGTGCAGCCTTGGTCTCGTTCAGCTCGGCGGCATCGTAGTATAAACTGAATCCCAGGTTCTTGCAGAATGTCACCAGATGAGCGACATCGTCTGTCGGCACGGCGCTGTTGCGTTTGCTCACAGGACTGTTACCCATGAACTCTTCGTCGTCCATGATTTTCAGGTCGAAAGAGAACATTTCCAAAAAGACTAGAGCGACAGTCCAATCGTCTTTTTCGCTTGCTGAAGGTGTCTTATTCTTCAACAGCGAAACTACTCCTCTAGAGTTCGAGCGAATTTGATCAAATACTCGACGCTGTTTCGCAGCGTCCCACAGATACCTCGTGGGCGACACGCTGTCCACATTTGTTGGACCCAGATGGAGCCACATCCGAATGTTGTCTCCTTGGCGTGGGAAACAACGCAGAAGTGTGAGTGCGTATCCCGCGAGCGTTTGCGCGTCACTAGCACTGTTTTCCTTGCCGACAAGAAGATTTCGAATTGCATTCTGATCTAGCAGAGAGGCCACCTGGGAGTGCAAATAGGTATTCAACCGCACAGCACCTGTTGTTGTCAACAGTTCATCAAATGCCTGATTGTCCAGATTAATGGGATGACTCTCGAAATCGATTTCATCAGCCAGACTGCCGAGCAATCGAGCAACGGCGGATGTAAAGGATATGCTCCTGGAATGCTTCGCAAGATAGATGACATTGCCCAAAAGCCATAGCCGAGCCCGAGTTGTTGTATCGCGTGATCGGGCCGCTGCGGCGACAGCCTCGGAAAGGGCGCCAACGTCTACGGCAGTCGATAGCAGTTCCAGCATCTCCGTACTCTGCGGGTGCTCCAAAAGGACGACGAGACCGGTGTATGCGGCTGTCGATTGCAGAGGCGCCAACAAGGCTGCCTGTAGAGGCTCCGCGGGTAGTCCTCCGACCGACGTGAGCACTTCATAGTACTCAGTGGCAGATTGTACGTCGAATGTTGACTGTCCGGCCGAGAAGGCCAGGATGCCCAGCAATGTGCGCTCTGAATCCGATTCCTTTGCAGCCTTTGCTCGTAGAGCGTCGAGGCATGCCCGTGTCAACTTTGCGTATGCCGATGGCCATCTCGCACTCCTGCAGGTCACTGTCCCGCTTGTGGTGATCTGCCTCGTGCCATACCACGCCAGCCTGTTGACATCGCCTGGCTCACTTCGAGGGGCATAGAACAGCATCAATCGACGAAGTTGTTGCAGCGATTCTTCCTCGGAAGCATATGGTCCATCCGCCTTGTCCTCTTGTTCGTCCCACACTGCCCGCCATATTTTAAAAGTCCGCCTCCGAGCCTGACAGCCCCGCCAAGTGCGCTGGATGCGAGACGACGCCTGCACTCGCTCTCGCTGTAAGGCGCGATTTGCTCGATCCTGTTGTGCAGAGGCTACGGCAGCCTGTGCACCACCTCCAGTGCCATTCGCTTTGGCGAAGGGATTGGTCCCTCGTCCAGAAAGGTTGACTTGCGGGCGGCGGCGTGCTGATCCCGTGAACGTCTGGTACATGGTCCAGCTAATGTGTGTTGCTATGTTCGATTTCGATCATGGTAATGTAAGACACGGTGGATCGGGAAATGGGATTGCCGGCGGGAAAGCAGCTGACACATGCCTCGCCACTCGTCGTGGTGTCGCTATCGATGGACGTCGATGGAAGTCCGGCTGCGCTGCGCTCTTACCTCATCAGGAACCGCGAACCTAAGCTGCATCGTGGGTGCCTCAGGCACCAGAAGACATCTTATTCGCATTTTCCAAGCAATAAAGTGTTGTCTCTTTGGAATGCCATTATCCACGTACTGCAACCTCCACTACAGCCGACACACGCTCAACAGAAACGACGTGTTTCACGCTGCCACAAGTATCTCGCGTACACGCGTCGTCGCTGCCGACTGTGGGTTGCGTAGCATCAGGTGCTGTTCTGTTCTGTTGTTCGCAGGCTAAGAATAGCCGTCAAGGCAGAAGCTATGGAGGAAGTGCTATAGGAGAAGACAGTGGAACAGGCCGAAGGGACGATCTGGCTAGCTAAACGAGGCAACATCAACCATTCTACCATTCCCACATTGCCGTAGGATGGTGGGTTGTGGGTGAAGTGCAAGTGAGCAAGGCCCCAACAAGGAATGGTGGTCGGAGAAAGTGCCCAATGCGACCGAGACGCCCGTGGAGAGCGTGGCATTGCAGCGTCCCAGGGTCAAAGAGAACACACAACATGCCTCGATTCTCTGCGCTTTCGGACTGAAACTACGCCCGTCCTTTGTTTGTGCGACGCACCTCAGCAGGTAACATCCTGCCCGTGATGCACGTCGGGCGTGATGGGGGGCTACATGTACTCTGCGCTGCCCACCACTCAAGCAGCGTCGGACAACATGGACCGCATCGCATCGACTTCCACGGCCGCGCCTGATGGCTATCCTCTGCACTACTCGGACACTGTAGACGGCCACAAGTCGAATGGAGATCACGACGACACCGATCTCGAGCTCGCCAACAGTGCGACCGCCTTGCGCCAAGACTTCGACCACGACCTCCTGACGCGTACCTACCGCGTCTACAAAGCGCGATGGTTTGGCCTCGTGCAGCTGCTTCTGCTCAACGCCATCGTCAGCTGGGACTGGCTGACATTTGCCGCCGTCTCGGACACCTCCGCCAAGTTCTTCCGCGTCAAGAGCACCGGCATCAACTGGCTGTCGACGGCCTTTCTCTTCGCTTTCGCCCTGTCCGCGCCCGCAACAATCTGGGTGTTGAATAAGTACGGACCTAAAGCGTCCATCACCATCGCCTCCGTACTCATCCTCATCGGCAACTGGATCCGCTACGCTGGAGCAGCTGTCGACGATGGATACTTCTACGTAGTCCTGGCCGGCCAACTGCTCATTGGTCTGGCTCAGCCATTCGTGCTTGCAGCACCCACGCGCTACAGCGACATGTGGTTCAGCGACGCCGGCCGAGTGGGAGCAATTGCTGTGACCTCTCTGGCCAACCCTCTTGGAGGAGCAATCGGCCAGATCGTCGGCCCGTTATTTGCATCAAAACCCTCAGATGTCCCCAACATGGTGCTCTATGTGTCTATAATATCTTCAGCAGCTACGATACCTTCTTTGTTCCTTCCTGCAAAGCCGCCAACTCCGCCATCTGCACGCGCCGAAGCTCCTAAGCTCGACCTCCATGCTGCTCTTCGCCAACTACCGAGGAATGGTTCATTCTACCTGATGCTTGCACCCTTTGCCGTCTACGTAGGCTGCTTCAACGCCACTTCCAGTCTCATCACACAGATCTTTCACCCATACGGCATCTCCGAAGACGACGCCGGACTCGCTGGAGGCATCCTGATCATCGCTGGCTTGGTCGCATCTGCGATCATGTCACCTATCGTCGATCGCACGAAGAAGCATTTGTGGGCAGTAAAGATTCTGGTGCCAATCATTGCAATTGCATATACTGTGCTCATCTTCATGCCCCTGACAAGAGACATTGTTGGGCCTTACGTTGTTTGTGGAGTGCTTGGTGCAGCGTCTTTCAGCCTCCTCCCCGTTGCTTTGGACCTGCTTACCATCGTGACTTTTCCAGTGTCGCCCGAAGTATCAAGCGTTGTTGCATGGACCGGGGGACAGCTACTCGGCGCCATTTTCATTGTGGTCATGGACCAACTGAAAGGAGGTTGGGACGGCCAGCCAGCGAAAACTATGCTAACCGCGCTGATATTCCAGGCCGGCATGGCGTGGCTTGTCGTCCCGTGTGCATTACTGCTCGGAGTCTGGAAATTCAGGAAGATCATTGTTGGCTCGGATCCACACGTTGTGGAAACACCACCACCCTGAAAATTCGCTGCTTCCGGGACAATTCACCTCAACAAAGGATTTTGGCTGATGTTGCGTGCTCTTTGTCGACGAGCACCTTACCTTCCCAATGCGGCCAGATCATTAGTGCAGTGAAGTGCTTTGTTTCACTGGAGACCTATTAGCTGAACACCAACGGTGCTGCGACTATGCATTGGCACTATCTCAACCTGAGCATCCATCACCATGGCACCTCGCAACAGGAAGCGTGCGACCAAGCCGAAGCCAGGCACGTTGAAGCGCAACGTCAGTTTTGGAGAAGATCGAAATGGCTCGACACGAATCAGTAGACCTGGAACATCGCCGACCACTCCTCCTGGCAGGAGATATCCACTCACGAGCCCGCCTTTGACCAGATTTGGAACGACTACGCCGAAGAGAAGCATAGATAGTTCGCCGCAGCCTCCGCCGCCACCGAAGAAGTTCGGTCTCTTCAACGACCCTGACAATCCTCTCCAGGGCACGGCCCAGGATGCCTCCGAGTGGGTACGGTCAGACTACTATTGGAAACCCCATCGGGAAGATCCCATCAATGATCAGACACCAACCAAGAAGACGCAGCCCTCCGTTCCCATTATGCAAGGATTGGGCTGGGAGTGGGAGACTCCCTTCGAGTATGAAACACCAAAGAGGAACAATAGTCGCTCTCCCAGAGTTCCACGAACACCGACTAAGCCCAATCCTTATGGAACTCCCGAGGCTTATTACGGAATGCCGGCACTGCCGTACTTCACCGGACCACCCCGTCCAGCGTTCGGTGACGGTTTAGATATTCTCGGAAATGGAATCGCGTCGCCAAGCCGCGAGTTGGACTCTGCCGAGTGGGTCAAGATCAGACGCCTCCAGAACGGGCTGATCGTGGTCGAGGGCGAAGGCGTTTGGCAAAAGCTCGTGGATGGTGAGACGCCACAAGCAGGGGCTACGTCGTTCAACAAGAAGCGAGCCAACGATACACAATACATCCCTGATACTGTGTGGGAGAACCACCAAATCACTGTGTTGTCCAATGGCAATGTCGTCCCCAAGAGTCCTGCAGGCTTCGAGAAGATCGTGCACGACTCCGTTCGCGACGACAACGGATTCATCTTATACGCTGGACTCAACGGGTCCGGAAACGACAATAAGCGCAAGAGCCCTAACGACTGGAAAGCCAAAATATCCGCACAAGGAAATCCGCTCTGGGAGAATAAAGAAATGGCCGTCTACCGCAACGGGACTCTGCGCTTCAAGTCTTACGGGTTCTTTGTGGAGATCTTTGGTCTGATTCCTCAACTTATACAGTCTGGTCCACCAACGCCCTCCCCTACACAGAACAAGAAGTTCGTGTCGACCAGGCAGAGTCCTGTTACTCCTACGCCTGCCGTCAGAGTGTCCAAGGAGTCGAGCGCGAGCGCGAGAGCCAATAAGAATCGAAAGTCGCGGGAGAAGAAGGGGCTTGCGAAGCTCAATGCTGGCCGACGAGAGAAATTGCCTCATGTTGCTAAGGCTGATTTTGAGGTGAAGCGAGCAACTCGCAGCAAAGCAAAGGAGCAGGATGAGAAGTTTTATGCTCTGCCTTAGAAGTGCGTCATTCTCCTGGTCATCTGTACATCTAGTCTCTTGTCCAAATCCTAATAAACTCCATCGCAAAACAAAATTCGATCGGAGCCTCTCTTTATTAATATCTTCATATCACACCCTCTCACGTGTTTTCCGATTCGCATTTACAACCCTCATCAAAACCTCATACTCCCTCTGATCTGCCCCCGCCTCAAAAGCCGTCACATTTTCATCCTCATCGTGAAAAACCATTCCATACTTATCATCGAGATAGACATAAGGCCACACTCGCAATTTCGGATCATTACGCAATCTCTCGCGAATGCGTAGAATTTCTGTAGCTTCTTCTTCGCGAGGCTGAAATGGTGCCGCTTCGTCTTCGGCGTATGCGCGCCAGAACTCTTCTTCTCTGGTTAGGGGAGCACGGACATTGGTGATGGTGAGGGATTGGAGGATGGGTTTGGTGTCTTGGATCGTTCTGAGGAATTCTGCCCAGGTGTAGGGGTGGGCGGTGGAGATGTCAGGGCCTGGAGGAGAGGTTTGTTAGTGAGAGTCATGATACTGATAGACATGATTTTTGCAAACCAACTTACTTCCAAAGCAATTTTTCAGTGTGAGCGACTCGAGCTGCTGGCTATGGCTCTTGATCAGATTTGCAAGCGCGGGATCGATGAAGAAGTTTTCCATGACGAGATGTTTGAGCTTCGGCATAGCGTCATGCCGGATAGGTGTCGGAGAGTGATGGAAGTTCGGCTCCATACCAATGGGATTCTGGTCGTCTGCGATGAATGTTACACGTTCAGCAGAATCGAGGTGTCCGAAGAAGAACTGATCCATTTTCAGAATGAAGTCATCGTAGCCTGGTTGAGTATTAGAATGCCACCCAGCGCCGTTGTCGCCTCCCCAGAGCTTGATGTTGAAGTCCTTGATATTGTGAAGGAAGGCTCGCCATGTCTGTGTGTAAAAAGTCGAGCATTCTCTTGGAACAACCTCGCAAAGTCTGAGTGTTTTCACGCCCTCCCTTGTGGCGAGTGCCTGATATGCTTCATTCATGGTGCCGCGCCAGGAAGCATTTTGCTCCTCCTCGAAGACATCATCTGCCATCTCGGGTTCTGCGTGCATGTAAATCGTCCCTCCTTCGTCCCAATAGGTGCCGTCGAAGTTGTCTGCCGCTATGACAGTGAACTTGATATCAGACACGTTGTGGCATAGCTGGCCACCAAGTACCTCTTTCGCGAGAAGCGTCAGGCAATTCAGCTGAGAACTGTTGTCTTGATTTCCTAGAGAGCCTTCACTTTCGTTCAATGAATTTCCGTCATCCATGTCGGGGAGTAGGTGAAGATCGAAATTTAGCTTCGCGACATGTCGCCCATACTTCTCGATCACGGCTTTGAGAACGTCTTCGTCCTCTTTACGGTTGATGACCTTGAGACAAGCGAACAACACTGGTTCCAGAAACTTGTGCAAGCGCGAATTGGTCAAGCTGAGGGATTTGTACGAATCGAAAGTTGAGTACTCTGTAACGCGGAGCAATAGTTCTGCAGGAAGGTCGAGTAAGAGAGACATTGTGGCGATATGAGGAGTACCAAGGAACAGGCAATTCGAGAATGCCAAAGCGAGGTCTTAAGTAGCTTCAGCATCCAGTATGCCCTTCATCTCAGCCGCAGGCAGCCAATGTCTCCACTTTGCAGGAATTGGCCAATGAGCGTTAGCATGACCTGCCGTTGTTACCTGGAGGGTATGCTACAGTGGAAATAGCAGGATCAGCAGCACAGTGAAGTCCAGCGATGGCAAAAGAATGGAGCAACTCTTCCTCGCTCCCCTCTCGCCCTCGTCCCTCGGTGCTCTGCCACCTACCGAGTATCGGCCTTGGACACGGAGGATGAATGGTAGGAAGACTGCAGTCAGACACCAGTTGGTCATCTCTCCGCCTTTGTAATCCGATTCAACTCGGGTCAGTGTGCAAGCTGGTGTGTCTCGACGGAGGGACGATGCAACTTGATGGGTGTTGCAAGATCGGACGTTGTGATGCGTGAAGAGGGAAGTGCCAGGATGGAGCGGGCCTGGATCCGGCGCTAAGCAACGACCAAGGGGGTCTCTTCTGTAATCGACAAACGACGCGTGCCTCCGACAACACACAACCCATATAATTGCTGCCGGACGGAGAACGCGGCGAACATGGCACGAGTGTCATTCGGGTCGCGTGCCGGCAACGCGACATTCGGAGGATCGCATCGACAGGCACTAATCCATGGCCCTTACAATTCGCTGGACGAGCTCACGAATGCGTTGCAGCAGGAGTTCGAGACGGCACGACTGCACACGCAGTCCGCCAGCACCGCGCTTGAGCTGAGCCTGAGTCTCGATGCCGTGGTTCCTCTCGTGCGTCCAGGCATCGGACCGTATGCCGACGGCGGCGACCACGACCTGCCCGATGAGTTCAAGAATGGCCTGTACGAAACCCAGGGCGAGCCCGATCAGAAGCACCCGCGCGCGCCGTGCAGCGCCATCATCAACGTGATGGATCCGGAGGCGAAAAAGATAGTGCAGAGGGCAGCATCGCGTGGAATCATGGCCGCCATCGAGGCGTTGGACGGCTTTCGGTACAGCTTCAACAATGCATGGAATGCGCAGAATGATGAAGGCGCGCGCTTCTCCTTTATATGTCAGGATAGCATGCAAAATAAGGATAGACACGCCAATGGATACACACGCGTCCTCAAACACCTCAAAGACCCCACGGGCAACGAGCGAGGCCCCCGCAAACCAACGTACGACTGCAAAGGCAGCGTGAGCGTCAAGTTCAGCACCTCCAAGCAGAGTTGCGAAGTCTTCTACAGGCACAATGCCATTCACGAGACCGTCGCCGCGAGGAAGGCTGCACCGCGAACGCCAGGACGACCACCGAGAGTGCCTGGCGACTGGACGCGAGCGCCGAATAGCGCGCCACCATACGCACCGCGAGGCGAGCAGGATGATGGAGGCTTGTCCGCAATGCTTCAGGCGGAGACAGCCAGTTCTGCGCTTGCCATGGTAGACTCATCGCCGACTGTATCTCGACCTGCTCCGACGACCTCAAACATGGGAAGGCCTTTGAAACGCAAGCGCGAGGAGTTCGCGAGACCCAGACCTGCAAGCTATGCCGCAGATCAGTCTCTGTCTCTGGCCGATCTACTGAGGAGGAGCGAAACTGCGCGCGTTGCTCCTGCCCCACCCGGTAATAGCTATAACAACTTCCTCCAAGGCGCTGCCGCAGTTGCGTATGAGCTGCCATCATGGCAGAAACCACCTCCTTCAATAAATCGCCCACCGGGTGGGCAGCCTTTTCCATTGCCCTACCAACCACAGACCAAAAGCACGCCAGCACAACCTCAAACTCCAATACAGCCAAGCAATTCTAGGCCACCCATGGCAGGGGGTTCGCAGCACTCTGGTCCCGGCCTTTATACAGTCATGAAAGTGAAAAACACACCCAAGTCTCGTTCATTACAACAAAGCTATCAAGCACCAATGAATGAGCAACTCCAATCGAAGCCACAGGCCGTACTTGCTTGTACCAGCTGCAGGATAGCCAAGAGACGCTGCGACGAAGCCAGGCCAATGTGCGGTCTCTGTGTCAAGCTGAATAAGACAGAGTGCCACTACGAAGGGCCTACTACACATGTGCCAAACGCGACAGGTGCTTCACAGCAGCAAGGAGTCGGTAATGGCCCTGCGCATCAACGACCTGCAGGACTCGCCCTGCCTTCGTTGCAGCCTGCACAAGGTCCAGGTCAAAGCAGTGGGGGTAAACAGACAGAGACAGATGTCACACAAGGCGCTTCCCAGCATGTACAGTCTGCACAGCCGTCGCAGCAGGCTCCGGTCCCCATCGCTCCAATGCAGCAACAATCGCAACCTTCTTGGGACAACGAAGTCTCTCCACAGCACACACCGTTAGCAAGCTGGTCGCAGGATCCGTCTTTGCAGCAGTGGCCATCACAGGGGTCTCCTCCGCTGCAAGCATGGGGTAATATCACCATGGCACAACAGCCTAGTCCAGATCCTTGGTATCCGAAGCGTTAATGGGATGGCAACAGTACCAGTGTCGAGATCAATACGCGTGCAGTGGCTGATCTTGCGCCAAATCTCAAAAGGACTGTGCCTCAATCACGGTCTGACGAGCATTGTTTAGACGATGAGGATTTGTGACAGCCAGAAAGCGGACACTGAGTTTGTCTGGCTTTCTTGTCTCCCACCTGGTGACACGCGGGTTCTTCTTCGAAGCCTTCGCATGGTCTATGCTCTGCGCTCCGCTTGGAACCGCTTGTACGCGTACTCTCACAAGCATCACTTAATTCAGCATTTTGCCTGCTTAATTTTCTGTGACGCTGACTACTCGCTGGAAACTGCTCGATCGAAGCTCTTGCGGACCCGAGAGGCTCTTCCAGATGCACATAGCTCTCTTATCGAACGGCGCTCGTGAGCTTGCCCGCTTTCAATAGCGTGGCTGATGTGCCAAAGTCACAAATGGTGCTGGCCCAATCACACAAGCGCGTAATCACTTCATGAATCAAACGACTGTGCACTTCATATCGCCAAGACGGTAAGTAGAATATGTCATCTCTACCGTGCATCGTCCTTGCGAGTCTGACGGATGCGAGCTCCTCTTAAACAAGGGAGCTGTCCTTTCCATCCTCATCTGTTCCTCCTCATCGCAACATCTCAGCCATTCCTTCCAGCGGCCTGTTCGCTCACCATGAAGTTCTCGATCATCGCTCTCGCAGGACTGGCAGCCGCCGCTGCCCCGCCTGCAGACCCTCATGTGGTTCCACACATGCACCACCATGTCAACCTCGAACGCTTCTCTAGCACCGACTGCGTAAGGGACACGGACGTTGGCGACAAACATACTCTCAAGAGAGGCGTATGTTACGAATTGCACAAACACGGGAGGACTGTTACTGCTGCCAGATCAAGCATTGAGCACAACCGCAAGAACAGAATCGGAACCACGGAGAACTGTCGCGTATATCTCTACAGTGATGAGAAATGCAAAAAGAACGAGGTCCCGTAAGAACACCTTTATCTGCTGTGGCGTGTTAGTGAGTGCACGCTGATCAATCAATCACAGAACGGAGGACTTGTGGAACCACAGCAGTCAATGTGGCAAGATCAAGCCCATCAAAGCTCGCTCCGCCATGCTCAAGTGCTGGAAGACTAGGGACGGCGCGCAAGACGGCGAAGCAATCGTATTCGACGAGGACAGCGACAACATCGACGTGGTCACAACAATCGTTCAAGGACCACAAGCCCAAACTCTCACTCTTCAACAACCCGCCGCTGTCCAAAGCTCCAATGGCATTCTCTGGCTGTCTGGAGCTGCACCTTCGCAATCTCTCGTCACTGTCGCCGTCCCAGTCGCTGCTGCTCCTACTCCTCAAGCTCAGCCCGGAACCGTTCTTACTATTGAGCAGCATCCTCAACCAAAACCTGTGACTACTATTGGTCCAGCAAACGCACGCACTACTATCCATGTAGTGCAGCAGCATGAGTCTGTTAGGGTCATCACGCTGACGGTTCCTGTTACGAAGAATGAGGAAATCCACTGGACTACTGTCACTACTACCATGGGTCTTTCGGAGTTCTTGGCTAAGCAGACTGCCCACCCTACTGTCACTATTCCTCCCGCGAAGACGAACTAAATCCTCCATTGAGGCCGAGAACGATGTCAGCAAACACTAGGGCAGGATGGTCATTAGGAGAGTCTCATGCGCTCCTAAGATGGTCGGACTGATATTCAAGGCATCAAGCGGGGAGAAAATGTATGCGACCCAATTTGCAAAGGCAAAAGTTAAATAATGTATAGTTTGCAAGGGGAGTCGATGGGCGAGGTAGTTTTTGGAGCCTTCCAACAGCAAGAAACAAGAACAATAATCAACAGAAAATCACACAAGTAGAAGGCGGAAAACACAAAAGACAACGAGAGATAGAGGGTCAATGTAGTTCACCACTCAATGCAGTGCCTTTCAATTTTGGTATCATTAACCTCCTCTCCATCTCTCCATCTCACTACTTTGCCACAGAAGGGAAACTTTTTGTGGTGCTGTCGTGCTCTCCCCGCCAGACACAAAATTTGCTGAAGTTTCCAGTTGCTGAGCTCCATAGCTTCGTCCGTCCGCACGGTACCGGTAAGCTTTTCGCACGCTGAGAGCTGTGTCAATGTCTCCGCAGGCGATCCACGGAACGCTTCAATGCTTTGCACGACTGAAGTCTGACTGATCCGTCTCTCACTGGGTCTTGTCAAAGGAGCATCGGCGGAGCGATAGTGGGGAGCAAAGCTACTGATTCCAAAGCTGCTGAGATCGAATGCATCGGGTCACATCAATGGGAATGGGGCGAGAGACACAGCCGCAACACATGGAAGAATGGAACGTTCAAAGTAAGCCCAAGGAATGCACATCAGAATCGTCTCGCTTTCGCATTAGACTACGACTCGTAGAGTTGAGGCTTTCATCTATCAATTGTCCGCCCCACCTCTCTCGGTATCGCTCTCAGCATCCTTCGGTGCTTTCCTCTCGATGCCCTTGATTGCATCGACGCCTTTGCTCGTCACAAACAAGAAGTGAGCCTCCTTGAAATTATCCACATGGTTGAAGAACCGACTAAACTCATTCTTCTCTTCTTCCTCTCTGAAGATCCGTTGATAAATCTCCCTCTCCTTGAACGCCTCGAGCTCCTTCTCATATTTGTTGAAATCGAGATTCTCGCGTCCGTGCTTCGACGCTTGGAGATTGTTGTACGTATCAAAAACAGGACGTTCAAGCAAGAGGCCGAGACCAGGGACTTTGGGTATGGAGAATCGAGCTGCGGTGAAAGATGCGTCCATCGTTTTGAGGTCCGCGCCTGCGCGGACAAGGAGCGTGACCATGCCGACCATTTTGCGGATTTGGTGCATCATGAAGCTTTGACCGTGGACCTTGAGACTGAGCCATTCGGTCTTTTCTTCTTCGGGACCTTCGCCGATCAGGATGGGTTTGGGGTTGACTTTGAAGGACTTGATGTGGCGTTTCACGCTGGGGTCCTTGAACGTCTTTTGAATCGTGTAGTTGTGGTAATTCTTGGTCCCAACGTATTTGTTGAGTGCGTTCTGGATGCGCTCGATTCGCTTTGCGGGGATGCGATACTTGCGCTTGGCAGCAACGTATGCAGTGCGCAGAGTCTTAGTTGCAGCTCGTAGGCGAAGCAGTCGCTCCATCTCTGCATCCGTGGGTTCTGATGGCACGGGAATTTCCGGAGCAGGGTCGGCCGGTCGTGTAGGGTCTGCCTTGATCGTTGCTGCATCGTCTGCCGCGGCGATAACTTCGGCTTCGTCTGTCGTGATTCCATCCTGCTTCATCTCCGCAGGCACAGAAGAGGAACTTTCAGGGTGGGTTTCGGAGGTGCTTTCTGTCGCCGCAGTCGCTGACTCGGGTCTGACCGCCGCCTCATTGATGATGATCGCGGCGTCTTCGGTCTTCTCTTTCGCCACTTCGGAAGCAGTATTAATTGTACTCCCAGCTTTGACAATAGGCTCCGCTTCTGCTCCTGCTTCTGCACTTTTCGCGTTTGCTTCTTCTTCGCCTTGGAGCGCTTTGATCACATCCCACCTGATGTCCTCGTCGATAGTCTCCAGAATCGGTTTTATGTCTTCCTCGTCGATTTTCTCCCAGAACCCTTTGACCTCTTCTTGCCGCGCCTCGTATGCCTCGCGATCTCCGACTTCGTCTGCTGCTGACTCCAGCTGCTTCGCTAGCCAGCTACTCGTGTGCGGGGGCAAGAACGCATATGATGGCATCAGATACTCGTACCATCTGCTATCGCATGCTTGGTAACATGAGAAGCTTCCAATGGTTCGCTCAATGCCCCATACTCGAATTTGAGGACTCAGCTCCGCGTTGATCTTCTGAACAATGTCGTTGTCTTCCACGATCAACTTCAAACTGACCATGTTTCCAGCCGCATGCACGCCTTTGTCTGTTCGTGCGCATCGGACAAGCCCACTTTTCTTGGGATCCTCAGCATTCGCTTTGCTAATTGCGCCAGCTCTGATGAAGGCCTGGAAGAGGTCGCCTTCAATGGTGCGCTCAGTGCCTGAGATTTGCATGCCCTTGTAGCCTGTTCCTGAGTAGCCGATTAATACAGCGACTTTTCGCTTGGGCTTCCTGCCCTCGGCTTTCTCTGCCTCGATCTCTTCTTTGGAAAATTCAATGCCTTGGCCTTTGATACCTTCGCGCTGTCGCTTCTTCTGGGCATCTTCGTTTTTCTGTCGCTTGTCTGGGTTGGACGCACTTGTCAGATGTCAGTTCGACTTGCTCCGCTCTCTGCCAGACTTGCGATACGCACAAATAATCTGTCCGTCCCATATCTCCTTTCTTATTTCGGCGACTGTCATCAAACTTGCCCTTCTTTCCATGTCTGACGCTGCTGTCGTTCCAATTGCCCTTGCGCTTCCTGTCCTCGCGTCTGTTGTCTGATCTCTTGTTCTCGCGATGCTCGCTGGAGCTCTCACTAGGCTTGCGGTCATCCTTGGAAGTGTTGCCCGCGGCATTGTCGACTGTCTTGCCAGCATCCTCGAGAATGGCTGCAGAGTGCTCCATGGTTGTCGGACGCTGGACATGAATAGTGTCCGCAAATGAAGGGATGTTCCAAAGTGGTGCAGTTGCGGTGCAGTCATGTGAAAATCGACGGCTGAGCTAAGCTTCATACCCCAGTCGGCCGGTTCCGCGGGCCATGCAAGTGTGGGTCCGGATCGATCTTGCCGAACTCTGCCTGCAGCTGCCGGGCTGTGATTCTGGAATGTCGCTGGAAGCAGTCACTCGCGCTCTCTTCGTTCCTGCATCAGCACCGCTTCACTGCGCCGTGTTGACAAAACCGACCCCGCCGCTCTTTCGTTTTCTGCACAACCAAACATCGCCTTCAGAGCATCCGTCCACCACGCACCCATCCAACAGAAACAGAGATACTGCCAACACTACCACCGCTCCTCGTCGATTCCCATCACCATGGCCGACCTTGCTACGGAGCTGATTCGCACTGTGTCGCGTGCTTTCTATACCACCGACCATATCCTGGTTGTTGATGCGCTTATGAAGCACTCGACGTTGCAGGACACCGATTTGGCCCACGTCCTTGGTACCCAGGTGAAGCCACTGCGTAAGGTCTGTGGCCGACTGAGGGAAGACGGCCTCATCGCTGTGCAGTCTCGAGCAGAGCGCCGTACTGACGGTACGGGCGGCTACTATGGTGGCGCACCACAGCAAGGGAAGGAGCGATTGACGAACCGTGACTGGTACTACATCAACTACCACCGCGCAATAGACAGCATCAAGTTCAGACTGCACAAATTAAGCAAGCACATCGAGTCACAAGGCGCGTCGACTACCGAGAAGAAAGATCTTCGATGCTTAACAAAGGGATGCGGGAGATCGTATACTGAACTCGAAGCTATGGACAATCTTGACCCAAGCACCGGCTCTTTCCTTTGTGCCAAGTGCGGTGCAGCACTCGACCCCGTGGACGAAGAGGAGCGCGCCAACGAAAATGAGAGCATGAAGCGGATGAACCAACAGTTTGCCAAATTAGTTGAGCTCATGCAGAAAATCGACGCTGCTGCCGTACCGGAGAATGACTTCGAAACTGCGTTGAGCAAGCAGATGCCAATCGAGAAGACTGACGCTCATCCTGGTACGCGTACTGAGATTGTGGACGTGCCAAATCGTAACCTGCAAAGCACCAAGGGCCTTGAAATCAAGCCTGAGAAGATCGCGGTCGAGCTCAAGGATGATGAGGACGTTAAGCGCGAGAATGCCGCAGCAGAGGCACGAGCTAGGAAGGAGAGAGAGGCAAGACAGAACGCCCTACCGGAATGGATTTCAAAGTCTACGATCTCCGGGGACATCACAGCTGTCGGCGCCAAAGAAGAAAAGCAACGTCTGGAACGCGAGGCACATACTGGTGGTCTGCCGAAGGACGATGAAGATGACAAGAAGGTCGTTAAGGGCGATAGCAATGACATGGACGCAATCTGGAAGGAACTTGAAGCACTGCAACAGAAAGAGGCCCAACTCCGGAAAGCCGAGGAAGACGAGGAGGATGATGATGACGACGAGGAAGAAGACGAGTTCGAGGACGTCGAGGGTGTCGCCGGCACGCCTGCAGCTAACGATAACAACAATGGCGCTACCAGCACAAATGGCGCGAACACACCAGCGAACGTGGACAGCAGTAATGCTACTGAAGACGAACGTGATTCAAAGCGCGTGAAAGTATGGGCGGCTTCAAGCAGCTCTGCTCTTCCAAACGGAGCCAAGACCCCAGCACAGGACACTCCAGCTGCTAGTGATGCGGACGATGATGATGAGTTGGAGTTCGAGAACGTCTAGGAGCGTTTGAGGAAGAAGTTTTTCCCTAAAGGAACACTTTTCCCACCTTGCACACCATCACTTTCGAAGTCGGCCGCAAGAAGCCCACGCACCGATGGCTGGGGCGGAGTTTACACACCTTATCAGTTTTCGGACGACTGCAAAAACTCTGCAGACCCATCTGATCTCGAACCTACCCCAGTTCGAGGCCCAAACCCACAGCCGGACGCCTCGCAACCCGATGGCATCACGAACGGATATACAAATGGTTACACAAATGGTCACGTAAGTGATGATACGGAGGACGACGAAGAAAATGGTACAAGTCGTATGAGGTTCTGGGACGACCTCACCCCGGAACAGCAGGCCCGCCTCTCACGAGAAGAGGACAAGTGCCAACCTTGCATTGATGCCGAGGCCATGTGTTTCTGGTATATCGGCGGACCTCGTCACCCGCCCTGCTACCGCTGCGCTGAAGAGATGGCAGAACACTGTCGTGTACCGGGAGCGTGATAAACTCACTCTTTGATCACAGCACCGGACGTGGCTGCATGTTTCGGGGTGCCTCCATTTTAGAAGCATTGTCATTCGTAGCACAGAACAACACGTTCACCAGAGTATCGACGCGAGAATAGCGTTATCGCAAATATAGCCACGCACTCGTTTGCGCAATGCATGTTTATGCACAGTCAAATGCGTTTTTCTCTTTGTTCCCCTGTGCTTCTCATGTTGTTTCGGTCGCCGGCGCCGAAAGCTCGAAGCTTGTGTGACCCTGTGGCTGTGGCTGCTTCACTCGTACTCGACCTCCCATAACCTCAACCATGTGCATGCTGTAAACGTTCTCCTCGCCAGCGCCTCATGTCCAGCTCGTCGCCGCATCGACATGGTGAGAATCCCGCCGTAGCTTCATCCAGCCGCACGTCACCCATCGATCACGACGATTCGGAAGATGGGTTCGACATCGCCGACGATGAACTTCTCGCCGACGACCCACTGCACGAGCGCAATGGCGGCCTAGACAGCGGGTACATTGCTCAGACCTTCCACGCACGACACACAACTAACACGACGCGCAGCATCTCCTTCAAGCGCCCTCCGAAGCCCACCTCGAAGCCTTCTTTCGCATCACGTTTCCTCTCCAGCTCGCCGTTCAAGTCCAACAACGCACAAACTCCCTCCTCCTCTTCGTCCTCTCCTCCGCACCGCAATGGCCGCTCCGCGAATCCCACGCCGAACACGATCCTATCGTACCTCAACCAGAGCGCCGACGCAGGCGCTCACCTCCATCATGATCCCAAAGACATGAGCACGCTCGACTGGTATGTCGAAGGACCCGGTCGCCGCGTCGGCTACGACGATTTGACTGCCATCGACTGGATCTACGAATACAGCAAAGAACGCACGCGCCTCGCGCATCTCAGCGCCAATAACCCAGGCCTCATCGGCCAGATTCGCCTGCTGGCTGACAGTGCCCAAATATGGCTCATTCTCGTCTGCACAGGTCTGGCAGTCGGTGGAATAGCAGCTGCGATTGACGTCACGAGTGACTGGCTAGGAGATATGAAAACAGGCATGTGTACGAACGTGGAAAATGGAGGCATGTTCTATCTGAATAAGGTGTTTTGTTGTTGGGGGATCGAGAGCTATGATAAGTGTCCCGATTGGAGGACATGGAGCGCGATGATGGGTGTGGGAAACAAAGGCGGCAGCTACATTATCGAGTACTTGGCTTTCGTGCTGCTGAGTGTGGTGTTTGCAACTGCCGCGAGCCTGTTGGTCAATCGGTACAGTCAATATGCGAAACAGAGTGGCATCCCGGAGATCAAAACCATGCTGGGAGGATTCGTGATCAGACGATTTTTAGGCACCTGGACACTGGTGGTGAAGAGCTTGGGGCTGGGCCTTGCTGTTGCATCGGGAATGTGGTTGGGAAAAGAAGGGCCGCTTGTGCATGTTGCGTGTTGCTGCGCGAACTTGTTCATGAAGCTATTTGAGCCGATCAACCGCAACAAGGCGAGAAAGAGGGAGACATTGAGTGCCGCCGCGGCGAGCGGCATTTCCGTGGCTTTTGGTGCGCCTGTTGGAGGTGTTCTGTTCAGTCTGGAACAGCTGAGCTACTATTTCCCAGACAAGACAATGTGGGCGAGCTTCGTTTGCGCCATGGTCGCGGCTGTGACGCTGCAGGCTTTTGATCCTTTTCGGACGGGACAGCTGGTGCTCTATCAGGTTACGTATCACAGTGGGTGGCACACTTTCGAGTTGCTGCCATTTGCCGTGATCGGAATCATCGGAGGTCTATACGGTGCACTGTTCATCAAACTGAATATGCGCATTGCCGCTTGGAGAGCGTCGAAGAGCAATCCGTTTCTTTCAAAGCCAGTTCAGGAGGTCATGGTTGTGGCACTGGTTACAGCCCTGATCAGTTTCCCAATCACCTTCTTGCGAGCACAATCTAGCGAGCTGGTCGAGCATTTGTTTGCAGAATGCCAGGACATCAAGGACGATTATCTGGGACTGTGCAAGTCTGGAGTGGCCAATACTGGAAACATCTTCATCTTGCTTATTTCCGCAGTGATTGGTTTCATTCTAGCGACCATCACCTTCGGGCTCCAAATACCAGCTGGCATTCTCCTACCGTCCATGGGCGTGGGAGCTCTGTATGGACGCGTCATCGGGCTGATAGTAGAGGTCTGGCAGCGCGAGCATCCCGGCTTTATTGCATTCGCCAGCTGTGAGCCAGACGTGAAGTGCGTCACTCCGGGAACCTATGCAGTAGTAGGTGCAGCGGCGGCTCTGGCTGGCACGACGAGGATGACGGTCTCGATTGTTGTCATTATGTTCGAGCTCACCGGAGCCCTAACTTACGTCCTGCCTATTATGATAGCAGTCATGTTATCAAAATGGGTCGCTGATGCCTTTGGAAAGAGAGGTATCTACGAGTCTTGGATCCACTTCCGTGGCTATCCATTTTTGGACAACAAGGACGACACTCCTGTCCCTGATGTGCCTGTGTCGCAGATCATGACACGATTCGACGACTTGGTCTGCATTACCGCTACAGGCCACACAATCGAAAGCTTGCAGGATCTGCTCCAAGACCACCGATTCCGCGGATTCCCGATCATTCAGGACCTCAGAGAAGCTACACTTCTCGGCTACATCTCTCGGGCCGAACTGGAGTTCGCGCTCGACTCAGCTACGTCTTCAGCAAGGAATCTGCCAACCAGCACCGAGTGCTTCTTCGCGCACCAGCCTCTCGCGGATCCCACTATCACTCTCGACCTTCGACCATGGATGGATCAGACGCCTATCACTCTTCGATCAAACAGCACTCTTCAGCTGACAAATGAGATGTTCCAGAAGCTCGGTCTGCGATATATCATCTTTGTCGACCGAGGAAGGTTGGCGGGACTCTTGACGAAGAAGGATCTCTACTATGTGCTTAACGCCGGCGAAGAAAATCGCATCGGTAGTGGAGCTGGTGCTCTGAGAGAAGAGAATGAAGGGATGGAAGACGAAGCGGGACTACTTGGTCGCGGACGCGAAGTAAGAAGCAGCTGGAGCGATATCGATGGCGCAGATGTACAGTATGGCGGGAGAGAACCAGGGTAGATTGGACTGTTTATAGACTATGCTGTGCATATATGATTGAACGATTAATTTCTGCTTGTGAAATCCTGCCGCGTCGATTGATCCTGCCCTATTGCCAGACAGGTGACAGTCATAGTCCAAAGGAGACTTTAGTCTGCATTCAATTTGTTTTCATGCTGTTTCGCAAGATGGGTACCGTAGACCCCATCTGAGCAACTCAGTCTAGAGCCTGAACATATTATTCGTACTTTCCAGGCGCTTTCCTGCCAGACCTCGTCGACCTCGTCATTTCTACAGGCTGTGCAACAGCAACATCATCATTACCATCATTTTCCACACTCTTCTTTGCCTTCCCAGTCCTCGCCTTCTTCTTAGGTTTCCCAGCTTCCTCCTCGCCACCCATATCATCCTCAACCTGAACATCCTCCAAACCCCTCTTCTGCGGCACAGGCGTCTCCCCCTTTCCCAACATTTCCACAAAAGCCGCAATTCTCTTCTCCCTCCCCTTCTCCGTCTTCAACGCCGCCAATCGCATATAAATCACATACCGATTCTGGCGGTTCAAACTCTCCCACGTCTTCTGCGCTTTAGGAATTTTCGCCACTTCATTCAAGAAATCCTCTGGTGCTTCCGCGGATTTCGAGCCTGCGTACGCTGCTTCCCAGCGACCATCACGTTTTGCTGCTTCGACTGCTTCGCGGCCGGAAGCGTGCATGCGATTTTCTTCTTCGAGACGAGAGATGAGGTTTACGTTACGTTGGGACCAGGTACTTTTGGGGGTGCGAGGTGTGAAGCGTTGGGAGAAGGTTGCTTCCTCTTTTTTGCGGGCTTGGCCGTCGATGAAGCCGAAGCAGAGAGCTTCTTCGAGGGCTTGTTGGTAGGTTAGAGTTGTGGGGGTTGTGGTGCCTTTCTTGGCCAGGGTAAGCCAGACTCCTGGAGAGGTGGGGTGTTGTTTGAGAAGCCATTTGCGCCAGAGGGTGGCATTGGCTACTGTGAGGACGGGGAGTTCGAGGGGCATTTTGAGCGTCTTCAGAGAGCGGCTTGTTTACATCTTGGTTCTTGAGGAGTGGGGTTGGAGCAAGGCTGACAACTATGAAGTCAAAGTTCGGAGTCGAACAGATGTCACTCGGAAACGTGTAGATAATCAGCACCAGATGTCGTCTGCCGTTTTGGACATTGCAGGTTCACATTGCAACGACAACATGTTGTTGGACAGAAAGGTGTTGGCAAGAATCGTTCGACGTTGCCGCCAGCTGCAGTCCGGATAGATAGTTGTTCCGTTCCGATCGGTCTGTGGTCATAGCGCAGCGCTCGGTGAGCGAATGGCTCCTCCAGCCAAATCCGTCGTTGCCAATTCCCTCCACTCTGACGACAATCTCCTATCGACATGTGCCTACCTGTGAATCACGTCGCGTCGTCAACGCGCTGATGACCCCACCTACATATTATTCCGAGCTTACGAGTCTCAACCTCACTCACATTCCACTTTTATTCAAGAGCTGCGTTGCAATCAAGTTTCTCTCAAGCCACTCTTAGTGGGCCGTGGTGTATCGGAGAACAGTATCTATTGTACCACGGTGGTACAGTGCATGCGCCCTCAGCCGCGACAGCCCAATCGGACGTCATTCACGAGAGCCTATACTGTCTGAGGCCGCCGAGGTATACTTCGAAGCACAAGGACTACTGGTGAGCGTTGCAGAGGTATTGTGCAATCTGTACGGGTGGCTACAAGCCTGCATTACTGATCTGCTGCCACAAAATTACCATCTACCAATGCGAGCTTCAAGTCATCGAAGGCAGCGGTCACCTCGTCAGCCAACTTGTGACTCTGGCCCTCATTCTGTTGCTGCCGTTTCACAGCCTTCAAGACCCTCGAAGAACCTTTTGAAGTCTCATTGACACCAAGAACCTCCGCCCTCCAATACCTTCGATGGAGCTCCGGGAAAAGATACACGCCCTCTAATGGAGGCTCGGAATCGATTGCGCTCCACACCCATTTCTTCTCAAGTGGTGAGAAAAGATTCCTCATACGGACGCTAATTTCGAGGAACTGTTTCCATTGCTTAAGATATGTCGAGAGAGTTGCATCTGCACCATCGTCGTCCAGATCGCCAGCAGCCCTCCCTGCGATGTATGCAGAAGCTTCTCGACAGTGAGCTCGGATAGCCTCTTGTAAACTGCGATAGAGTGCAGGCTCTCGTTGCTCTCCGCGGTGGGGTTTACAATAGGCATGTACTGTGGTGTAAATTTGAAGGTATGCCGCCTGGTCTAATACAAGAGACTTTTCTTGAAGTTGTTGCTGTTGTTCATAGCGTCCGGTAGCATAGATCTCCGCAATGCGGGCTTCGATCCAGGCAAATGTTTGCTCGGGATTTTTCGCGGTTTCTGCGGGAGATGGGGGTTTGGGAAGCTGCATAGCTGTGGTCATCTGCTCGTTGTTCTGCGAAATGGCTATCTATCCACAAGGCGAAAGAATGCTCGATGTTATGCTATTATATGAGAGACTTCGACTATCATCTTTGTAGGTTCGATAACTTGCAGTCTAGTCTGACGCATACTTTGGAAAGTTTGGAGGCATGGCGTCAGAAGCGTCAAATGTGTGTAGAGGCCCAATCAAGAAACACTCTGTTTTGCAGATCTGAGGCTAACCCCAGCTCCTTGCGCCTACGAGGGCCATAGACTCAATCCTGCGGCATTTATGCAGCACTGCGGCGTACTAAACGTATCAACTCCTGCAGGCTTGCTGGAGTGTCGTGTGTCCTTCCATCGTGAGTAGATTTCATTGTCCGCCCACTTTACATCGCACTGTCAACACAATTTCAATACGAGAAAGCCTTCTTCTCAAATCGCGCCAGGCCATGCATGAGGAAAAGACGATTAGGTATGTTCGCTGGACCTCGTCGGGATCTAATGTGTCATCTGTGATATGACGAAAGGTACGGAGGATTCGAGGTGGCATGGTGCTAGGATTCCTCGTTTCCCAGTCGAGCTCTCGATCGAATGAAGGAGGCAGTGCACATATTGAAGTATGAGTCACAGAAGTGCGTCTGCTGGCCCGATTCTGTCTGAAAGTTTCGTAAATTCGTTACACTGAGTTCATCAGAGAACATAGCTACAACTAGGCCCAAGAGAAGTGCTCCATGTGCAGATAGATTTCTTTTGATCCACCTCTGAGTACCGCAAGCTGTTCCCCAGCAACAGCGTTTGAAACATCATTCTGCATGCTCAGTGGTCCACAAACGAACACGCCAAGTTGGCCGCTCGATGTTCTTTGTGCATTTTCTGATCTGATCAGAGCCGGCAAATCAGGGCGACTGTCCAAGCTTTGCACGTTCGATAGCTTTCCAGAATTCGACGAAGTGTCGGACTCCGAAGCAGAGGTTACAATATTCTGCGTGGCAATCTTTTCTGGAGATTCCAACTGCCGCAGGAATTGGCCGTTGGACGGAACGCTTGCTGACCTTTCTTGAGCTCCAGTGTAGTACACTTCGATTGTCAGACCATCTGGCGCCTTCTCAAGACCGTGCTCCGCCAGAACGTCGCGAACGGCAGACTCGAACCATTCTCTTGTTGCAGTATCCCTCGTTGCAAGCACAATCCTAGCACAAAGTGGCGCCGTAGCAGCCACTTCTTCTGAACCAGGAAGTGGCTGTCGAAGCAGGAAGGCACTCAGCAAAGGCAGTATCCAACCAGCCCCAGATCCACCAGCGATGATAAGTTGCTCAGGACACGCCACCACTTTCTGCATGTCCATTCCGCCATAAGGTCCGTCCAGAAGGACGCGCATAGAGCTGTTAGGATGTGTCTCAGCGAAATGAGCCAAGCGTGCGGTAGTGCCGCCACGAGGCCGGATGTAGAGCACCAGTTCCGACGTCAGTTTCCGATCAGAACTTCCGACCACAGGCAAGGAGCAAGCTGTGAAGGGATGATTCGTTGATGCATGCACTCCAAGTCCCATGAAACGGACAAAGAAGTGCTGACCGATCCTCCATGTCGCGGTAGTCGGAATGCGAACACAGATGAAACCGTTTGATGACAGACTGATATTTGCCCGATGTCCCAACCCGTGCTCGAAATAGAGACGAGTCTGTCTGTGCAGCCAGCTTAGCGAGAAGAGCACACCCGTTGCAATGAAGTAATCCCACGAAGAAAGTGTGTGATCGCAATGGAAGAAGAGGAACAGCATGAACACAAGGGCCGCCACAAAGTGTGAGAACTTGAACCATTCATAGCTCAGGCTCCTAGTATCGGGTGTTAGCAACGGCATCATGTAGACACAGTCCGTAATGATTCGCTCACCTCAACGGACTCAACGAAGCAAAAGTCAGCCAGCCTTGGGCGATAAGAGCGACAACGCCTGTCCAGTAGAATACGAGTGTGTTCCAGCTCTCCACCATCGTCCCAGTCTTGATATTGTATATGATGAACGGAAACGTGTGCACGAGCGCGGTCACGAAAAAAGCATAGGAGATCCATCGATGGAAGACCTGCAGCTTCTCGTGACTCACACCCGTCACCAATGTGATGAAGTTGCTCTTCCCTGCCGTCGCGAAGACAAACGGCATGCACGCAAGGGAGAGCCATCCTGCTCTGGTTGCTATCGGAGGCGAGCTTCCAAATTCTGCAGTGTCTGGCCAGTAGTACGGCTTCGGTGCGAGAGTCATACACATAAAGTAGATGAAGCCGATAGCACCAAGAATGAGAAGGCCCAATGGAGCGGAATTCCAATTCAGAGCATTGATTCGATACGACTTGTAGCTTAACCAACGGTTAAGGGCGGCGATGTTTCGACCCAGCTTCGATTGTTTGATGCCTTGCGACGCGAATTGATCGATCAGATGGACCACAGAGAAGAGGATGATGGTGACGAGGAAAAATGCCACTGTGGGCAGCGCGTATCTGTGATCCGCCTCGTACCTAGAAGTAGTCAGCTGCGTTCTATTTATTCAAAAAAGACTTGTGAGCGATACCAAAATCTCCAGTACCCCTGCTGATACTCGCATGCCTGGGTATCGTTGAGCGAGCATTCATATGCGCGATAGGTCTCGCTCAATGGCTTATCCAGCCACGGCGTGCCCATATGCATCATTTCGTCCATGTTGACTGATGTCGTTGGCAGATGTTCGTTGGCGTAAAGCCCAGCCTGCCAGATGATGGGACCAGTGGACCTGTCTTTGAGGACAAGAGACTGGCGCCGAAGAGGCAGTGAGTTTGCGAACTTGCTCAAGGCTGGAAGAGCGGCACAAGGTCTGGCCTTAGGGTTGGCGCCACATCGCGTGGGCAACGATCAGCTCAAGCAATCACAAAGCCTGGATTAGCAGAAGTTAATCTGGAAGACAGCCTGGACAGGGCGTAGCAGAAGTGTGGGCACATGGCGATGCTCGATGTTACTGCATGAGGTTAGCTCCAGTTCCCGAAGGATGCAAAATTGAGCAAGTTTGCTCACGTTTTATGCTCGATCCGCGCCCTCATTGGACACTTGCACCTTCATCGGACAGCCACATGGCCACCCTGTGCTAGAACTCATGCCTGTCGTTCGCAAGAGCTTATTGACGAGAAGCAAAGATCTTAACTCGGCACTACCGTCGTTCGACCAGCTCCCCGGACACCTTTGGTGGGCTTCATCGATTTTTCACGGACAAAAACAAAGCACACACTGCTTGCAAGACAATTGACTCCATCATGGACATGTCAAGTATGGAAATGTCCATGAGCGGCATGGAAATGCCAACGGCAACCTCAATGGACAGCATGGCCACGTCCACCTCTCCGGCCTCCCATTCCGACATGTCAAGTATGCATTCAAGTATGACAATGGACATGTCCCACATGATGATGACCTTCTTCACATCAACATCCACGGCGCTCTATTCGAACAGCTGGACACCGGCGAGCAAAGGCCAGTATGCAGGGACCTGCATTTTCTTGATCGGCCTGGCGGTGGTGTTCCGGTGTCTGGTCGCCGTACGATATCGTTTCGATGCCCTTTGGACCGGTGCGATGCGAAAACAAGATCCGGCAATCTTGCGAAAGAAGACAGATGCGAAGCCAGATGCTCGACCTGCTCGACGGCCTTGGAGAGTCAATGAAGCAGCAGCTCGCGCCTTCCTCGACACTGTTCTCGCCGGCGTGAGCTATTTGCTGTAAGTTCGCGCTTTCGAAGTCCCCACTTCTGTGCAAGAGGCCTTCCAGACTGACTTTTGAGCAGTATGCTCGCAGTGATGACGATGAATGTAGGATATTTCTTGTCAGTTCTCGGGGGCGTATTCCTGGGCAGCTTTGTAATTGGCGGGCCAGAAATTACCGCAGGGCATTGAGGATCTGGCCTCTAAGGTAAAGATCTTGGCCACGGCCGCATGTATCTGAAATATGATTGTTGAGATCTTGAATACAGGCGCGAAACTGTAGCGCAACACTCCTCGATGTTATCAACACCATTGTGCTGCCGGCCTTGCGATTGATGCTGTGTACCTTGTTAGAAAAACGGCAAGGCTTCTGTCTCGGTGCAGGTCTAGGGACGTCAAGCTCTTCACCTCCGTTTGCTGAGCTAGGTCGGTGCGCATGCTTTGGTAACACATAGTGAGTGCCATCCCGATTGGAATTGAAACTTGTGCTCCTTACCTGACGTGCTCCGGAGGGAACACTCATAAGGATTCCAGGTTTGCTGTTGTCCCGGCCACCGAACCATTCTTTGCCTCAGCTCGATGATATTGAACTTGGAAGGCTGAGCAGCTCCGGATGCATTCCCAGCCTCGACTTCAAGATGCTCATTGACGCCAGTGTCCCTGTCTCGTGTGGTCCATATGACTCCTCTTGAAGATACACCTCATCGAATCTAGAGGCTATCAGTCAAGCGAGAATTCACACGTAGTCCGAGTAGGCGAGCTCGGTCTACTGAGATTAGTAGGATTACTGATACTGTAGTAAAGCAGAGCCCTGAACTTGCCGCAGCTTTCGTTGGCGAGCAAGAGCCGCCCTATGCAGACCCACAGCCGGCCACTTACCCGCGCGAGTATCTCATCGTTTCGCCATGACAGAACAAATGTTGACTGAGCAGAAGCAGAACCCGAAGTCTGAACAGCAACCACGAGTGGACGTCTGGGAAGCTAAGCTTCGTGTAAGGATGCGACCTTCCCAGAGAAGAAGTTGCAGCCGAGGTAGCATTGAGTTTTGGCGGGCGCAGATGGAGCCTCACTTGACTGTTCTACATCGAAGGGCGTGAAAAGCTAGCTGGCTCGTGCTACATATTGCTCATCCCTGACTGGTCCACAGTCTGCTGGGGCTATATCTAGGAGATAGAACGCAGTATCAGAACCACCGGACAGCAGCACAGCAAGATCAAACAGCTTGACAGATTTCGCAACCTCGGGCATTGCACCTCGAAACATCCACAATGGGTTCTTACGCACCCGATGAGCGCAGCAAAGCAGGCAGATTGCCAAAACGAAGTAAGTAGTTCGCCCGAAGTTTTGCCTTCTATATAGCTCAAAGCAGACGCTGACCTCAGTTACAGTGCAATATGATGCCGAGCTAGTTCACAGCATCCTCAATGAGACTCCCATCCTACACGTCTCATTCAACGCCCCTCCCAAAGACGGCCCGCAGTTTCCCACAATTCTTCCCATGCTAGGCGCAGTCGCCACCTACGAATCTGACGAAGAGCCCTCAATCTATCTCCATGGCAGCTCAGTTGCAAGACTATTCCGAATGACCAATGGCTCCGAGATCCCGCTTTGTGTCTGTGGTTCAATCCTCGATGGCTATGTGCTCGCCCTCTCACCCTTCCACAACAGCTGCAACTATCGAGCTGCAGTTGCTTACGGATACGGCGCCATGGTGGAGGACGCCGCAGAGATCGATTTTGCATTGCGATTGATCACAAACAACTCCATACCCGAGAGGTGGGAGAATAGCAGGCAGCCGCCAACCAAAGCAGAGCTTCAATCAACCGGAGTGCTCAAAGTGCGAATCGAAACTGCTTCTGCGAAAGTGAGAGCTGGAGGGCCTAGTGACGATAAAGCCGATTTGGAGAACAGCGAAGTGACTGAGAAGACCTGGATCGGAGTGGTTCCAACATATCTGACCCTGGGCGCACCTATTGCAGGAGAGTTCAACCGGGTGCAACGGTTTCCAGAGCATCTTGATGATTGGGTACAGGATGTGAACTCATTGAACGAGCAGAGAGCAATCGATGCCGTCGACGAGAGCGGAGGTGCAGACTAGGCGTGCCAGCTGCGTGAGCAAGGGCTGGTCGAAAGCTGGCGCGCGAAGATGGAATGCGGAAAGGACTTCTTTCCCAGGCGCGTTGCCTCTGATTTAGCGCTCGATGGAGGATAGGAGGCACCCATCGGCGTTCTGCGATAGCTCGAGCATATGCAAGAACATCCACACGATCTCCCGTTTTCTGTCCGACTCGTTTTGTACGACCGAACAAAGCGACAAGCAGCTTTGGAAAGTTTTGGGGCTCGTAAAGTCTCGGATCCAGGTCGAATAGCTGCCCGTCCCATATTTCGTCGGCGTGTTGTATGAAGTGTGCAAGACCGAGCCGATTGCACTTCCGCGCTAGCAGGTTGATATTTTTGGTGGAATAAGCCGGGCCGAACAGTGTCCACATCTGCTTGAGCAGTACCTTTCGTACGAGAGCTGGACTTGTCTGCATCTCAGGCTTGTGGAGACCTTCCTCGTTGAGTTTCTTGAGCAAAAGAATGCCGCGTGCCCAAGTATGGCTGTGTCCAGTCTGTGAAGAGTCTGTTGCGGTCAACAGCTTCTTGGTGGTAGCGCGCCGGAAGCCCCAGACGATCAATGCACCACGCATCGAAGAACTGAATATGGTCCGCAGAGGAACATTAACGTTCACCTTCCTACCGTTCTCAAGCGTAATCGTTCGATATGATTTCGGTCTGGTTCGGTAGAATTTTGGCAGCCAATGTACAAGTTGTTCCAACTCTTCCCACTTTTGCAACATGCCATATCGCTTCATCAGCTCGATCCACAGGTACGGTCGGACTTCGATACCGCGTTCTGCTGCGTACATGCTTGCGTTGGTCACGAATTGTAAAGGTGGCACACCCAAGTACTCATCGAGCATGTCCTGCGGCGGAGCACGGCCAGGATTGCGTTCTGGGAGCAGGTAGCGATACACAGATGCCAGAGTGCTTCCCAGGATGACGATGTCAAGTGCCTGTATTTGCTGAGTGGTATCTGCAACCAGACGGAATTGTCGGTGTTTGACATGGTGCTGCAAAAGGCAGTTCCATGCCCTGGCCTGTGCTACTCCGCCCCTAAGAGAAAGTCCTAGCAGAGTCACCTGCGCATTTACCAAGTCTCCGGTCTCCAGGAACGAAGCAAGGAGGGCTTGCTGCGTCGCTGAGTCCTCGAAAGCTTCGGGATGTTCGTCGCTGGTCAGTAAAGCCTCGTATAGATTTTCTGGTCCCTCTCTGGCAAGCTTGATCAGGAGTCGGCAATATATGGCATCGCTAATCGCTAATTCCATGTCTTGTAAATTTTTGAGCTTCAAGTCAAATTCGGATGCAGAGCCGACTCGAAGTGCGATCTCACGCATGGCCAGTGGTCCAATTCTGTCAACGCCGATAACTCCAAGACCGCTGACAATCATGTCCAGCGGGAATACCCTCGTGGCGAACATTTTCGCGACAAAAGCATCGCTCACTTCTCGTTGCTTGATACCATGTACCTCTCCTACCAGCGTTGACATCGTGGCTCGAGTCATGGACGGAAGGTCAATTGACACGCCGTCCCTGGGAACAACAAAGTCGTCTTTCTCGCTACTTCGACGGTGAACCATGGGGAGGGACCTATTTCCATCGCGTTCGAAGAGTTCTTGCACGAGCCGCATAGCAAATACTTCTGCTCCCGGTCCATCTCCATTCGATATGAAAAGCTTGTGCCACTGAAGGACCTGCTCTACGTCTCGTTGCTTGAGCAGCTCTGGTATGAAACAATCATACAGCTTGTGTGCTCTCCCTTGCTTTTTGTAGATGGCTCTGAACTCTTTGAAAGTGTCGCTCGCTGCGCAATAGGGTGCGAGACCATTGAGGTCGATTTGTTCTTCACCAAGATGCTCCGCAATGTAGCGGGCCCACTTTGCGGCCCAGAATGGACTAACAGACAAGAAGGTGCCGACAGCAGTCTGATATAACTTCGGGTATACTTTTCCTGAACGGTCTTTGAGGCGAACAGCGTACTGCAGAACTTCCAGAAAAAAGCGTCTATGGTCAGAGCGCTCCCCTTTCCAAATACCGGAGGTCATGAAGGTGGTCCACAAGATATCAGCGTCCTCGCCGACAGTCGGAAGGTCCACTCCATGTTGTCTCATGCCATCCCACACCACAATCACTCCATCCAAACCCTCATGACGTTGAACGTTCTGGGCCACCTCTGCCCACAGGCCGAGATCACTCCTGTGCTTGGGCGACTCGACCAGCAGTTTGACGAGTCTTGCACTGCTCACTGGATGCATGAGATGGCCCGACAAGCTCGTGAACATTGTCCCCGAAGACGAGCGCGAATTTGTAAGTCCAACCCGGGGTCCTAACGCCCTCCGCAATGCAGTCTCCGTAGCATCTTCTCGTTTCTGAGCAGCTACAGCATCGGTGTCATCGTCTCGTGAGGCACGATAGTACCGCCTACGCGGGAGACTTGGGCCACCTTCTTCTTCTTCTTCGGGATCCTCTACAGGATGCTGTTTGTTCTGGTGTGCATATCGCCGGTGTGTTATGCATGGGCGCAGCTGTGAAGGAATAGGTGCGCTGCTGGTGATGTCCAAGACGCGGCGGAGGAAGCAGAGAGTCGATGGTCTGCTCAGCCATCGGTCGAAGCGCGTGCCCATGGCCGTGGGCAGTTCATGCAGCAGCCTCGGTCTGGTGCCATTGCGCTTGCATCGGTCTCCAGTGATGCGAGCCTGTTCCGTCCAGTCCTGCTCGCGTATGTGAGAGAAGCAGAACTGAGAGCTTCATCGGCGCATCGCAGTTCACCTCCGAGTGCCAAGACATTGAGCCGTTATCGATTCGCGAGTCTTTCTTGCCTGCGACCACAACATCGACTTCACATCGCACTGCACACACAATATGCCTGTCACACGGAAACGAAAAGGCTCGCCAGCCCTCGAGGAAGATGCCGAGTCATCGAAGCGCAGATTCGCCGAGGCCAACGTGCCCGACCAGCAGCTGGAATCAGAGTTGAAGGAGGATGTAGCAGAAGCGGCTGCAAAGGACGACACAGCAACGACGCCGGCAGAGGCAGCCACAGCGCCTTCAGCAGCCGATGAGAGAGCAGCGCGATTTGCGGCACTGCGCGCCAGAAATGCGGCCAGTCGCAAATCGAATTTGCAGGAGACGAAGCAGGAAATGCAGAGAGCGTCCGTGGACCCATCGCAGTTGACCTCCATAAACCGGAAGAAAGATGTCGCATCGCATAAACTGCTGAAAGCCGAGATCGAAGAAAGTGGCGAAGACTTTGAAAGGAAGCGAGCGTGGGATTGGACGATTGAAGAGTCAGAGCGATGGGACGAGCGACTAGCTGAAAAGGCACGAAAACGCGATGAGAACCAATTCGTAGACTACAACAAAGAGGCAGGAAAGGTATATGAGCGGCAGTTGGGTCAAATGGCAAAGGCTGGGTTCGAGGAGAGGTTAGCATCCTACGAACAGGACAAGAGAGAAGCAATCAACAGAGCAGTTGCAAGTGGTGGGTTGGAGCTTGTGGAGACGCAGGATGGCGAGCTCATAGCCGTGGACAAGGACGGCACATTCTACTCTACCAACGACACCAGCACATTCACGAACGGCAAGCCCTCCAAAGATGCCGTTGATCGTCTCGTCGCAGATATCAAGAAGGCGGAGGAGGTGCGCATGAAGAAGCGACGAGAACGTGGCCGGCCAGACGAGGATGGCTCGGATGTGACGTACATCAACGAGAAGAACAAGCAGTTCAACATGAAGTTGGCGCGCTTCTACAATAAGTATACTGCGGATATTCGGGAGAGCTTCGAGAGAGGCACGGCGATATGAGTGAATGATAACGAGCCAAGAGTTGATCACGGATCCTCACTTTTCCATCGGACAAGTTTGTCGAATACCATCCGTGACCGTCTTCACGCGTCTCAAGCATATCCGAGCCCTAAGTCTCTCAAACCAAGCAGACGGCAGAAGTGGTCATGGTTCTAGACTAGGATTGCTTCCCTGCTACATGTGGAAGGAGCTTATCCTGACCTCAATATGAGCCACACAACGCGAGTTTATAGGCCATGCAGCACGTGGCGGCGCCGGGGTACAGGACTAGCCAGGTTGTGATCGAACTGGACTTTCGATTTCGCCATCTCAGTCTCGGAATGTTTACGAATAGTTCGCGCGCAGTCGCATGAAAATGGTCCAGCCCTAGATGTGGTAAGACGGCAACCTTTGTCGAGTGGGCACCTAGGAGTGTTCTCCATATGCGTAGTCAGCTACTTGGCATTCAGTAGTCCGGGGTTTCGGGCGCAACCTGAGGAAACTCTCTGCTATTGAAGGAAGCACAAGTTTGACACGTTGTGTACAAAGTGACATCCAATACGGTGAACTTCGTCATGGATTCCTACAGGACTCATCGATCTGCCCACGAAACTGATAGGCAACGCCGATGCAATGCACAAAATCTCCTCTTGGCACCTACGGAGTTCGGATCCGGCGAAGAATCCCGGTCGCTCTGTAGAATAAACAATGACCCGCGCAATCCGCGGACATTTCGCGCGGATTCCACTGACTCCAGATGCCGCAGCAGAAATGCCAATACTCGTAATAATGGTCACAGATGGGCCGCAGCATGTCTGGCCAACAGAAATCGTGCTTCCCATTGGACGCTGCCCGTCTTCGTGATCGATAGTGACTCACCGAGACGTTATGGAGGGTGTTGAGTTCGCAAACTTCGCATTCGCAGCTGTCTTGGTGGCGTCGCTAGCTCCTGGGCATTGTTCGATCCTCTACGGAGTAGTTCACCGGCTGCCTGGCGTACATCATGATTCACCTTCTCTCATAACATTGAAATAGAGTCGTTCTTTCTGTACAGACTTCTAGCTCATGCCTTGATCAGTACCGTTTGCACCTCGATATGGGTGATCACAAGGTTGATGAGAAGGCGCTCGAAGGCCTTGGCGCGACTGCCAACGCGCCCCTGCAACCCCAGGATCCAACAATCGACTCCAAGCACAATGCTGATATCGAAAAGGGCTCAGGCTCTGACAGCGAGGATGCCACGGATGTTCCGACGACGAAGGACGAGGAGAAGGAGTCTTCTGGAGGTCTGAAGGACTACTGGCGCGTCTTTTCTTATGCAGACAAACAGGATGTTGCTTTCTATCTCGTTTCCCTGGGCTGTGCCATCGCTTCTGGCGCTGCTCTACCATTGATGACCCTCATTTTCGGTCAATTCACGACAGACTTCAACAACTTCACGACTGGTGTCAATACGCCTCAGCAGTTCCGTGACAAGGTCGACAGCTTCGTCCTTTGGTTTATCTATCTCTTCGTGGCTCGGTTAGTTCTCGCATACATCACGACTGTTCTCATCAGCATAGCCGCAACTCGGACAACGCGAAATCTGCGTCAGGCATTTCTCGAGAAGACTCTTCGCTTGGAGATCTGGCATTTTGACAAAGCCGGTGGTGGATCTGCTGCCACCCAGGTCACTACAAATGGCAATCGCATTAATCAAGGAATCGCAGAGAAACTTGCCTCGCTCATTCAGGGTTTCTCGCTATTCTTTTCGTCCTGGATCATCGCACTCTCAGTCCAATGGAAGCTTGCCTTGATCTGCATGAGCATCATACCTGCCCTGTTGATCATCATTGGAACCTGTGTTTCTATTGATGCGAGGCAAGAAGGAGAGATTACCAAGATCTACTCACAAGGTGCTGTCTTAGCACAAGATGCTATTTCTTCGATCCGGACCATCTACGCATTTGGTGCACAGGAGAAGATTGTGAAGAAGTGGGATGAATATCTGCAACGCGCACACGACATCGGTTTCTGGAAAAGTCCCAACTATGGCGTGCTGTTCTCCACTGAGAACTTCCTCGTCTTCAGCGCCACAGCACTTGCTTTTTGGCAAGGCTACAGAATGTTCAGCTGGAACGAGATTGAAGATGTCGGCACCGTTTTCACAGTTGTGCTCAGTGTGGCTATTGGCACGACCTCACTCTCCATGATTGCGCCGCAACAGCAAGCCATCGCGAACGCCGCTAGTGCTGCTCATGAGCTTTTTGAGACCATCGACAAGAAGTCGCTTCTCGACCCGCTTGCCACGACTGGAAAGCAGCCAGCAGACTGCAATGGTGAGATCGAGGTGAAAGGCTTGACCTTTACCTACCCAGCTCGGCCAACTGCTCAGGTTCTGCATGGGCTCAACCTGTCGATTCCAGCAGGCAAGACGACAGCACTTGTCGGTCCCTCCGGATGCGGCAAGTCTACACTCATTGGCCTTTTGGAGCGATGGTATGAGAAGACCGGTGGTTCCATCTTGCTCGATGGCACCGAGCTCTCTGAGTACAACACCAAGTGGTTGCGAAGTAACATTCGCCTGGTGCAGCAAGAGCCGGTACTCTTCCGCGGAACTGTCTACGAGAATGTCGTCAAGGGTCTGGTCGGAGAACAATTGAGCCTGCCGGACGAGAAGAAGAGAGCACTAGTCGAAGATGCGTGCCGACAGGCGAATGCTCACGACTTCATTACAGAGCTGCCCGAAGGCTACGACACACAGGTCGGCGAGAGAGCCTCCATGTTGAGCGGTGGCCAGAGACAGCGCGTCGCTATTGCACGAAGTATCATTTCCGATCCCAAGATTCTCCTCTTGGACGAAGCTACTAGCGCCCTCGACCCTACAGCGGAACGAGTTGTGCAAGCTGCATTGAACAAAGTCTCCATCAACAAGACGACCTTGATAATTGCACACAAACTCGCAACAGTCAAGCAGGCAGATAATATTGCCGTCATGCAATATGGTCGACTGGTCGAGCAAGGAACTCACAAAGAGCTCATCGAAGCAGGTGGTCAATATGCCGCAATGGTTCGAGCCCAAGACTTGGGTGCCAAAGAGGAGGGCGAAGCCGAAATTATGGACGAAGACGACGAAAATCGGGCTGAGCGACAAATGTCGTTGCAGCGCACCAAGACTGCAGGTGCCTCCACCAGTGCGGAACGTAAGCTCAAGACTCTTACATCAGGCACCTTGAATTACTCTCTGATCAAGTGCATCTGGATCATGTTCGCTGAGAACCCAAAACTATATTGGTGCTACGCCATCTCACTCTTTGGAGCATTCATCGGCGGAGGCGTGTATCCAGCACAAGCTATTCTTTTCTCGAAGCTGATCAATGTTTTCACTCTCACGGGCTCCGAAGGACAATCGGAAGCAAACTTCTACTCTCTGATGTTCTTCGTTCTGGCCTTGGCGAGTGTTGTGGCATACTTTGGCATCGGCTGGTGCTGCAATGTCATTGGACAGGAAGTCACCCATCGTTACCGCAAGGAGATGCTCGAGAGGTACATCAGCTTCGATCAGGACTTTTTCGACAGGCCGGAGAACTCCAGTGGCGCTTTGACTAGCAAGCTCTCTTCGGTTCCGACAGCATTGATGGAGCTCATCAGTGCCAACGTCATGCTCATGGTATGTTTGCGTGATGAATTGATAACAGTCCCGGCTTGAGCTAACATTATCACAACAGTGCATCGTGCTAGTCAATGTTATCGCGTCGAGCATCCTCGGTATCGCGTACGGCTGGAAGCTCGGTCTCGTCGTTGTCTTCGGTGGATTGCCTATTCTCATCGGCTCAGGCTGGATCAGAATTCGAATGGACCAGAAACTGGAAGCTCAAGCAAACGATCGCTTCGCAGACAGCGCAGGACTTGCAACAGAGGCGGTGACCTCCATTCGAACCATCTCCTCTCTGACCTTGGAACAGAACGTCATGGCCGAGTACACTGACGCTATGTCCGACATTGTTATGAAAGCCACAAAGGGCTTCATCGTGACAATGGTCCCGTACGCACTCTCCCAATCGCTTGAGTTCCTTATTCTGGCCCTCGGTTTCTGGTATGGTTCCCGTCTGGTCGCTAGCTACGAATACACTACCGAGCAGTTCTTTGTAGTGTTCATTGCCGTGGTGTTCGGTGGGCAGGCTGCAGGTCAATTCTTCGGCTACAGTACATCTATCACGAAGGCTAGAGGTGCCGCGAACTACATTCTCTGGCTACGCACCATCACACCCTCTATCGGCGAGACCCCAGAAAACAAAGACGTTGGACCTTCTGGCGAGGGAGCCATCGCCATGGAGGATGTTGACTTTAGATACATCCAACGACATGCCTCGCGAGTGCTTCGCGGAATCAGTCTTACCATTCACCCAGGACAGTATGTCGCCTTTGTCGGCCCATCTGGTTGCGGTAAATCGACGCTAATTGCTCTGATCGAGCGATTCTATGATCCTTACACAGGACGGATCACATTGAATGGAGACGACATCTCAAAGATGTCACCCAAAGCTTACAGAAAGTACATGTCTTTAGTGCAGCAAGAGCCTCCACTCTACCAAGGCTCTGTTCGGGAGAACATCTCGCTTGGACTGGACTACGAACCTTCAGATGAGGAAGTAAACGAAGCTCTACGACAATCGAACGGGCTGGAGTTTGTGTCGAGTCTTCCAGAAGGACTCAACACCCCTTGTGGCAGCAAAGGCCTTCAATTCTCTGGCGGCCAACGTCAACGCATAGCAGTGGCTCGCGCCTTGATCCGTAAACCACGTCTCCTTCTCCTCGACGAAGCTACATCCGCCCTTGATACACAGAGTGAGCGCGTCGTTCAAAAAGCTCTCGACGAAGCGGCATCGAGTCGCACGACAATAGCCGTGGCTCATAGACTGAGCACGATCCGGCACGCGAACGTGATCTTCGTGGTGGCGAATGGTAGGATAGCTGAGATGGGTACGCACGAGGAACTACAGGCCTTGAAAGGAAGATACTATGCCATGTGCCTGGCACAGTCGCTGGATCAAGCATAAAAGTCGCAGTTTTTGCATTTACGGCAGTTTCTACAAATGGCAGCGGAGAGAAAAGACTCGGCTCAATTTATGATGATAATGTACGATCAAGGATGTACGAGATAGATCGTCTCTTCTTCCCAATGCAAGTTCTCACAAGATGAGGTCAAGGCTGAACGATTATTTTGCATGTGCTTGCGTCGGTATTCACCTATACTGGTGAATGGCGACTTTCTCCACTTATTAAGCTCCACTGCGAACCTTCGTTTCGCAGGTAAGACTTTCGTAAACATTCGACATTCTCTTCTCGAATGTTACCAACCTACATTCGGCGCCCATTCTTCAAGCCTTCCGACGCTGTCACATACCCATAGCACACGAGCCCCGAAACTTCCTTCGCAACAACGACACCATGACTGAGTATCCGGGCAACTTGCTGAAGCTGGGCTTGAAGGAGTAAGTCACATATCGATCATGACTTGAGTCTCTGCTAACTGCCACAGCATGCTCGCTTCTGGTCTGTACTCCGACCTCACGATCGAGTGCCGGGGCACTACCTTCGCCGTTCACAAGCTTGTGCTCCACACGCAGTCGCAGTACTTCAGAAAGCTGCTTGCTGGCGGTTTCAAGGTAAGTCTCTCATCTCGAGTCAACAAATACAACCTACTAACATCCTCGCAGGAGGGCGTCGCCGCCTCTAACATCTCCCGCCTCCCACTCGATGAAGATCCAAACATCTTCTCCGTTGTCATCAAGCACCTGTACCAGTTCGTTTACGATGACAGCGGGCGTGGAAATACCGCACCAGCCCCATTCGCGGTTCTCGTCTACGCCGCTGCAGACATGTACGACATCGAGCCCCTTCGCACCCAGGCAGCCAAGCGCATGAAAGACACTATCGACCCGAACGACATCGATACTCTCATCGAAACCATTCGTGCTGTCGACGAGAACACTGCCGACCAGGTCCTGTGGGACATCGTCATACCGGTCATCAAGAGCAACATGGGACGTCTGCTACAGAATGAGCAGTTCCGCGAGATGCTGCACGAAATGAAGGAGCTCAACTTCCGCCTGTTGGCTATGCTCGATCCTGCAGCAGGAGTGGTAGGTTTCGGCAAGGAGCAACTGGTAGCGAGCTTCACCACTAGTGACATGGGCGAGGGGGATGAGGGCGACGAGGATGAGGACGACGAGTGGGACCCGTACAGCCTGGGACGCATGTCAGGCCACGGGCCAGGTCGACGCCTTGGATGAAAGGGGTTCCACGATCCTCTCGTCGCCGCTCCCCGGGGTGTCTCAGAAACATTAACATTCCGCAGAAGCGGGCGATGACATTAGCATGTGAGAGTCAAGGAAAGCTGACTCGAACTCGTGCAAGGGCACTCAAAAGTACCAGGACTGAGATATGCTCAGCTCGCCACAGGAGTAGTTGTTGCATTAATTGAAATAGAAACTTGCGAGCATATTTTACAGTTTTGGGATGAACATGGGAGTGTTTTTCTTCCATTCCTGGTAGTCTTTCCGATCGCCGTAGCGCTTGTCGTACTTCTCCTCCGACAATGGAATTCCGGAGACCTGCACATATCAGCCATGTCATGCGGGCAATGAGGCGCTGACTTACCTTGAATAGCAGAAACGTGACGAATGCCGGGCTGACGTATGCCATTGCCAGAGCACCAATTCTGCTGACAGCACCGCCGCTGAATCCCATACCTGCCTGTCCGACGCTGCTGAGCATGACTCCTGCTGCAGTCGTGGCAATTCCTGTCCAGAGAGTGCTCTCACTAATTCCCCGTCAGTTATCAGTCCGGGAGCTCAAGGTCACTTCAATGCTTACCCGAAGTAGTTGGGATGTCTGCTCTTGCTCCAAAGTCCCCTTGTCAAGAAATCTTCCGAGTGCTTCTTCTCTTTCTTCTCCTTCATCCATTGCGACTTTTGCCTATCCGCCGTAGCCTCAAATCCAATACCTCCCAAGTACAACAGCACACCAAGCACATCAGTGATAGTCAAGAAAGGCAGAGCAGCAAGTGTCGTGGCCGGAATACTGTTAATCGCCAACACAGGCATCAAACAGAGGGAAACCCAAGCAGCCTGCGCGAAGAACGCCACGCCGAATTTGGCAGGGCTTGTACGGATGTTGTCAAATCTGCTATCCTTGCCATCTTCAGCCGTGATGCGCGAAAACAGGAAGCTGCCCAGTCTTGCTGCCCAGACTGTCACAAAGGCACTGAGAACCACTTGTCGCCAGTTCCACATGTTTACGCCGCCTTTGCTCGTCAGGCTTGCTAGAAGACTCGGCCATGCCGGGCCATTTCCCGGGCCTGCTGCGAGGCGTGCTCGGATAGTCGGGAGGTAGAGGGATAAGGCGGCGCAGGAGATGTATGTCAGCGAGCCTGACAGGTCGTAGAAGCGTTCGGTTTGGAGTAGAATCGACGGGACTGCTGTTGCGGCTTGGAGACCAAATGCGAGGCCTATGCTAGGTACGAGGGTGCGGAGGAAGGCGGATTTGTAGTTGGTAGCATGGAGCAGACCATTGATTAGTGAAGCCATTTTGCACGCTGGGACAGAAGTGCAGCTCAACGAGCTTGACAGCTGGTAATGAGAATATATACCTTGCTGTCATCTAGCGGCCAGTACTGTTGAGCCTGGAACTACTAACTAGTGTGCATGTGAAGAGCAACAGCGCAGGAGGGAAAGTGATGAGGTCACCGCACAAAGCTTGGGATCCTTCCGGACACTTCCAATGCCCGACTGCGCTGGGACATTGGATCCTGCTTTGACAACACAATACGCATCGCGATCATGCTACTAGAGGGATTCGGGGCGAAGATCGAGATGCGATTCTATGTCCCGACATGACCGGAATGTTGTTACGCCGGCTCCAGGCCATACGTACGGCTGGACTTGTCCGCATTCACGCTTACCGCATCCGCATCACTGGTTCACGAATCTTTAGTGGAACACAAGGACTTCCAGCCTGAACAAGATGGCCAACTGGATTTTGCACTGAGCTATCTAAATCTATTGGGGCTCACGCCTTACCGGCCATCTTGTATACCGCCTTTTCCGCCAATCCCGATATCTCCTTACACCCAGCATCGCCAGGTGGAAGAACCTGCGTTCCAAAGCAGAACGCCAGCTCACTTTCCCTATCGATATACCAGACGGGGTTGAAAAGACCACTCCAGGCCAAGGTCCCTTTCTTTCTCCTACCGACATCATCCTCCAAGAACACGATTCCTCCCAAGGCGTAATCGGTAGGGATTTCAGGATTCCACTCTCCAGGAAGCATGGTATGGGCCTGCTTGACGAAGAAATTGAGTGCCGCTTTCGAATCGTCTCCTAGCTGCGGTCTGAACAGCTCATCGACACTTTCGGGCTTCAGCAATTTTCCATCATTTCTCAGCAAAGAGTGCAGAACTTTGAGATAGTCTGCCATCGACGCGTAGGCTCCGTGGCCTCCGAAGCACTCTGTCGAATGAGTGTTGATTGTGTCCTCATCAGATGGCGCCAGCTTTCCATCAGCACCTCGGACTGCAAGTTGAGGAACCTTTGACTTCTTTCGTTCCTCACCCGGCCAGAAGGTGATATCTGAGATGCCAAGAGGGTCCCAGAAATGTTTCTTCTCGAATTCGTCTAATGTCAGGCCTGTCAAGCGATGAATCAGAAGCCCGGTCCAGTCCAATCCTGGCGAGTATGACCAGCTTGTGCCAGGTTCAAAGGCGAGTGGCGTGTCGTAACGCTCAGGAATTGTCGCTTGCAAGGCATACGCGCCCGGTGCTTTTCCTCTCGATGCTTCGTATTTCATGATATTCGGATGAAACCCGTACGTGTGTCCAGAGGAATGTAACAGGAGCTGGCGCAGAGTTACTGGATTCTTGCGATCTTTGTAGATCGGCTTGTCGCTGTCGTCGAATCCGGTGAGAATCTGCTTCGAGCCGAGTTCTGGCAAGTGAGGAGTAACATCATCGTCCAAACCGATGAAGCCTAACTCGACTGCCTTGAGCGCTGAGATCACTGTGAGCAGCTTGGATGCGGATGCCAGCATGAGGAGTGCATCTTCCTGGATTTGCTCTTCGTCTTTGCCGAAGTGTTGGTAGCCTGTGGCATGGTTGTATGTGAAGCTCCCTACAAGATATCAGAGAGCTGTTCATTGAGCAAGCTTGGACAACATACCATCCTTCGTCGTGGCATACACGATAGCATGAGGCACTTTGCCATCTTTGACGCCTTGGGCGAGTGCTTGCTCAAGTTCTGCCGACATTTTGGAAGACTGCTCTTCGTAAGCAATTGAGCTTTTTCTGAGACACTCGGACAATCCCAAGTGAGCTCTCATGAAGACGGAGCGACACTAACACCTTTTATGTGCCCCTCAATGGCATTCAGCCGCACCCGAGATGACATGAGAGTTCTCCACCAGGATCGCAGGCAGCCACGTAGCTTCGGTAAGTTAACCCTTAGGAGTTTTGAACGTCGCCGCTGAATAACATACAGGCAAGCAACAAAACGTCGATGCTGTCAGCTCGAGTCAACAAACGCAAGGTTGTACCTGAGCTGTGTGGGCTTCAGACGTGCACCTCACGTGGCTATCGTGGGATCCGCGCTAGTTCTTGACCGATGCAGAAAGTGGAACGACTAATCAGTAGGCCTCGGCTCATTCGTAGCCGAAACAGGCTCCCAATACTGCTTGATGATGTGGACAACACGCTGACTATCATCATGCCCTACCTAGATTCACTCCGAAGTGTATGGTATTCTTGTCAAAGTTGTGACTGATGTTCACAATTTGGGAGAAGTATTGGTGTCAATGAGCAGAGTAGACAATGTTGATCATGGATTTTTCGTTTCGCTGCAGTAGGCCGCTCCAGTCTGCTTGCTTTCGCGAAATTGTTGGGCATGTCATGCGGGTAATCAGAATACAAAGTCATCGCAGTAGATGTCATAGAAGGAACACCGTGTCGCACGGTTCAGGTTTCTGAAATCCATTGGAGCGGGCGGTCAGGAAATGCGATACTGGGAGCAGTAACAGAAGGTTGAAATTTTGGCTGGCAACGACGGATGGTTTTTGGCGGAAAATCCGTCATTGCCAACTCTGAGCTGCGGAGCTCTTCCACTTGCATTGGAGCTGTCTGATAGGTTAGGTTAGAATTGGGGCGGGGCGCCAAGCTTCTGCATGCCTCAAGCAGAAAGTTGAAGTGAATACTCGAAATGCACCTGAACCCAACAGATACGGTTGGAATACTCTGGAGTGGTCCTCAACTGTTATAAGGCGTGGCTTTAGTCGATTCATTGTATTGCCGATCTCTTGACCATGGTAAAAGCTGCATTGCACGTGAGTTCGGGGGTACGCTAGTGCTGGCCTTTGTTGAATGATATTATACGCAATTTGTTCTCCCATCAACATCCAATAAGCACTGCGCTTTCTGGGTATCTGCGATACTCATCATACCTCGCATTAGCGTGAAAGCCAAATCATGGTACATCCAATCAGCATCGTTGGTTTAGTGGTAAAATCCGTCGTTGCCACTTTGATCATAGCAATAATGGCCATGATTAAACGCCGCGTCGACGGGCCCCGTGTTCGATTCACGGACGATGCAATGCTTCAGAAATCAATTCTTTTTGTCGTGGTGGTGTAGCAGAGTAGCCAGAACTGTCGCCGGAAAATTTCGATTTTTTTTTTGGGACGGTGCTTCACTTCTGCAAAGACGAGTCGAGGCTAGATCTGAGAGTCTTTACGTAGACAGGCAGCTTCAGAGGGGCGGCCTCTGCACTCAGAAAGGCATAGAATGGTCAGGGCCCCGGAAGGCTATGAAACTTTTTGACCCGTCAGCATAGCAGACTGTACTGGACATTTTGTACAGCGTCAATGAAATCAAGGCCATGCGACGTGCCCTTGGGCTCAAGAATCTTCGACAGATACATGCGTTCCAAATTCAAGCAGGGATCAACTACCCGTGCGTTGCCTACTCACTCCTGCAACCTGCAAACCGACACTTAGGATCGAGGGAATCACGAATCCGCAGCAGGAGTTCAATAGTGAGTGCGTCGATGCAATATTTGTTAAAGATTTAAGTCATTTAGTCGGACAACATCGCGTCTACTACAAGTAATCGCGATGTAGACTCTTGAAGGGCTCCTCTGATAGAAAGGAGAGTTTGTTAGTTTTATCAATTACGACGAACTTAGGAGCGACCCTGTTCACACCATGCCTTCCCGCAAGTTGACGATCAATCTAGTTATGCTTACTCAATTCACATTCACGTTTTCCTACACTCTCTAGGCAAAAGCTACATTCTCGTTGGCTTACACTTTCACATAGGGCGGCATAAAGCAACACATTTGAGCAGAGACAGGGGCAATGTAGAACACTCTCGGCCGAGAAGACCGGTCTCCTCAGTCCATATTCCTGCTCGGAATGGCAGGCTGGATTGCACTTAAGCAGAGTCACCGGCAATTTGGTTTTCTCTGTGGCAAGGTGACGGAGTTTGCTTTAGATGTCGTTACTCGACAAGCTGCGGAAGATAACGTTGAAGGCTGCATTTGAGCCGCACGGTGCAATTCCTGTGTCGTACGTCTTCTGCCTCCTGCAGATCATGGCAATGCTAGGGTAGCTGAACGGTAAACGCAGTCTGACTCGATGGTACGTTGGACCTGAGAACGATCCCATTGGGTAACAGGCATGCAACAAGTGTATTCCCCTCTACTTGTCTAGGGTAGTACTGGCAGGCATCTTGCACTCGCAATTGACATCAGATATGCACTCTTCTACGGCTTTGAGGAAAGCCGATATGACTCCATACTCGCGTCCTTGTTCATCTTCTGACTGGCGGTCGATGGGGCATTTGGGGCCCTCGGTCTCTCCTACGTAGCGACTGAAAAGCCGCTCAGGTGCAGCTTCACCTTGTGCTTCGTAGATACTCAATACGTTGTCCCAAGCGCGGAACCCTTCGAAGAACATGCCTTGACTGATCATGCGGTCGAGCAGAGAGCGAAGACTTGGCGGACTGATGGGCCAGGTACGCAGATAGAGTACACGAAGGCCTTCGGGCATATCCGGTGACTGGATAGTAGACTCTTTCCTCTCGATAACAGTCAGGAGCTCCGTGTTGGATACTATCATTGCGCAGGGACCGATCATCTCCCAAGTTGCCAGCTGAGTTGCCGTACTGGTCGGACCCAAAACTGCACAATGAAAATTTGGAAACACGAAAGCGGAGGTGAGCCATCAATCACTCTACCAGGTTCGTGTAACCGTGATCCCCTCTGGATGCGACTACCTCTGAGTGCAAGCACCTAACCAGACTGGCTCTCGATCCATGAAAAGTTTTGCTGATCGGCTTAGCGACCTGTCGTTGCTTCCAGGGGTAGTAGCATTCGGAAGTAGCCACGGTTAGTACTGGCGGGCGTGCGTGTTCCGATCCTTGGTTTCAGTAATCGAGTCTTGTCCATAGTTGTGGGTTTTCGGACCCGGCTGCTCATTTGACATATCTTGAACCTCACATCTTGGAGCGTGAGTGTGTGGAATCGTAGCAAAACGCCCGAACACCTTGGATGGAATGATCGAGAGTGGCCTGCATGGCTGAAATGTTCTACAGGAGAGGAACTTCAACCGTGGCTAGCACTGAGTGGAAGCGCGTAACCTGATCGACTCTCAATTCACGAGAAGCTTTGCTGATTGGCTCATTGATCTGCGCTTGCACACAGAGGAGGTTTCATTCAGAGGTAGCCATGGTTGGAACTGTGACTCCGAGCAAACAGTACAGCTGTAGATAGCAAAATGGAATTTGAAAATGTTCATACCTTGTTCCCTCTCGTCGCTGCGTCGGCTCAACGCATGCCTCGTTTTTCGAGATAAAGCGCCTCAACTACATTGCGTATGGCAGAGAAGCGGGTGAACAAAGAAACACTTATATATTCCAGGCAGAGTGCGCAGTTTCAGCCTTGATTTCTGTTCTGCTTTCCCATGGGAAATAGTTAGCGCACAGTGCACGTCCATTGGAAGAACTCCATTGTGTAACGATGGGATTCTTGTGTAACAGTGAGAGCCCCAGGTTCTCGACATCCTCAAAAGCCGACACCATAGAACGGATCAAAGTCTGGCATGAGAAGCTGTGAGCATGCGAGATTACAGATGGAAAGGGGAAATGAACACGATTTTTCTACTCCTTCCTGTTATGGCTCAGCAACATCTGCTTGTGAGATCGAATGCCGCATGCCGTCGAGACTGTGTTGAAGGCTCTCTCCTATCTCTTGCAGATTCCTGCGGCCGATGTATATTGTTTTGGCAGCGTTGAAGTGTCTTCTACAGAAAAGCCGATCATAACACAATTCAAGCACTATCGACCCCTAGAGAACAATAATGAAGCGTGCACTCTCGAGCAGAAAGTCCAAGTCTAGCTCTTGCAATACGAGTCCCTGCCAACCGCGACATCCGCATCTGGTCTACCACGAAAAAGCCTCGACCTCCAAATCCCACATTGTCGCACTCCCGCTACCACGACCAACCCTCGCGACCTTGCTCCGCACGTCGTCGCACATACCGGCCGGCCCACAAACTACGACTCCGACCTTACTGTATCCCTTCGCCGCAGTCGACTTGAGCAGTCGAGCAACATCAATGCGCTCGCCAACAAGTACCTGTTTATCCGCCACACCCTCCAGCACAGCATCAAGTTCACTGACCAACGGCTGATCCTCGCTCCTCACACTCCAGGCGAGTTTCAAGTTCGGATGCGCATGGATCCATGCCACCAATCCTGTAATGCCGATACCGCCGCCGACGAGCAGCAGGTGATCAGCGGCGAGCACAGCACCATCGATCTTGCGCGGATACGGCCCATCTATGAGAGTGAGCAGGCTTGCGTGGGATTTGAGGTATTGGGTCAGGCCGGCTCTCTTCTTGACAATGAAGGTCAGGCCAGCAGCTGGTGGTGGAGCATAGCTGGACGACACAGTGACACCAATGGTCTTCTCTTCATCAGTCCCGCGAGCGGAGGAGGACGAATTGCCGTCTGAAGAGATGCCCGATGAGACAATGGCATGGTCGCGCGTTTGAAAAGAGCTTGTGGCGTTGACAGAAAAGGGATGGTTCTCCCACGGGCGTAATTTGTTGAGTTGCGGGAAATAGGCAAAGGCAATGCTGCCTGGTTGTCGATCCCAGTGAATATCGGGAATGTCGATACGGACATGATTCTTGTCGATCTCTGTTACTGTGGCATGCTTGACACCATTCTTGAGGAGACGAAGAAGGCGCATGAGACGATCAAACCCCCAAACGGCCATGGCGGCGTAGAGCCAATTGTCGTAGAAGTTGTAGCCCCATTTGAGGATGACGTGGTACCTGGAGAAATGGTAAGCAGACGCTGGTAAGAATCATGTTGGTAGTACTGACCAGCAGCCGGCGAGAACGAAGACGGCCATGACGATATGGCCGATCAGAAAGAGCTCGTAACTCTTCTGGCGAAACCAGAGCATGCTGAAGACAAGCATCGCACAGCTCAAGACAGTGGCCACAATGCCCCACAGCCAATACGGTTCCTTTGACGCAGTAGGATAGCTTCCCGACCCAGTGTAAGTGCCCAACAGTGTAACGCTGTGGATGATTGCATACAGCGTGAATAAACGTGCGACCCAGCGATGCAGCAACAGGTAAGTCTCATATGACCAGCTCGTCACCCACAAGAGCACATTATTGCGGCTGGAGAAGAGAATGACAAGCGGCAGTAGCATATATCCGAAATGTCCAGTGCGATACCCAATGTAGGCCAAGAGTTCCTCCCGCTTGGTGAATCCCCATGGCATGGTTCCCTCAGGCATGGTGCGATAATTGACACAGCTCAGCACAAGATTGATCGCGAAGAACATGAATATCCACAATGCCTGGCCGGCTGTGGGGGCGTTTCCAAGAAGCCAAGGCAGTGATCGCATACGATATGTCCCAATCAACGACGGATACACAATGTACGGCTTGAACTTGTCGAGGAGATTGGTCGTGCACGGCAGGAAGTGGAGGAGCGAGAAGAGGATTGGAGTGCCGAATCCGATCGTGATGATGACAAACCTGTATTTTGTGAGATTGCAGTAAGTTGGAAATGGATCGGAAATGCTCACGCGTATCTTGCTTGCAGCGCCTCAAGATGATCGAACAAGATGTTGAACCGATTGTTCACCTCGTACGTGCTCTTCGGCGCCAAGACAGTCTGGTTTAACACATCCTCGGAGCTCGAATTGAAAACCGCAGTTGGTGGTTCCGTCACCTGTGCCAAAGCCTCGCCGTACGTCCACTTGGCCTGGACCGTTCCGGTGGTGTCCAGCATTCGGGATCCCCAATAATCTTCGATGTCTGCCGCTGTCACATCCGCCGGGCAGTGCTCCTTCATGCAATATGCCAAGCTGGTAAGCAGTGCGGTATCGTTTGCCTGACATTGCGGGCTAGTCATGGACATGTGATGCCCACTTGCGCCTGCAGAATGGTCCATCGATGTGCAGGAGAGCATTGCACTGGAAAGTGAACTCCAACAGGCATAGCTGCAAGCAGGTTTGTACCAGGAGAAACCATGTCCAGGAAATTTGTACGATTCGAGGTGTTGAGCTGTCGCTTGGCCGATCAGTCCCAGAAGCAGCATGAACTTTGCCATGGTGTAGACCTGATGCTACCGCTCAGCAGAGTGGAATCGCACAAAGAGCAACATCGCAGAGATGAGTCTCTATATACCTCTTTACCTGCTCATGGCGACGGTCATGCCGTGGGCATGTTTGCGATCAAGCTGATTCGCTGCGGGTCGGACCTGCAGCACCTCTCAGTGCCATTCACCTGGCTCCTCCCTCGTGTCTCAGTTCTAGAAGCAGTCGATTTAAGCCTTGTAGTGATACTTTTCCCACGTGGCGGCGGCACTGAGAAAGTTTGAGCACATTGAAAGCTGAGCTTGAGACTTAGGGCTTGCCCGCTCGCCAAGCCTAAGTTAGAAACGCATCTTCGGGCAAGGCAATCTGGACACACTTCAGAAGTAAGCAGGAGAATCCGCGGTTGACTTGAAGCCTATCCCAATAAAGACGGTTGCTTCCTCGCCATGCCAGGCTTGCGAGCTGGAGTCCCTTTGCTCACTGGCAGATAAAGCTGCTGGTCCAGTCCGAGATACTCTCGCTCAGTGATCGGTCTCGCAGAGCCCGGCAGTGCATCCCGTGTCCTTACACGAGCTATAAGTCATCTTGGATATCTTGTGCTGGAACTGCAAGTTGTCCTTCGACTAACGCTCTGCAGTATGTTCTCACCTGCGACTTCGCACGTACCTTGAATGCCTCGCCTTCGATTTTACACACTTGATCGTCTGGTACTACGACCATGCATCGCTCTCGCATTAGACCCCAACAAGCTGAGCCTCTGCTTTCAGCGAAGCATAGCATCTTGGTGTTTCTCGGATGGTGTAAAGCTTTTGGTCCACCAGGAGAGCAGACCATGCAGAGACTAGGTCTTCGTCAACACACTGTTTGCAAACAAGTCGCACTGTCTGGCCGCTTCTGATGGCGGAGGAAGTGCGGAATGGCGACGATGTCTCTGCTTGGATTGTTCAAACACAAAGAGAGCCTGTTAAATCGAGCACGATACATTCGTGCACCATCCGAGCGTTCTACAGGACTGCTGGTCACTCGGACGTCTGAATCACTATTGGTCGTACGACTTACATTGGTTTAGACGAGTGAGGACAGTGCCATAAACCACGGCGACAGCGGGCTGTACCACCATTTTCCGCGGATTGCACGGAGGCGCAGTACCAGATGGTAAGCTGATATCGCATGGACGGACTTAATGTAGCTTCGAATGGCCGCAACAGCAAACTCCAGAGGCGGGACAGCCCCGTGAAGATGTGCTCGGAATCCGCGCGTGGCGTTTGAGATCCGCAAAAAGGGTTCCACGGAATTCAACATAGCCGATATACAAGCTATTCAGCATTGACGAAGTATATCAAAGAGGCCGGCGAATGCTTGTCTTCCCAAACCAGGCAACTGCAGTATATCGGCCGCGGCCGACTTCAAGTATATATCTTTGCTGCGTTTCCCGCACGTGTGCATTGGTAAAATGCGAAAAAAATTCTGTAGCATCGAAAGTCTCCACACACGCAAGTCTTGTGTCTTCAATGGCAGTCTACGCAGAGAAGCCAGCGGCGCAGGAAGCAGTGTGTACCACTGAGGTGGGCTGTCATGCACAGCTGACACGTCTCGCAGATCGAGGCAGTCGTTGCCTTGCAGCCATTCCCGGTCATCTTGCCTGGCACCGAGGAGTTTCTGAAAGTGCAAGAGAGCTATTGGAATGCACAGCAACGGTCTGCCGCACCTTCAGCCTTCTTCCAACCACATACCCCGGAGCACGTATCTGGGATCGTCCAGGAGATTGTGCGCGCCCGCCTTGCGTTCGCAATTAAAGGAGGTGGCCATTCTTCCAACCTGGGAGGCTCAAGCACTAACGATGGCGTTACGATTGACTTGAGTCGTCTGGATCACATAGTGATCGCCAAGGATAAGAAGACTGTGCGACTCGGACCGGGAGTGCGCTGGGGCGTGCTTTTCAGGATTCTTGACGAACAAAAACTTGCGGCTGCGGGAGGTCGAGATGCGTCAGTTGGCGTGCCAGGGTTCCTTTTTGGAGGTGAGTGCACACAGTGCACAAGGTCAATGGTCAATGGAGCTGACATGCTGAAGGTGGTCTCTCTGCTTGGGGTGCCAAGCATGGGTGGGGAAGCGACAGCATCATCTCCGCCGACGTCGTCGTCCTTGCTGACGGCACTCTGGTCACCGCCGACCAACAAATCCATCCCGACCTCCTGAGAGCCCTGAAAGGAGGCGGCGCCCATAACTTCGGCATCGTGACGAGCGTCACGATCAAACTGCACCCATGCGATGGCATGTGGGGAGGAATGCAAATTGTTTCAGACAAGTCGTTCCCCGACCTTTTTGAAGCAATTGACTGCTACGCAAAAAGCTTGGCACAGGACGGCATGGCAAACCTGATCGTCGATGTCGTTCACCACAATGATCCGGCTCGCTTCAAGGATACAGAGCTGATTGCCTTGGTGCAAATGGCATACTGCGAGCCGACACCAGAGCCGGCTGTCTTCCAAGCACTTCGAGAACTTCCAAGCACTCACAATTCGGGTCGACTGGCGTCGTCGTTTGACTTCGAAACAGAGATGGCAGAGATGACCTACGTGACAGCGAAACGAAACATTTACTGGACTATCTGCATGCAATACAATAAGGATCTCCTCAAGGCGGCGTTTGAAATCTGGCAGAAGAGCACTGCGGGTCCTCCGGCCAGCGCTGCTCCGGCTTTTGACATCCAGTTCTTAGCCCCAGCGCTCCGGAACAAAAGCGCTCGCGAGGGACTCGGGGAGCTCTTCGGTATTCAAGGGCCAGACGAGCCCCTCGTGAACCTCAATGTGGCCGCGACTTGGACGGATGAGAAAGACGATAAAGCAGTAACCTCACTCACCCGAAATATTGTCGCTGACATCGAAGAATTAGCTCGTACTCGTGGATTTTATTCACCTTTCAATTACATGAATTACGCGCACCGCGAACAAGATGTAATCGGCAGCTACGGGCCTGAGAAGCAGGCCTTTTTGCGTAGACTCTCTGCGAAATATGATCCTCAGGGAGTGTTCCAGAAATAGCAGACCGGACCGTTCAAGTTGTGAGAGCGAAAGTTCAAATGCTCATGTCAAAAGCCTCGCGGCTCTTCTGCTCTTGCTCCAATTTCTCTTTTGCGTTACGCGATCGCTCTGTATATGCACTCTATGTCTATCCCGCCAATCGCAGATAATTCTTTTCGTTGCTTCTGCTACAGTAACGAAGTAACCAGACCACTGATAGCTATCAAGAATTCTCCTAATTGCCTTTCACAATAGAAACCGCTACATGGGCATAGTTATCGTAGATGCAGTATTTTCCTTGCCCCTGGTGGCCACCATTGTGCAGATAGTCTTTCCCCTGAACATTTGCTTTGGCGTTGCCGTTGACGACCAACTCAACGCAGCAGTGAGCAGCATATACGTTTACCGAGCCACCCTCGCCTCCAAATTTTTGCATATTGTTCTAGTATACGAAGACGTAGATTTTTCCTAATTGTTGGAAACGCATACCGTTAGTCGAAAGCTCTTTATTTCGAATATATGTTTAAAGAAAGGGGGACACTATTGCGAAAACTTTTAAGGCAAAGGCGTAAGAACGGGCTTTATTCCGATCGCACTTACGTCTATTTTTTAGTAAATATTTTCCGACGGGTTTCCTAAGCTTCTATCCGCTAGGTTTCTAATCGATACTTTTCTCTAGGTAATAATAGTTTATACTAGCTATACTATAGAGAGGTAGCTTATAATCTATATTATACGTTTTCTAGAAGAAGCTAGCTATCTTATATAAAAGATTCTTAGGAATTATTAGAAAGTATAGTCTAGTTAGATATTCTAAGAGATACTTTAGAGA